TAGTTTTTTTCTCGAATGGCGTGATCGGTGTACCTATGATTAATGTTGATGCAAGTGCTGGAAAAAGGCGGGCCGGTGACCGTACTAAAGATAAGGAAAAGCCCAGTTTGGAAATACAAAACACAGCAATTCCGAGAAACTTGTTTTCGAATAATAATCAGCGGTCAAGGTAAGAGGTCTTTGTCTCGAAAACGGCAATTATTAAGGAGGTTCATTACATTGACTGATGGGGAAAAAGGCAGTGATTCTGATATGACAGGGAGCAAGCTTAATGGTCCTAAATTTGTATCTAATGTGTCTAATCTAATCCCAATTTTCAGCTATCTGCACTCTCGCTCGTCCCTGGGAGGGAATAGTTATTGGTGCAGTGGGTGCTCTATTTGCATGTCCCGGATGTGCTCTTCTTGATCGACTCCGAATCGATGACCCTGTTGGCTGTGTTCCCATCCACCTCTTTGCTTCAGTCTGGGGGCTCTTGGCTGTTGCCCTGTTTGCTGAGAAAGACACTTTCGAAAACTCAGTTTCTGAGGATTTTGGAATCTTTAAGGGTGGTCCTTGGAGATTTTTGGGAGTACAGGCACTTGCGATTGTAGCTGTTTCCGTGTGGACCGCGATTGTTACTTTTCTGGAGCTGCTATTGGTTGATAAGCTGGTTGGAATGCGCGTATCCCCAAGGGAAGAACTTCTGGGCGCTGACAACGTTCAACATGGAATTGAACGAAGCTGTAGTCAATCCGTGTGTTCCTGTGGACCAGCCAATACTGCCGACAACAGCAATGGTCCGGAAACGATATCTTGCGGATCAGGGAGACTCTTTGAACGTCTCCCAATGCCTTGGTCACCGTCACACTCTTTTTCTTCGCCAGTACACCGTGAAGCTCCATGGAAAGCGACGTTTGAGCGACAGTCAGGAGGTTTTCGTACTGGTAACATAGTACATTGAGCCAAACCGAAAAATCTGGATTTCAAAATCCGAATCCGGAATAGGGGAAACTTTTGCATCTGGACTCCGGAATCTTAGGCGTTGGGATACGGGAAACAGCTCAAGGAATCCGAGATCCCAATAATGATTAGAATCCAGAATCCCAGTCCAGTACCTGGAATCCGGAATCCACAGTGTTGAATCCAGGATCCAAGACTGTAATGGATTCCCTTTCATGGGGCCACTCAAGTGGTTGAGTGAGCAGTTCTTGAGAAAGGTGCCCAAGAGTGTGATTTTTTAGCCAGAGCAGGACATACATGTTGTGTGTAAATAAGGGACCGGTCCTTATTTATCGCCGGGGAGTGGGGGCTGAGTATTTGGGGCTAAACAACGTGAAATTTAGCCAATCCCCCCTTTGAATGTTACTTCACTGAAGTGATCGCCTGTAATAACATTTGATGACTTTCGCGATCAGTGCCCCCTTCCCCACCAACATCTTCATTTTCTAAGCAAATTTGAGTGGTCCACTCTGAATCCTTCTAAAGTTTTCAGTTTGGGTTCTCAGTTATGACTGATCCCCCTTTTTTCCTCCTAAAAATCAAGTGATCCCCCCAAAACCCTCCAGCCCCCCCTCCCCTCCCCCCGCCCCGGCCCCACTTAGGTGATAAATAATGATCAGTCCCTAACTTCAAATTATTACTGTGCACTCCATTAGGAAATCTGGATTTTGTTGGTTTGAAATCCAGATTTTGGATTTTGCATTCAAGTGCGAATTCCAAAAAAGGATTTCAATGCACCATCTAGTTGTTGCAACGCTATGCCTTCCCTACAAATTGCACTTTCTGTTCTCCCTGCTCTTTCCCTGCTCCCTGCTTATTCCACTTTTCATTTGTAAAACAATTTGAACCACAACCTCGAAAAAGTAAATTCCAGTGGGGTGGGAAGTCTGCCAAGTCAAGTACTCAATTAAACTGAATGCACAGAGGCAAAAAGAGAAACTTCAACAGGCAGGGGTGAAGGAGTTTTTATAGACAGTCTGTTTGAGAGAATCAGAATACCAGATGCAAGCCACTTATCTTTAATTTGCTGCACTAAAGATGTTACAATGTGTTTTGTTTACGAACATCTACTATTTCATGTTTGATTGTTGTTTTCTCTTTGGAACACACTACAATGTAATGTAACTTTAGTCAATTATTTTATTGCAACACATTCATGTATCCCGGTAGTATAAAAAAGACCAAATCTCTTCTAATAAGCCAATAAATTTCTTTGTTTGATATGCTATAATCACACAATGGCTCTGGCTTTTGAAGACAAACAAGGTGCAGACAGGAAGAGGAAAGGAACTAAGTATTTTGTTGCCCCATATAAGGGACTCCAAGACGGTCTTGGATTCTGGATTCCTTGGCGACGGTTCTGGATTCTTTGTCAGTGGAACTTAAGGTTGCAGATTTCAATCTTTAGAGGGATTTCACATTCCTTGAGGTGAATTTTTAATTCCAAAGCCCAGGATTCCGGAATCCACAAGCAAAATTTCCTGGATTACAGATTCCAGAAGCAAAAATTTCCCTGATTCCTAATTCCCATTTTTGGGCAAAATTGGTAACAGGCCAAAGTTTATGAGTTGTGTGGTAGTTTCACTTTGCACAAAATATTGTAATTATAGCATAAATGTCTGAGCTCTGATGTCTTCTTAAAAACTGTTACTGAGCACACTAATTCATTATTGTTTAAATGGCTGAGGAGTGAAGTCATTTCATGCACCTTTCCAAATAATCATAAAGTACATCAACAATATTTTATGTTCCTGAATAGGCAAGATAAAAATAATTTATACTGTATTGAGTTGTACAAATGATTGTAAGGAGTCTTTTGGGATTCGCAGGGAAGTTAAGGTGAGCCACTGATTGGAATCAGTATCACATGCATTATGATATTCAGCACATGATAGTAGTTCCTTCTTATCAAAATCATATTTATACAAGGAAATATTATATCTCTCATGACGTACCAGATAAATACCTTCTTTGAAACTTACAGCACTTGTAAAACCTAGTACATCTGTATTTTGTAGAATAGACCACACATTTGACGTTGGGTCATACATTTCAATACAACTTGAGAGTTGAGGTTCATTTCCATTGCCACCCAAGAATCCTCCAAACAAAAACACTTTCTCTTTCACAATAGCGCCACAAGAAAGCATCTTTCTTTCAGCAGTTGAAGCAACTCTATTCCAAGAGTTTCTTTCAGGGTCATATTTTTCCACCAAGTCCAGCACTCCATCACCAGACATGCCTCCTATTGCATACAAAGAACTTTCATCTGCAACAGCGCACACACCCCACCTAGCGACACTCATTGGTGCTACCTCCTGCCACAGCTTTGTATCAGGATTATACTTATGTATACAGTCACTCGCTCCACCAAAGAAATAGAGACAACCTTGGAAGTTAACTACACCCCAACATAGATGTGTTGAATTCTGCATCAATGATGGGAGTGAGATGACAGGTGTCCAAGAGTTTACTGATGGATCATAACGTTCCAGTGCACATTTGATACCATCTTTTTTTCTCATCATGTACACTTTTCCATGACAAGCAACCATTCTGTTGCCAGCCATATTTTCTCCTGGTACCATGTCCGCCATCTTGTACCATCTGTTAATTGAAGGAATGTAGCAATACGTCTTATTTCCTTCACAGATAACAAGCCCATCTTCGCAATTGTTAAGGCATTTCCTTGGTGGCTTGGCAAAATAACAATCTTCACTGCCACTTGAAACCTCTTTCAGTGCACTTAATACAAATTCTGTGCATATTGCACTGTCTTTTACCAAAGGATGACTAAAAACAACCTTAAAGACAAAGTTGCGTGACATGTACACCACTCTAACGTGACGAAACAATTCAAAAAATACTTCGCCTTCTTTATGATCACGTCCCTCCATCCACTTTAAGATCACCTGAAAGACGTCTTCTTCGCCGTTTATTTGGATTTCATCGCTTGAAATCCACTCTTCAACCTCTTCTCCCGTTAAGTTCTGAAAATCAGCCGATTCTGTGACACTCATGAAATTTGCGAAGATAAAATCCTTTGCTTGTCTTTGCAAGTCCGGACACTGGTACCTGCTGGCGGAATAATAAGCCATTAAACAGTTCGAGGAAGACAGCGTTTCAGAGATGAACTCTACTGATGCCAACTTCAAACTTGGGACAATAAGAAAATCTGCTGATTGCAACAAGTCAAAGACATTATGTTCATTGATGTCAACATGTCCCGTGTAGAGATATTCCAACACATCTTCCATTACAGCCTTGCTCGTTTGTTCCAGTTTGATCACTCCTTCTTTCTTTTCTGTCATGTCAATGTTTAGCGCATTGTAAAAGAACGGACTCGCCGCACATAACACGATTTTATGGGCTTTCAAACGAGCTTGATGGTCGCCGGAACCAACTTCTAGAATCACATCGCAGAGATGTTCATTCCTTCGCTGAATTTTGAGGCGTTTCATCATCTCCACACAAAATTTTTCTTGCCCATTGTCTCCTACTACTGGTTGAAGAAGGCGATCCATGAGTTAGATAACTGAATTTTAAGCTGACTGACCAAACGAATCACTTGCCCCAAATCTCAACACGTCTCACAAGTGCCTATTTTAGAACACTTAGGCATCTTGGTCAGCGGGTGTCAGCCAAAAATAGATATCCTGCAGCCTTTTTCGCGCGTGGTCTTAGCCAGCTGCAGGAGCCCATCAACCAGCTGCCAAATTCGAGGTAGTCTGCGGGGAGGCTAAATTCGAGGCGCAATAAATAAATCTTTCTCTCCGCCAATGACGTCACGGAGCATTTTGCGTTTCCAGGCAACATAGACTTTAGCCTGAGTATCAGGCCTTCTTAAGGGGCTAGGGGAGAAAAGATTTTAAATGATACTCAGGCTACATAGACTTTGCCGCCGATGACCAAGGCGCATTTCATGTAATATTGATACCAGGCTGTTGTGTTTACTCATCGTCTGTGAAACAATGTTTACTATCGGTGAATCACGAACAATTTCCCATCCAAATGACGCAGAACTGCAAGCACAGCAAGTACCTACAAATCCTCGCCGAGAAAGATTTTCCATTGAAACTCCTCGGGAGAACGCCGATTAAAATTTATCGGCGAGCGGATCGAAGAAGACAACCGCGAAGCAGAGAACATCGCTTTAGCACAGCGAAGGCAACGTCGTCAACACAGCGACCACAAACGTGTACAGAGGCAGCGACAAAATACTACAATTACATTGTAAACGAAACCGATGAAGAGAGGGAACACCAACTGCCGACGCTTACAAAAGTGACGAGACTGGATCAGGAAACGCTTTAAGTTTACAGTCAAAATTATCTTCTTCGATGCAGCGATAGGCAGCAAGAATTATGCACTTCAAGAATATCTTTCCAAAGACTCGGGACAGCCGATCGGCCTTTACACCATGAGCAACAATGGGTTTTACAGTAAACTGTATTTTACAATGAACAGTTTAGAACAACGATAACGTGTGACATGTTAGGGAAGCGTTACATTTGTAAACAAAATCCTTGCTGAACAACATTTTCGTTTACAATTTTCATTACATTTACTTTCCCAAAACCATCCCAAGTAAAATATATTATCATTGTATAGCAGCCTTATACATAAACACAACTGTGTCTTTTAAGTCAAGCATAACAAACATTTATTATTGCTGGCCTCTAGCCTGCAGTGCAGACGTTTTCTTTGAGCGCGCAATTTGCTCGCGAAAGCGCCATGTTGAAACTTCCCGAAGAGAAGGAGATGGGGAAAACAGTGTGAAAATGAGAAACACCCCCTAATTAGACGCGCGTGACCGCTCTTCCGGAAATGAGTAGCCGACAATAACAAAGCAATCAAACAGTCGCTCCAGTCCAAAGACTCGCATTGTCTTAAGAAAAACTTCCCGAAGAGAGGAGGAGATAGCGCGAGTCCTTCTTTCGCCCTCGCACCTACCGTAAGGTTACTATTTCTACTCTCCCCAATCTTCCACTGTCATAAAATCAAAGATGGGGGCTACAACACTGATTACGAACACGAACAAGGTTTTGCCCACCCAAAATACGCCTGCACTGCAGGCTAGCTGGCCTCCTATTTTCGATCCTATTTAATATTTGAAATTAAAGAACATCTCCATTTCGGATCTACTCACAATATTAGTGGGTGACATGTCAGGAAAATTGATCATTCCCCATAAGTCAAGTAAGAGAGTTTCAGTATAAGTCAGGGAAATTAATAACTCTTTCAAAGAAGCCAGAGGGAGGTGACATATTTTTGCATACTCACCAAAGTTAAACATGTTCCATTGGTAGAATATTGTATCAAGAAATCAAACGACAAGCAGATATAGGGTTTCCTATGAGATCCATCCATTCTACACTTAACATTCACGAGAAATTCTTGTATTAAGTAGGTGGACAAGTTGGCTGTGATGGGAGTTTGGGCGTTTATTTTGTGTAACAGGCACAGATGACATATAAAACAAAAGAACAAACCATGACTGCATGCTCATGCATGTTGATCGAGAATTGAAATACTGATCACCTTCAACATTACTTTTATGTGGACATTTCATACAAATTCACTCTTGCATGAGTATATAAGGGACTGTGCAATAATTATCTGGAGGGGGGGCTGAAAAACTAGAGTTATCTAGCAAAAACTTAGACAGTACCCCCCCAAAAACAAAAAAATTAGTTCTAACCCCCCCCCCCCCCCTGTGATGTCAAAAATAACGTCGCACCCTTCCCCCTCCCACCACACTGGTAAACTCAAAACTGGACTGAGCTGCCATCACAGCTTCAATAATGACAAACTTTATTCAGTAACATCTAGTGTCGAGAAGGATGTTCATCGCTTGTCATGATTGAAGATTTAGACAAAGCATTTGCTAAGTACCGGGGGGCACATTGGCTCAAAATCTAAAATTTCTGAAGCCAGAAAGAGAAAGGAGCAGAGAAAAAAAATCAAAGAACAGGAGATTAAACGCTTCAAATAACAGACGAAAAAGAGCTCGCATTATATTTAGATCCGTGGGAGGAGAGCCTGTTGAACTTTGTTATGAGCCACATATATATGGAATTCTGCGTATCGATTCAGTCGATGAAGAAACATTACTTTTTGTCACATCAAAAACCGACAAAACTTGTCTACGAGATCTGTTTGATTCCCATTGTTTTATGGGGGAAGCTGAAAAACAAGTTCATGATTTTTGCTTTACATAGGATCAGCTCAATTAATTAGAAGACGGGTTAAAATTGATCAGTTGTGAATTTGCTTTTCATTTTGATGGAATATTTTCAATAATCGTTTAACAGCCGTTCGTATTGATATTTGGTACAGTCTATCATGATGCCTGTATTGAGAATCTTTTATTACGTTTAATTTTATTTACATTTCGAATAAAACTTAAGGCCCCCCCCTCTGTCAAATGAGTGATTTTACTTTGAGCCCCCCTATCTTGGCAGCAATTTTATGTAATGCCCCCCCTCTGGTTTTAGGGCCCCCCTCCTGATAATTATTGCACAGTCCCTAAACTATATAAACACTTTCATAAATGATTTGACATTTTTTACTGTGATAATTCAGTGCTAATGAGGGTACCGCATATTCAGTAATCATGAGTCATGATCACTTTCATAGTTCTCCTCAACTGCATCCTTAATGACATAGCCTGGGACCGTCAGGCTCCGTTAGGACAAATATCACATATTACGCATTAAAGATAGCATGTGTTTGCCTCATATTCGCTTGCAGTTATTCACTCTCACCCCCTTCCATCCCTGACATTTTATGCCCCCCCCCCTGGGGTTCGCGAGGTTCTGTGATACACGTATTTCTAGTATGCCAGTAGCACTGCTCTGTTTTTAGCCAAATTATGCTAAAATTTTGCTCGTGTTTCCAAACTATGCCATTTTTGTGCTCTTCAAAAACCATGGCAAATAAGTCCAATAATCAGAAGCCGTTTATTCTTGTTAGGTATAATTTATAACGGTCTCTGGCAATTGTGGCTGGTTCTGGCCCGTCATTTCTCTGAGGGAGCTGTTAGTTCTCTCTCGAATCGATCGGCTGGCATAGCTGACGTCATTTTTGTAGCCTTGACTATGTGAGGTATTGGCACCGACATAGTTTGCCATGGGACATTCCGGTTCAATCCTTAAGTTCAATCCGGTTCCCGTACACTCTAGTCCCAGGCCCCCATTTCCCGGCTCGGTAAACTGCAACATCGAACAACGTCAGCGTATAATGGGGATTTGGGAATCAACGTACCTGTCAAAACTCAAAACTGTTCCAATAATTGTCAAAATATGCGGAATTATGCTAGTAGTGCTACGTTATAAAAAAAAAGGGAAAAATTATACTAGTTTTCTCAAATAATGCCAAATTTATGCTAGTACAATCTATAAAAGCCTAACATGTTTAGAGTCACCTTCAGGTAAACAGTTAACGTCAGACTCAAGATAAGAATTTCTCAAAATAGAAAATAAGCAGATAAAAACTGTCCAGAACAATTCTTATGGATAAAACTTTCTTTGTAGAAGTAAATATAACCAAATTCGTTGTATCGCGCTGCGGGTTTTGCAAACTTCGAAGGAATTTTGGGTCTTTCTGTTCCGTCAATCATCTTAGCGGACCTCTTAGGAAACACATGCTTACTTGTGATTGGTGCATTTCGATCCACTTTGTTTGTTTCTATGTTTTCGCTGCTTGTGATCGCCCTGTTTCGGACTGTTTCAGGCAATGACCGACTATTTTTTTTCGAAGCTTTTTATGATCTTTCTTATTCTTGTCTCTTGCAAGAATAACGCATCAGTCAATTCCACCTGCGCCCACCCCCCCCCCGCCTAGGCTACTGCGGGGCATTTGCCTGCCTTGTTAGTCCCGGGGGTGGGGCATTTGCCAACCCAGGGGCCATTCTCGAGCTTTTGACACTGGAAAAAAATGCAGATTGGCTCATCTGTCAAATACAGGAATAAATTGAAAAGGGTTGTAAAGGCATGTTTTCGATTTTATGCATACATTTCTTCATTGCTTATCAAGCCAAAATTACATAGCGAGATTGGAGCTATCGATGTGAATCGAGGTTTTTTGGTTATTGAATGGAATTTCTGTTGATATTATTTGAAGAACATCCTTTCATATTTATAAAACTATTTATAACATATAACTCTACAGCGCTCTATTAATTTAATGTCAATAATTTTATATCAATACTAAAACTATAAGATGGTGCATGGGACGTTAGAATCGTAAAAATCTTAGCGCGTCGTTAGAATCCTAGCGCTATCACAAAGGAAGACGTTAATTTAAACAAAAAATTGCACATTAAAATGCTTAAAATGGCACTATTCGACTGTGCGATCAATGAAAAATATTGCAGTGTTGACGGAGGACGGGGCATTTGCCCTCTTTTTTCGTCTGCACCCGGGGGATTTGACAGCTCAAGAGTCCCCACCCCCTGGCCGGGAATTTGCCATGAGGCTTTGTTTGGACTTTGTGTTGGTGTTACTTACCAAAAGGCTGTAACTTAGCCATGTATAGAACTGAATTCCATCAGCAATGCACCTTAACGAAGCACTTAGAAGATAACGTTTAAGTCATGGCAAAGTCTTTCCCTTACTATTTAGGTGTGTTTGAATGTTTAATTCTTCAGGTTTAAAGGGAAGGCGATCGTCGAGTTCAATATAAAAGTGCCGTGAACAGTCTTAAAAGGGTGTCAAAGAGATTTGGGAGATAATTCAAAGACTGTTGACCGCACTATTGAGAATTTAGTTCCATCAGTTAGATAGTTGTTTAATTGCCACTATTATCGAAGCCCTTGCATTCCAAGTTGAGACCAACTTACGTATGGTACGGCAGTGCAACCGCTGCTTAATACAGCGGAGAAACTAAACGAAGACTTAAAGACCGTTTCGACGACAACGCAGACCAGTTGACATCCCAGTGGCGGATCCAGGGGAGGGGCCAGGGGGCCCGGGCACCCCCCTTATTTTTAGGCCAAACTGAGGCCCGAAGGGCCGAAAAAAATTTTGTTTTAGAGACCGCGCGCCCCACCTCCTTATCTCAGGGTCTGGATGACCGGGGCCCCCTTATCTGAAGGTTTGGATCCGCCCCTGCAACCCAAGTAAAATCTCCAAACCCACCATAGTCTCAGAATATTTTCTTACTAAATAAATGATCAATCCGCTAACGACACTATACTTATTCCACTTGAAATCATTAAATCCAATAGAGACAGTACGTGAAAAGCTAGAAAAGCATACCTCATCGAGAGAGAAAAAACTCATGAATCCTTGGGTATTAAAATAAGAAAGATGAAATGTAATACCGTCCGTCCATTTGTGTTTATTTATACTATTTTTACATTTCAAATTTCTTTTGAATAACGACTTCAACGGTTTTTGTGTTCATATACTTTCAACGTTCACCATTTTCCTTCAGTTTTTATTTTGACACGTTGTTATAGTATCGTGAACGCTATCCTTCATTTAGCTTGACCTCGTCATTTGTATGTAAGACCCTGCAGACGAAAGGCTGCGCCTTTCGAAATATCATAACGAAAAATATATGTATTCCCGATTGTATTGTACTGTATTATCAGCCTTCCTTCCTTCCGCTGTCCATTCGCAAATTGCGCCGGATCGATTTGTTGTTTTCCAAAAAAAATACCAACCCACGCGATAATCTGCGATCAGGCGTCGCGCTTTCCCGAAAAAAAGGAAAAGGAAAAGAAGGAAGAAGGCCTGATCGAACGTCATCGGCACAAAAGCCGTCGTGAAATAAAGAAATGGCGTCATTACGTTGCTATGGCAGCCACGATTTAGCAATCAGGCAGCTGTGGTGACCGCTTTGGATGAAAAATTCCGGATGATGAGTCGGACCCGTATTATTATTTAGCTAGCTAGTTAGCCAAACAGGTAGACCACTCTCTGTTTGTGTGGCCATGTGGTTTACACTTTGCTCCAAAATACTGAAAATATCAGGATTTAAACGGAAATGTTTCAATAAAAGTTCAGAACGAAATGTTTAGAAATAACTGAGTCATGTGTAGTGTTTTTGTTCGGTGTCTCAAGGTGTGAAAATCGTTATTTTGCGTAATAATTCGTCGGCCAGCGGTAACGGTGTGTCAAGTTTGTTTGGTTAAATGTTTAAAACAAACATGTTTTGAAACAAACGTCGCTCCCACATGGATCCCGCTTTCTTCAACGTAAGAAAACTTAAGTAAAATAAAGTACATTTTCTCGTTTGTCTTTCGGTTCACCTGGTTTGTGTGGCTACTGGAAGCTTACGTGCGTCCAATTTTTTTCCAGTTTGTTATTTCGTGATCACTAGAGTACCTTAAAAATTAAATGCTTGCATTGACAAAGATTAATTTTTTTTAATATATAACCCATTGGTTCAAGCTACAAAAATGACAACCTCCTCAGTTTAATATGCTAATGAGTCTTAAGTAGTTTTAACAGTTAGATAACTAGCATGTGCGATACAGGTTGCCATGGTAACTGAACATGGGGAAGAATTATTGATAGACGTCATGGGCAGGCTAAAGAGATAATGAAAGAATGGTAGTCTTTAAACTAGAGCCTAAATAAGCCAGGAAGTATTTCAAGATAAGAAAATTTTTAATTCTTCAAGTTAAAGAAAGCTTCATACACAACCTATCTTTTCACTTCAGGTTTACTTAAGCCTATTTTCCCACGCAACATAATTAAGATTGATTGACATGCTTCGCCTTTCTCAAAGCTCAAGAAACCGAAAGTTCGCCAAGTCGGTTTTAAGGATGATTTCCAAGACACTTGAAACTTTCTTGAGTCGTTTCAACTTTCCCGTCTTTAATGAGATGCAAAGTAAAGATACTTGAGATTCTACTTAGGCCTTCACACACGCATTTTTGGTTAAGGAAAACTTAGCAGCTCTTAAGTCTTACTTAACAGTCTAGTGTAAAGACAACCAATATTGGTAAAAGGAGTTATTGAGTACGTGACGGTCTCAGTTAGCCCTATGAATTAGGATCTGTTTACCATAAAATAGCCTTTCATAAAAACAGGTGCTATCTCTATTTTTTATTAAACGTAAACGGAAGATCTACAAATTGGAATAATCGACAGAAAGCTAGAGGGATAAACAAAGCGTTCAAGCTACTTCGGATAGAGAACATAAATGTATAGTACCGGACTGGAAAATGGTAACAACACTACCGTTGACCATGATGATGCAACCTGGATCTTGACAAATGCCTTTACCATTTTTACAATGCAGTCAGGATTCGGTCTCCTAGAATCCGGGATGGCTTCCATGAAAAATGAGGCGAACATCATGGTAAAGAACGCTGTGGACGTCATTTTTGGTGGATTCTCGTATTGGCTTTTTGGATTTGCGTTCAGTTTCGGCATCGTAGAGCGAGGGAATCCATTTTGTGGATTGGGTTATTTCTTAACAGACGCAGAGGGAAGCAGAATGGGTCAGGTGTATTCCAAGTATTTTTTCCAGCTTTCATTCGCCACTACAGCGACCACCATTGTTTCTGGTGCAATGGCGGAAAGAATCAAACTCAAAGCCTACATCTTGTACTCATTCCTGAACACTCTGACATACAGCTTCCCGGCACATTGGATTTGGGATGAAAACGGTTTCCTCCATACAATGGGCGCAGTGGACATTGCTGGGTGCAGTGCTGTGCATTTGGTTGGCGGAGTAAGCGGTTTGGTTGCGACGATGATGCTAAAGCCACGAAGCGGACGATTCGACAAGAATGCTCCTCCAAAACAAATGGCTTCACCGACAAATGTTCTCTTCGGGACTTTCATGCTGTGGTGGGGATGGTTGGGCTTCAACTGCGGGAGTACATTTGGGATAACTGGCATGAGATGGAAGCTTGCCTCAAGGTATTTTCGAGACTTTTCTCTTTCTTCTTTTACCGCACAGATACTGTCCGAATTTTTAGGCACACAGTGTTTTGCTAGGCATTTTCACCCATTCCCCCCTTCTTCACGCCTTTTTTTTACGGTATGAAGAGCCCTTTTTTGAATTATACTTCTACCTTTTAATGGGCTGCGGGAGGGATTCATTCTTATCATTTTTACGAATGGGATTTTTATACTTTTTATAATGTTTAATGTTTACATAGTTAGTATTTGTGTATTTTCCGCGAGGGCACACTTAATTTGGAGCCTCGCTCTGTTGTGTGTCCCGCACCTTCGTCCCTCGTTTTTGTGTCTTGTTCAAATGTATTTTTTTCCCTAGTCTTTTTTAGCATTGTAATCATGGTGAAAGCGATTAAATAAATAAATAAGTAAATAAATAAACCTATATTGGTCATTACACTTGCAAGAGGTTTAAGTGTCCTTCAGCTGTTATCTATCTACAGCGGGATCTCTCCTTGTCTTAACTTGTTAAAACGTCTGCTCAGCCAGCAACCAAAATAAGCGGATCGTATTTCCTGTTCGTGAGCTTTCCCTATAAATCAAGTCTCTTAAAGTATAACTTATCTTGTTTTGTGTGTTATATATACCTTTTCCTGGAGATAATTTATGTGGTTTTGTTTTGCAGAATTAATCTTTCAACCTTAAAGGTTAATTAAATTTGTCTTATTTTTTTCTAGTTAGTGTTTGTTTCTTTTATTAGTGGCTCAAGGTCAGTCAGGATTTCGTCAACATGGCTGTTTTTCTGCTTTGGGCTTTTGAGCTGTTCTCGTACTTGAAATTGATGCTAATAGTTCGCAAATTTCTAGCCGATCGCAGCCGTGCAGGTTCAATTGTACCAAAACATTACCCACACCGAGTTTACCTCTTTTTTATTCTTGCGGTCAGCTAACCCAAACTTTACTGCAATTAAGTTAAAGAAGAATAAAGAAAAGAATTCAATGATAATATGTAGATTTAGCCAGGGCTAAAAGCGAAGCTCCCATTAATAAATTTATATTTTAAATCAAACAATAAACTTGTAATCCACAAATCAACTTAAGGGCACATTCATGTGACTTTTGAGGGAAAGAATAATTTATTTTAGAGTGAAACATCTTACATCGAGTTGATAGCCTAAATACATGTACACCCAAAAAATAGCAAACATCTTCTATCACATTCAAGAGCCATAATGGCTCTTGATCACAGTAGATTAGGCCTCGAAAACAAATTCTTGGAAAACAAATCAGGCCGCATTTTTTTGCGTTCGACAGGTTTACTTTACAAATTCTTGCCAACAAATCTGAGGGTGTGTAAACCAGCTTTTTATACTTTTTATACATCACATCTGAGGTGAAACAGTACTTTTTATCATACAGACCTCGGACAGAATACGGCATTTCACAATTTTTCAATATTCAGGACGATCATCGTGGGCTTTTAACGAAACCGTTCAAAAAATTTCTAAAATCACCCATATGGCCAGCCGGTTCTCATTTTTAGTGCGAGCTGTCAGTGTGATCGAGTGTTTGAATGAACTTTAATGGAGATACGCTTCAACGTAATAACGAATTGATTATCATTATTTTTTGTTATTTAATGGTTCCGGTTATAACGATGTGTAATCTTATAAAGCGTTTGATACGCGCGACATTTTTTAGTACTCCTGGAAACGATGTTAGGGAGCTTACGAATTGACGACTTTCGCACGACGACGCCGTTGGACTGCGTGACGGGCTTACTGCGCATGCTTATTTGGGCACTTGCCGGCGTCGCGCCAAAGTCGACGCCGTTGTTAACAGCGATTCGCCGGCGTCCTAGAAAAAGCAGGACGTTGGACTAATTTTCAAAGTTTTCCCTACATACTTCAGCGGATTTTTCCAGATAATTCAAGTACCGTATTTATTCGAATAACCGCCCAGCCTCGAATTAGCGCCCACCTCGAATAAGCGCCCATCCTAAAGGCAGAAAAAGTTAATAAGCGCCCACCCTCGAATAAGCGCCCACCTTTTGCTCCTCCCAATCAAACTCAAATAAGCGCTCACCCGTCCCCACCCACTTGAGTGAATAAATTCTAATAAGAGACTTCCCCGAGGACGGAGTCTTCTTCAGAGTATTTTACAGAAACCTTGCTTTGTTACTTCTTCGCGTTTTGTCATTAGCATTTATTGTTTTGTTACAAAATAAACATACTTCACTTGCTGAAAATGGTGAAAATTTAATAAGCGCCCAGCCTCGAGTAAGCGCCCACCTCGAATAAGCGCCCACTCTCATAGTCCAAAAATTTAATAAGCGCCCTGGGCGGTTATTCGAATAAATACGGTATCACATTAGGGACATGTTCTTTACATATGTTTTCGATTGGTCTGTTTGTTTTCATTGGAGTAACGACCCGAAGAATCAACACCATAGCTAGCTGTAGACAAACATAAATTAACACCGAGTGAAACCATATTGGCAAGATGGTACCAAAGCTACAACTAGACCATTGCAAGTGGTTATATCATCACAGTAACTACAGTTGTTCAGGAAGTTTATAAATGCCCTACCTGTATATAAACGCGCCTTGCAGTCGTCCTTTGGCGTATCGTCTAAATGCGCAGTTAACTCTGAGTTTGTTGACGAAACGCAAAAAGTATAAATACAGTGAAATACTCGGTCCTTTTATAAATCTGTTTCCATAAGCGTCTGCAATACAAGCTCTCGTTTCTTTTATGAATTTAGACATTTTGGTTGAACAAATAAGCTTACTTGTGAAAAGAAGAAAACAAACTTCAAAAACGGCGGGAAAATTTGCCTGCCGCGCGCACGAACGTCGTCGTCTTTACTACGAATCGTAAATTCAAATTTCTACAGGACGGCAACGCAGAACTATGACGTGACCCAGCGGCGGCGTCGTGCGAAAGTCGTCGATTCGTAAGCTCCCTGTTCATGAACGATGAAAACAAACACCACGGACAAGCGATTAAAATTGCAAGAGAGACTACTAACAATCAAAAAAAGAGATATAATTCGGTAAAACATTTACAGAGACAACAATTTTCATTCACGAAGACAAGTATTAAAGTGTCTCTAAAAATCCTGAGTCTTTAAGCTTAAAGCTTAAGCTTAAGTTTATTTTGTTTTACTTTCAGCCGGCCTCCCGGTGTTTGTTTTTTTTTTTCAAAGATGAACTCCTCGAAACAAGAAAATCACTCAAAGTTTTCTTTCTACAGCCAAATTTATAACTAAATATTCTTCGTAACGTTTTTTTTTTCTATTTGCCGTGAGAAAATATATCTGAAGGCCTTTTAAAGTTCTGTAAGCTTATATCAAACCTGATACTAGATCAGATCATTGACTCAAATCTCAACAAACGTGCAAAAACTTGCCGCATAAACTGTGCTCGACTTCATGAAATTAGATATAACAAAAACAAACATTAAATACAATAATTACTCAGGCTTACCATTCGAGATTCAGTTCCTGAAAGATATCAAGGAAGGCCATAGTTGCTTGAGACTTTTAAACCCTCTTACGCATTGAGCAAAGTGAAAGACGAAAACGATGCCATCCGAAATCGGATTACCCAATTTTGACAAGCGACGCATTTCTCAACCAAAAACCCAATAAACAAACCAGCCATGGATAACAGAAGACTCTTGATAGCAGCTGTATTTCATTTTGTACATCCGGTGGAAAAAGACAGTTAAAAACATCACAAGTAGACACAAAACTCTGTCAGCTTTTCCTGTCAAAGTAAACAACTCTTAAGATGCTGCATAAACTTTCCGCATGAACTCACCTGTCAAATTTTGACCAATCAGAGTACAAAAATTAGACGTAGAGCGTGACCAACGCGTGACCATGGTAAGAAGAGTCTTCCCCGCCTTTATTTTAAAAAAAAGTGGCTGAATTTTCGCGTCCGAGGTCAGTTTGAAATCAAAATCTTGATAGTGCGGGGCCATAGAGACATAAACACAACATATTTCATATGAATCATTAGAAAAAATTGACTTGAGCCTGCGATCATTTGAAACTGGTAATTTGTCAGCGGATGACTTCAAAAAAGTACTCGACCTCGATGGGTCGACACTTGAGCCCGCGGTACGGTCAGGTGATACTGGTCAGCGGATATCCTGTTTTGACAGCTGTCAATTGATCACAACATTGATGTGCAATTAGTTTTCTATTGGGCTCCCAAACTAGCTAGAAAGTGTGAGAGTAAACATTGGTTTCCCTGTGGTGCGGACGGACGGTCGTACGGTCACGTGATTACCAAATTTTCTCGGATGGGTAGATTACCACATTTCCTTAGCTATGGGGCTCCGTCCACGCGCGTGCTTCGCGCGCGCGTAGAGCTCCGCTATCAAAGGACACTCTTGTTATATCTGCAGTTCTTGATAGAGTAGTGAGAGGGTTTTGTACTATTTTATTCCAGTTAAACTAGTTAGTTTATCCTTTTAATATATATATTTTAATTTTCTTTCTTTATTCCTTTTTTATGCCACTTTTATTTCTGATGGTAACCTTCCTCTTAGTGATTAGCAAGTACTGAATAGAGAAGGGGAAAGAGCAATACCAAATAATTCAATTTACGCAAAAACTTGTTTGCACTAGGTCAGCGGTCGTGACGATAAACGGAGCTATTGGAGGTGGAATCGTTGGAACAGTGTACAGGTACGTATATGTCCAGGATCGATAGCTAGAAAAAGTTTTATTTTCATTTTTCTTTTAGCCCCAGAAGAAAGTTTGTTTTCAAACCAAAATATTGGGCAATTTGTTTAAATATATATTTTTTTGTTTCATTCTTTTGTTTACTTCTTCATCGCCTTGCCGTAAGGATTAGTTTGCCGTTTCATATTTTTCTACAAGTTTAGTCGTACTGATGCAGGTCTACAACTGGGAGGTCCAGCACCACTCATTGGTTTGTTGCTGTGGACTTGCTGACATTTTATATATTTTCGATAGCTAGACCCTATCATAAAGTGTCATCATGGCTACATGTTCTCCAAATAATCTTTAGCTTCAAATTTGTGCAAAGTAATTCAGTGTCAATGACAAACTGTCCAGTCACAGTGCACGTGAAAATCGCCGCGCGCGAGTTGAAGCAAGCCGCGATTTTCAAGTGCGCTCGCGTTTTTCTACCTTAACTATCCCTGAAGAAAGTAAGGGACTATTCGTAGTCTAGGCTCAGTGGGAGGGAGTAAGGGGGAGTTTCTGGATTTTCTTTTATATTTGAAATTTTCCAATCCGGAATTTTTCTCTCCTCAATCCCCCTCCCTTTTTCCCTTCCCCCCAATCCCCAAACTCTTTCGACGCCTGCTACGCAGGCCGCAAATTTCTAATTTTTCGTGTTATATCATTTAATGCTTTGTGGAGATTTTTAAGGCTCGGAAATTCAGCATGGGATGTTTTTTTTGGTCAACTTTTGGTCCAGGGATTTTTTTATGGGGTTTGTTAAAAACCCTAGGGAGTTTTATGGGTTTAGATTTTTGTCCCCATTCTATCACCCCCGTCACTTGAAATCCGGAATACCCCGCCGTGGAGTCTAGGGCGGGTCACCAGCTAATTGTAAGGTAAAGGTATGAACGATTTCAGCCGGTTTTTTCTTCGAAGGCCTCTCTTCAAAGAAAACTGTACGTTCGAATCAAAAGCACTATAAAACCCAAGTAAGTACAGTATCAGCGATGGAAAAGACAGGACGTCTCGAGCATCCTTGCAGAACTGCCCATACAAATTAATCATGGCGATAAAGCACTATAAACCATTTATCCACTCGTTTATTTGATTGAGGATACTGGCATTTGCCTGTTTTTTTGTATAATTGGTTGTAAGGCTAGTTTCAATTGTCTGTACTCTTTAGTTACGTTGTCTACAAAAACAAATTGGACATACCTTGCTTCGTCACTGGAATCATATCAGGTCTCGTGTCCATCACCGGTTAGTGAGTAGATAAGAACTGATATACGCCTTAGCAGTTAACCGAGTATGCCCTTTTTTACGGTTTACTGATAAAGATGATTTTCTTAAATTGTGTAATGACTAGAGGTATACATTATCGACAGCCTCTTAAAAGGAAATTGGTTGGGTTAATGACTGTGTATAACCTGAGGCGCTTGTACTGGGTTTTAAAACTCACACCCTGAACATTTTTCAGATCGCTCGTAGTTCATCCAAAGGTCGCGCTAATCATACTAGCTATTACTCCCTTCCTTCCCACTACTTAACCCCCACCCGTTGCTCCCTCCCTCCGTACTACTACTCCTTGCCGTCTATTAACATCCCTTCCCACTACTCTCCCTCTATTTACCCAAAATAAAGAATCACGCTGGTGATAAGCGCTACACTCAAACAAGTACCTTACTTTGTCAAAAAGGGAAGTACACTTTACTCTACGTACGTTCATTTGTAAACCAGTTACCTGTGAAGACGTTCCATAGCTTTCATCTCAACAAACGTCCTGTTAAACATGCTTTAGTCATTATGCTTTTTATGAGTAATAAGTAGTTTTGCCTGGGCCTTTTGTTGTCTTCAATTTCCTACTACTTGGCAGTTTTCCCGACGTTGCTATACCATTTTCCTTCAAGAACACGAACACTGCAAAAAGCTGGAAACCTGGGGGGCTTCTCTTGCACGAGCAGTGCAGGAGTACTTGTTCAGCTGAGGGAAAATCACACGACAATCAATAGTTTTTGGCTTCATGAGATACCAAATTTTTAAAGATAAAGTAATCCGCTCCCACTCCCACTTTGAGCACGGGAGCGGATGACAACATTTTGATACTCGCTTGCAATTAAGTCATTGCCAATGACCATCAAAGGCAAAGGGAGCTGGTAAATTGTATAATCATGGCCTGTTTTAACGATAAGTGGTCGCCATCTTGAAACTAAGGACGAATATCAAGGGTCTTTACATTAATTGAAGATACTAATAAAGCAATGAATCTTATTTGATGGTCTAAAATTGATCAACTTTTTGCTGATTCAATTTGAAGGAATATGCACTGTGGCTCGTCCTTGGGAAGGAATCTTCATTGGTGCAGTGGGTGCTCTAATAGCATGTCCTGGATGGTCTCTTCTTGATCGACTCCGAATCGATGACCCTGTTGGCTGTGTTCCCATCCACCTCTTTGCTTCAGTCTGGGGTCTCTTGGCTGTTGCCCTGTTTGCTGAGAAAGACATTGTCGATGATAATCTTTCTAAGGAGTTCCAGGAGTTCCGAGTCGGGATCTTTAAGGGTGGTCCTTGGAGATTTTTGGGAGTGCAGGCACTTACGATTGTGGCTGTTTCCGTATGGACCGCAACTGTTACTTTTCTGGAACTACTATTGATCGATAAGCTGGTTGAAATGCGCGTATCCCCACAGGAAGAACTACTGGGCGCTGACAACGTTCAACATGGAATTGAACGAGGCTGTAGTCAACCCGTTTGTTTGTGTGTGTCAGTCAATTCTCCCATCAACCAAAAGGGTCTGGAAACGATTTCTTGTGAATCAGAGAGACACTTTCAACGCCTGCCGACACCTCGATCACCTTCAGGTTCTTTTTCCTTCCCAGTCCACCACCGTGTAACTCTATTGGATACCATGACTGAGCGACAGTCAGGAGGCTTTTGTACTGGTGACATATTACATTGAGCCAAACCAGTCATTAGGCAGCCTTAATTACTCACTTGTCTGAGTATGCCTTCTCAAGACGGATGCGTTAACAGTGTGATGTGTTGACTTGTGCAAGAAAAAGTGCTTAAATGGCTGTGAAGTAAAGACTTCCGAATGCTGATTGCTGGCACCATGTCATTAAAGATGTCGGAAGAAATCAGATCCATGTTATTTGTTTTATTGTTTTTAATATAGTTTGTAGGATAAGCAAACAACGCGTCTTACCTTTTTTGCAACAATATGGAACGGGTGTGCATTGGCAATTTTCGTGGTAAATTTAGGTGACTAAATATACGCCGGAAAAGAAGTTATGTGTAAGGTACATGACAGCTTCTCATCTAGCGAAAATGATTTTTCATTGTAAACAAAAAGGCGCAAATAAATAACAATCAAACTGATGAAATGATGCTATAGATTATTTGTAAAAGACAAATTCATGACTGTATTTTTTTTTCTTTTACTGTACTTTGAGCTATAAAATTCGCCCAACCTACTCTCTGTCAATCAAAAAGGAGAAATTTCAGTCGTTCGTGGAAAGTTGAACGTTGAAAGTTCTTTCGGTTACAACCTTCCAGCGCTAAAAAAAAAAAAGCTCTGACCACTCTGGTACGTGAACAACGAAGCCAGCAATGAGAAAAGATTGTGACCAACGTCTGTGAACGTCTGCCAATGCCTTGGTCACCGTCACGCTCTTTTTCTTCGCCAGTACACCGTGAAGCTCCATGGAAAACGACGTTTGAGCGACAGTCAGGAGGTCTTCCTACTGCTAACATAGTACATTAAGCCAAACCAAAAAATCTGGAGTCCAAAATCTGAATCCGGAATCCGGGAAACTTTTCCATCTGGAATCCGGAATCTTAGGCGTTAGGATCCGGGAAACAGCTAAAGGAATCCGAGATCCCAATAATGATTAGAATCCAGAATCCGAGTTCTACTGACAAAGAATCGGAGATCAGGACCTAAAATCCAGAATCCTTAGCGTTGATTCCAAGACTGTCTTGGATTCCCTCACATGGGGCCACTCAAGTGTTTGAGTGAGCAGTTCTTGAGGCATACGGCTAGGAGTGTGATTTTTTAAATTATAGCATGACATACATGTAGTTTTTGAATAACTGAAAATTATTAAGTGTACTTTCCATTAGGAAATCTGGATTTTGTTGGTTTGAAATTCAGATTTTGAATTTTGCAATAAAGTGCGATTTGCAATAGAGTGCGATTTAAAACAGCAACTTGCTGTTTTACTTCAATTCTGTGCTCAAGTCACTACTAGTACTTGTAGTGCCTTTATCCATACCAAAAAATGCTTTTGTAGAGTCATGAAAGAGGTATCAAACAATTTCATCAGCTGAAAGAAGCAAGGCTTATTATATAGCAGAGGATATCAGATATCATCATAGAACTGAATTTCATCAGCGATGCACCTGAATGACGCACTTAAAAGATAACGTTTAAGTCATTCCAAAGTCATCAGACGTTGAGCGTCTGTCTTATACTGGACGTTCAAGTCTCAAAACGGAACTTAAACGTCTCTAACAAAATGGTCTTCGTAGAGATCTAAAGTGGCCGCGCGAGTGTATTTAATCAAGATCAAGATACCTACAACTCTCTTAGTCTTGTTTATCAATACCGTGATCATTCTCGTGCAACTACTTCCAGTACGTAGTCATAAAAGCGACCACTGCCTTTGTAAGTAAGAGATAGCGAAATGCCTTTTCTTATGCACTCTTTTAAGTTACTAATGCTTAAATTTCGTAAGGATCCGCGATCAAACTCGAGGCAATAAATTTGAAAAGATGCCTGGGTTTTAGGCGCTAAAGCCAGAGATTAAGGGAGCTCTGTCACAGCAGTCCAGTTCATTTTGCTTAATTTTGCCAATTACTTGGCCTCAACCTCTATGGAACGTAAAGTAAGTAAATAAATTACATGTAAATGACAAAATCAGAAATTCAAGACAAACAAATATGTCTCCTGGGCATTATTTTTGAAGTTGCAAACAGCAGAGATCAACTTTTAAAAACTGTTAGGCTGAACAGTTTTCAAAAACCCTAATTTCAATCCGTTTCAATCTTCTTCAGTTTTGCCCATCCGTGGCATCTGTTGTTTCTGTTGTGTTATTTTAACCTTCCTTTAAAGTTTTAAGCGGTTATTTTTATGTTTCTCTTAATTTAACGGACATTTTGTAATTACCTAACTTGTCTGAATTTCGTGACACAGCTCCTTTTAAGAGGCCTTTAGGTAGACGCGTATGAGCATGCTTAGTAAGGGGTCTGGTTTCATGCTCACCCGATCAAGATTGTCTGAAATCGCTAGAAATGCAACTAAAACAAAGTATTACTAAAAATCTCCATTAAAAATAACAGAGGACGCTTGATGTCAAAATTAGTCTCCAGTGAGGAAAAACGGTGGATTTACTTGCAGGAGAATTGTTTGTTTCTACACTTGCGTTTTGGTATCTCTTTATTGCAATTCAACTTAGTTTATTTTCCCACTATATTTTAGTTAGTGCTAAGTTACAGCCTTTTAAAAAGTAACACCAACACAAAGTCCAGTTACCTTTTAGGCGTGTTTGAATGTTTAATTCTGCAGGTTTAAAGGGAAGGCGATCACCGAGTTCAAAATAAAAGTGTCGTGAACAGTCTTAAAAGGGTGTCTAAGAGATTTGGGAGATAATTCAAAGATTGTTGACTGCACTATTGAGAATTTAGTTCCATCAGTTAGATAGTTGTTTAATTGTCACTATTATCGAGGCCCTTGCATTCCAAGTTGTGACCAACTTACGCATGGTACGGCAATGCAACCGCTGCTTAATACATCGGAGAAACTAAACGAAGACTTAAAGACCGTTTCAACGAACAACGCAGACCAGTTGACAACCCAGTGGCAGATCCAGGGGAGGGGCCGGGGGACCGGGCATCCCCCTTATTTTTAGCCCAAACTGAGGCCCGAAGGGCCGAAAAAAATTTTGTTTTAGAGACCGCGCGCCCCACCTCCTTATCTAAGGGTCTGGATGACCGGGGCCCCCTTATCTGAAGGTTTGGATCCGCCCCTGCAACCCAAGTAAAATCTCCAAACCCACCATAGTCTCAGAATATTTTCTTACTAAATAAATGATCAATCCGCTAACGACACTATACTTATTCCACTTGAAATCATTAAATCCAATAGAGACAGTACGTGAAAAGCTAGAAAGGCATACCTCATCGAGAGAGAAAAAACTCATGAATCCTTGGGTATTAAAATAAGAAAGATAAAATGTAATACCGTCCGTCCATTTGTGTTTATTTATACTATTTTTACTTTTCAAATTTCTTTTGAATAACGACTTCAACGGTTTTTGTGTTCATATACTTTCAACGTTCACCACTCTCCTTCAGTTTTTATTTTGACACGTTGTTATAGTATCGTGAACGCTGTCCTTCATTTAGCTTGACCTCGTCATTTGTATGTAAGACCCTGCAGACGAAAGGCCGTGCCTTTCGAAATATCATAACAAAAAATTAAATAGATATATTCCCGACTGTATTGTACTATATTATCAGCCTTCCTACGTTCCTTCCGTTGTCCATACGCAAATTGCGCCGGATCGATTTGTTGTTTTCCAAAATAAATACTAACCCACGCGATAACCTGCGATCAGGCGTCGCGCTTCCCCGAAAACAGTAAAAGGAAAAGAAAGAAGAAGGCCTGATCGAACGTCATCGGCACAAAAGCCGTCGTGAAATAAAGAAATGGCGTCATTACGTTGCTATGGCAGCCACGATTTAGCAATTAGGCAGCTGTGTGGTGACGGCTTTGGATGAAAAATTCCGGATGATGAGTCGGACCCGTATTATTATTTAGCTAGCTAGTTAGCCAAACAGGTAGACCACTCTCTGTTTGTGTGGCCATGTGGTTTACACTTTGCTCCAAAATACTGAAAATATCAGGATTTAAACGGAAATGTTTCAATAAAAGTTCAGAACGAAATGTTTAGAAATAACTGAGTCATGTGTAGTGTTTTTGTTCGGTGTCTCAAGCTGTGAAAATCGTTATTTTGCGTAATAATTCGTCGACCAGCGGTAACTGTGTGTCAAGTTTCGGCTAGTACTTTTATGTGAGCTCCATGTTTGGTTAAATGTTTAAAACAAACGTCGCTCCCACATGGATCCCGCTTTCTTCAACGTAAGAAAACTTAAGTGAAATAAAGTACATTTTCTCGTTTGTCTTTCGGTTCACCTGGCTTGTGTGGCTACTGGAAGCTTACGTGCGTCCAATTTTTTTCCAGTTTGTTATTTCGTGATCACTAGAGTACCTTAGAAATTAAATGCTTGCATTGACAAAGATTAATTTTTTTTAATATATAACCCATTGGTTCAAGCTGCAAAAATGACAACCTCCTCAGTTTAATATGCTAATGAGTCTTAAGTAGTTTTTACAGTTAGATAACTAGCATGTGCGATACAGGTTGCCATGGTAACTGAACGTGGGGAAGAATTATTGATAGACGTCATGGGCAGGCTAAAGAGATAATGAAAGAATGATAGTCTTTAAACTAGAGCCTAAATAAGCCAAGAAGTATTTCAAGATAAGAAAATTTTTAATTCTTCAAGTTAAAGAAAGCTTCATACACAACCTATCTTTTCACTTCAGGTTTACTTAAGCCTATTTTCCCACGCAACATAATTAAGATTGATTGACATGCTTCGCCTTTCTCAAAGCTCAAGAAACCGAAAGTTCGCCAAGTCGGTTTTAAGGATGATTTCCAAGACACTTGAAACTTTCTTGAGTCGTTTCAACTTTCCCGTCTTTAATGAGATGAAAAGTAAAGTTACTTGAGATTCTACTTAGGCCTTCACACACGCATTTTTGGTTAAGGAAAACTTAGCAGCTCTTAAGTCTTACTTAACAGTCTAGTGTAAAGACAACCAATATTGGTAAAAGGAGTTATTGAGTACATGACGGTCTCAGTTAGCCCTATGAATTAGGATCTGTTTACCATAAAATAGCCTTTCATAAAAACAGGTGCCATCTCTATTTTTATCAAACGTAAACGGAAGATCTACAAATTGGAATAATCGACAGAAAGTTAGAAGGATAAGCAAAGCGTTCAAGCTACTTCGGATAGAAAACATAAATGTATAGTACCGGACAGGAAAATGGTAACAACACTACTGTTGACCATGATGATGCAACCTGGATCTTGACAAATGCATTTACCATTTTTACAATGCAGTCAGGATTCGGTCTCCTAGAATCCGGGATGGCTTCCATGAAAAATGAGGCGAACATCATGGTAAAGAACGCTGTGGACGTCATTTTTGGTGGATTCTCGTTTTGGGTTTTTGGATTTGCGTTCAGTTTCGGCATCGTAGAGCGAGGGAATCCATTTTGTGGATTGGGTTATTTCTTAACAGACGCAGAGGGAAGCAGAATGGGCCAGGTGTATTCCAAGTATTTTTTCCAGCTTTCATTCGCCACTACAGCGACCACCATTGTTTCTGGTGCAATGGCGGAAAGAATCAAACTCAAAGCCTACATCTTGTACTCATTCCTGAACACTCTGACATACAGCTTCCCGGCACATTGGATTTGGGATGAAAACGGTTTTCTCCATACAATGGGCGCAGTGGACATTGCTGGGTGCAGTGCTGTGCATTTGGTTGGCGGAGTAAGCGGTTTGGTTGCGACGATGATGCTAAAGCCACGAAGCGGACGATTCGACAAGAATGCTCCTCCAAAACAAATGGCTTCACCGACAAATGTTCTCTTCGGGACTTTCATGCTGTGGTGGGGATGGTTGGGCTTCAACTGCGGAAGTACATTTGGGATAACTGGCATGAGATGGAAGCTTGCCTCAAGGTATTTTCAAGACTTTTCTCTTTCTTCTAGTACCGCACAGATACTGTCCGAATTTTAGGCAACAATGCTAGGCATTTTCCCCCATTCCTTCCTTACTCACGCAATTTTTTTTACGGTATGAAGAGCCCTTTTTTTTAATTATACTTCTACCGATATTGGTCATTACACTTGCAAGAGGTTTTAGAGTCCTTCAGCTGTTATCTATCTACACCGGAATCTCTCCTTGTCTTAACTTGTTAAAACTTCTGCTCTGCCGGCAACCGAAATACGCGGATCATATTTCGTGAGCTTTCTCTATAAATCAAGTCTCTTAAAGTGTAACTTATCATGTTTTGTGTGTTATATGTACAATTTCCTGGAGATAATTTATGTGGTTTTATTTTGCAGAATTAATCTTTCAATGTTAAAGGTTAATTTAATTTGTCTTATTTTTTTCTAGTTAGTGTTTGTTTCTTTTATTAGTGGCTCAAGGTCCGTCAGGATTTCGTCAACATGGCTGTTTTTCTGCTTTGGCCTTTTGAGTGTTCTCGTACTTGAAATTGATGCTTAGCTCGCAAATTTCTAGCCGATCGCAGCCGAGCAGGTTCAATTGCACCAAAACATTACCCACACCGAGTTTGCCTCTTTTTTATTCTTGCGGTCAGCTAACCCAAACTTTACCACATTTAAGTTGAAGAAGAATAAAGAAAAGAATACAATGATATAAAAGGACACTCTTGGTATATCTTCAGTTCTTGATTAGTGAGAGAGATTTGTAGTATTTTATTCCAGTTAAACTAGTTACTTTATCCTTTTAATATATATATTTTAATTTTCGTTCTTTATTCCTTTTTTATACCACTTTTGTTTCTGATGGTAACCTTCCACTTAGTGATGAGCAAATACTGAATAGGGAAGGGGAAACAGCAATATCAAATAATTCAATTTACGTAAAAACTTGTTTGTACTAGGTCAGCGGTCGTGACGATAAACGGATCTATTGGAGGTGGAATTGTTGGAACAGTGTACAGGTACGTGGGAAGTTCCTCCCAAAGCTCACAGATATGTCTAGGATCGATAGCTAGAAAAAGTTTTATTTTCATTTTTCTTTTAGCCCCTGAAGAAGGTTTGTTTTCAAACCGAAATATTGGGCAATTTGTTTAAATATACTTAGTATATACTAAAACAGTGGATAGTGTTTTTCGCGCGCTTTGATTGGCAACTCAAACAGTGAATATCCTTCACTGATTCACCTCCAGTTCCTCCGAGTAAGCGACGCCAAACTCGCGTAAGTTGCGAGGAAAATGCCTTCCCGGTTCGCTGCCGTAACAAACAAAGAAATTTCACAACTAAGCAAGCAAGCTATGAAGAAGGTGACGAAGTTCGGTTTGGAAGTTTTAACAAGTAAAGATTTGTCTTTTTGACTTGAATTTATCGATAAAACCGGTAAAAAAGTTTTTTGTTTACAAATGCAAATTAACCTTAAGTCTTGCATTACTTTATTTAGTTGACTTGTTCATAAATAAGCTTAAAACTAGATTTAATAATCTTTTTTACAGAATGATTTTAAATACAAAAAGAATTCACAACTCCTTTTGAAGAAATTTCCCCGCAAGAGGTAAACAAATGCCTTCAAAAGTTTTATTTGTCGGCAAGAAAAAGCGACGACCGCGGCCGTTCGGTCATTGCGCGCCAAAATTGTAATCGTTGGCAACAGTAAATGAGTTAAAAATCATCATTTTTGTGCTCAATTATCTCACTGTTTTAGTATATACTAAAACAATTATTTACCTCAGTGTCGGTGGCTAGTGGTGGTATTTACCTCGCCGCTTCGCGGCCTCGATAAATTCCAGCACTACCCACCTCCACTTCGGTGAATAATTGCTATATATTTTTGTTTTATTCTTTTGTCTACAAGTTTAATTATACTGATCCAGGTCAGAACTGGGAGGTCCGGCACCACTCAATGGTTTGTTGCTGTGGACTTGCTGACATTTTATATATTTTCGATAGCTAGATCCTATTATAAAGTGTCATCATGGCTAAATATTCACCAAATAAGCTTTAGCTTCAAATTAGTCCAAAGTAATTCAGTGTCAAGAGGGTCTCAATGGGGTTAACCGATAGCCGTAAAACGGCCAAAAATTTAGTCGATAGCCGTAAAAATTGAAACATTTTAACCGTTAGCCGTAAATAGAGTAAAAAAGAGTTAACCGTAAAAGAAACTGTTCCCTAGATTTCCCACTTTTAAGGGAGGTACAAAACTCACTTATGGTTGCGTTTTTTATTTCCCGGCTAGTGTGACTCCGTACGTACGTTAGGCGAGGCGCCTTTTAGGTGTTGACCAAGACCTAGGCTCCATTTCCTCCACTCTCTCGGGGAACTAATTTTTTCCATAGCGAAAGTGTGGCTTCTTGCTGGAGATTAATATTTGCGATTTTCAGGAGGTCGTGCCCTCAAAACACTAGTGAAACAACTCGCAGAGATGTCACTGTTTGTAAAACACGTTGCCGATAAACAATATTTCCCTGTTTTTCTCTGATGCTACGGTAGACATTGCCGTCCCTGTACGGCGTCTTTCCACGCAATCTCGGTCAAGGAATTCGGTGGCGAACTCGCTGGGACCACGTGACCCGAAACGCATTAGCCGCGCGAAATAATGGGGCCTACGGACAAGTCAACTGCAGACAGTCGTTCCGTACAGTCCTTCGCTATCATTAAAAACACTGGACACGGGAATTTTGTTATTGGCCGTTTTCACGCTAGAGCCAGAGATGGATTATCCGTCTGATGCCTGTGTACAGTAGCGCCCTCCCCACAGACACTCCTTCTCCGATTTTTTTGAGGGAAGGGGGCGGTTGCACACAGGCTATCTGGAACGGGATAATCCTGTCTTGAAACTGTCCGTCGAAATTGACGGATAAAGTCAGGCGGATTGTTCATTCAAAATTAAAACTATTCCATTTTCAAATTACGAAGTATTACCTATCTGACGCGAGTCATCAAACGGATAACTCGTCTCACACGAGTAATCCGTCTCTAGTGTGAAAACGGCTTCCGCTTTTGCTTTTTCACAAAGATTATTAAATAATCTTTTTTTTAAATTGACTATTGACATTTCTATGTATAAAATAATATTAGAAGTGAAATACTTCATGAAAGGTATGATCTATCAAATGTTAAAATTTTTCAAAAGAATAGTTTGTTTCAGCCCGAGATGATCTGAAGACCTTATTTCGATTTAAAGATACAAAAAATACAGGTTAATTAATATTTAACTTTTTGAAACAAAAGAAGTTAATTTTTAACTTTTTTGTTAACCGTAACTGAAAAAAATTAACCGATAGCCGTAAAATAGCCAAAATTTTAGCCGATAACCGTAAAAGCCACCACCCCATTGAGACCCTCTGTCAATGACAAACTGTCCAGTCACAGTGCGCGTGAAAATCGCCGCGCACGAGGGGAAACAAGATGGGATTTTCAAGTGCGCTCGCCGAAAGTGAGCGATTATTCGTAGTTTAGGCCCAGTGGGGGTAGTAAGTGGGGGAGGGGGGGTCTGGATTTCAAGTGACGGGGATGATCGAAGGATTTTCCAGTTTTCCAATCCGGAATTTTTCTCTCCCAATCCCCCTCCCTTTTTCCCTTCCTCCCAATCCCCAAACTCTTTCGACGCCTAACTTCTAATTTTTCGTCTTATATCTTATATTTTTAAGTCTCGGAAATTCAGCATGGGATTTTTTTTGGTCAACTTTTGGTCCAGGGATTTTTTTATGGGTTTTGTTAAAAACCCTAGCGATTTTTATGGGTTTTGATTTTTGTCCCCATAAAATCATCCCCGTCACTTGAAATCCGGAGTACCCCGCCAAGGAGTCTAGGGCGGCTCACCAGCTAATTGTAAGGTAAAGGTATGAACGATTTCAGCCGGTTTTTTTCTTCCAAGGCCTCTCTTCAAAGAAAACTGTTCAAATCAAAAAAGTACTATAAAACCCAAGCAAGTACAGTATCAGGGATGGAAAAGATAGGACGTCTGGAGCATCCCTGCAGAATTGCCATTACAAATTAATCATGACGAAAAGCACAATAAACCATCAAGAAAAGCAATATGCACTTGGCCGCTTTAGCTTTCTCTTACTATTTTCACTGTTCATGATAGAAATGCCATACGATATAATGAAAGGCACCCTCGACCATGAGTATATGTTCCATAAAACTGAATAAATACTATTTGTTCGAGATACCTACGTTTTCAAAGTATTCTTATTCGATGTTTTATTAAGTTTTAGCCACTCATTTATTTGATTGAGGATACTCACATTTGCCTGTTTTCTTGTATGATTGGTTGTAAGGCTGGTTTCAATTGTCTGTACTCTTTAGTTACGTTGTCTACAAAAACAAATTGGACATACCTTGCTTCGTCACTGGAATCATATCAGGTCTCGTGTCCATCACCGGTTAGTGAGTAAATAAGAACTGATATACACCTTAGAAATTAACTGAGTATGCCCTTTTTTACTGTCTGCTGATAAAGATGAATTTCTTAAATTGTGTAATGACCAGAGGTATACATCATCGAAAATTGGTTGGGTTTATGACTATGCAACCTGAGGCGAGTGTACTGGGTTTTAAAACTCACACTCTGAACATTTTTCAAATGGCTCCTAGTTCATCCAAAGGTCGCTAATCATACTAGCTATTACTCCCTTCCTTCCCACTACTAATATTTAACCCCCACCCACTGCTCCCTCCCTCCCTATTACTACTCCCTGCCGTCTATCAACATCCCTTCCCACTACTTCCCCTCTATTTACCCAAAATAAAGAATCACGCTTGTGATAAGTGCTACACTTAAACAAGTACCTCACTTTGTCAAAAAGGGAAATACACTTTATTCTACCTACGTTTATTTGTAAGTCATTTACCTGCGAAGACCTTCCATAGCTTTCAGATCAACAAACATCCTGTTAAACATACTTTAGTAATTATGCTTTTTATGTCGAGTAATAAGTAGTTTTGATCACTAGACTTTCAGCAACGAAATCCGAACAGATGAGGAATTTTTGGGGGATAAAAATACGCCTATATTTGACCGTTAAATACTAAAATACGTTCAACAATGCTTATGTTTAAGTGGTTTTGAACTATATTTTCGTTGGGTGCCCCTGTGTTTTAACGATAAGTGGTCGCCATCTTGAAACTAGGGGCGAATATCAAGGGTCTTTACATTAATTGAAGATACTAATATAGCAATGAATCTGATTTGATGGTCTAAAATTGATCAACTTTTTGCTAATTCAATTTGAAGCAATATGCACTGTGGCTCGTCCTTGGGAAGGAATCCTCATTGGTGCAGTGGGTGCTCTAATAGCATGTCCTGGATGTTCTCTTCTTGATCGACTCCGAATCGATGACCCTGTTGGCTGTGTTCCCATCCACCTCTTTGCTTCAGTCTGGGGGCTCTTGGCTGTTGCCCTGTTTGCTGAGAAAGACATCGTCGATGATAATCTTTCTAAGGAGTTCCAGGAGTTCCGAGTCGGGATCTTTAAGGGTGGTCCTTGGAGATTTTTGGGAGTGCAGGCACTTACGATTGTGGCTGTTTCCGTATGGACCGCAACTGTTACTTTTCTGGAACTGCTATTGGTCGATAAGCTGGTTGGAATGCGCGTATCCCCACAGGAAGAACTACTGGGCGCTGACAACGTTCAACATGGAATTGAACGAGGCTGTAGTCAACCCGTTTGTTTGTGTGTATCAGTCAATTCTCCCATCAACCAAAAGGGTCTGGAAACGATTTCTTGTCGATCAGAGAGACACTTTCAACGCCTGCCGACACCTCGATCACCTTCAGGTTCTTTTTCCTTCCCAGTCAACCACCGTGTAACTCTATTGGATACCACGACCGAACGACAGTCAGGCGGCTTTTGTACTGGTGACATAGTACATTTAGCCAAACCAGTCATTACGCAGCCTTAATTGCTCACTTGTCTGAGTAAGCCTTCTCAAGACGGATGCGTTAACAGTGTGATGTGTTGACTTGTGCGTGATGAAAAAGTGTTTAAATGGCCGTGAAGTAAAGACTTCCGAATGCTGACTGCTGGCACCATGTCATCTTAAAGATGTCGGAAGAAATCAGATCCATGTTATTTGTTTTATTGTTTTTAATATAGTTTGTAGGATAAGAAAACAACGCGTCTTATCTTTTTGCAAGAATATGGAATGAGTATGCATCGGCAATTTTCGTGGTAAATTTAGGTGACTAAATACACGCCGGAAAAGAAGTTATGTGTAAGGTACATGACAGCTTCTTATCTAGCGAAAATGATTTTTCATTGTAAACAAAAAGGCGCAAATAAATAACAATCAAACTGATGAAATGATGCTAGAGATTATTTGTAAAAGACAAATTCACGATTCTATTTTTTTTTGCTTTACTTTTGAGCTACAAAATGCGCCTAACCTACTCTCTGTCAACCAAAAGGAGAAATTTCAGTCTTTCGAGGAAAGTCGATCGTTGAAAGCTCTTTAGTTTACAGCCTTCTAGCACTATAAATAAAACTCTGTCCGCTCTGATGCGCGAACAACGAAGCCAGCAATGAGAAAAGGTCGTGACCACGTGAGTTCACCTTTTTGGTTTGACAAACAAAGCCACGTGACCGAAGTTGTTAACATCCGGCACCAAAATCAATTGTCAGGCATGTCTTTGAACTCGCAGTCTATCTGTTTCGGTAGTACCATGTGAGCCCTTTGATTGTCTTCTCCCAGTGCGACACTTTGGCTCTCTAGCTTAGTAGTTTTGGACCACGTGAATGACAACCCGGGCAAAGGCCTATTGATGAGCGAGGTTGTACGACCATTATGCATTTTACTTGACAACCAAACGCTCAAGAATGTAACCACGTGAGTTCACCTTTTTGGTTTGACGACAAAGCCACGTGCCTCGAATCGTTAACGTCTGGCGCCAAAATCAATTGTCATGCGTATCTCTGAATTCGCCGTCTACCTGTTTCGGTAGTAATTTCCTTTGCTTGTCTTGTCCCAGCCGGTGCGCCTCCCTTGCTCTCCAGCATGGCTTTTTTTGTACCCTGTAGATACCAGACCGCAAAGGTCTCTCACCCCCTACTAGGCTTTGATAGATTGTGCTAGCATAATTTTTGGCATGATTTGTCATTACGAGCAGAATTTTCACGTATTTTCGAAGAAAACACTGCTAGGCATAATTTACCCTCTTGGCTATAGTTTTGCAGCTCAAAATTGCCATTTATTGATCATGCAACCATTTATTGCTCATGGACCCGAGATAAGTGTTACAGGAATATTTAAGTGACAAAATCGTATTTTTTGTCTTCTTTTTGTCACATTCATAAGATCTTACTCTTTCCACAGGACTCAATGCACATAACTAGCTCGGTTAAGATCTTCACAGTAAGTTGTCAGACAATGAATTATGCATTCTTAAATGAGGACGACAGACGATTTCCCTTTTGAAATACAGAAAATATTTTTTCAGTTATAGTTTCAACCTGTTTGAATCTTTGTCCAATTTGCAGTCTTTTCTCCACTATTTTCAAATGGGAAGCTAGGAAGAAAGTGAAATATGATCATGATGTTTACAGATGGAAGTTGAGGTTTTAACAAAAGCCTGGTAGTAAAATCGCTCCAGGACGAATAATCAGTTCAAAAAGGTTCCGATCCCGGAATTCACTTAAGGTAAATTGGTAGGAAGACCAAAATTAAGCGAGCGCAATAGAATAGCCCATATTTGCACACAAAGTGTGGTTTTACCAGAAGAAGATTACCACTATCTGAACGCCTGGAACAGGCTAGGAGAAGATAACTTTCTAATTCCGCATACTCGAAACAAAGACAACATCTCAGTCTTGTACACGAAATTTCAAAAACAAAAAAAACGCACCCCTTTCGGCTAAAATAGTTTAACAAGTTCGCCGAAAGCTAATTCAATTATTTATGGTGAGTGTGGGCGACCATTTGAGGTGATACGGAGCACTCATGAACAGGAAGTATAATCAGTCTTACCACGCTCAAGTTATGACGCGTAAATGGTGGAAAACCCTGGCTTGACTATCAACCGCGGTTCTGGAAGTGAGCCCACGTTCGTCTCCCCCACCTCCCCCCCATAAAAAGGGACTGAAGAGAGCGGGGGAGATCGAGTCTGTGGTAAACCATGAGAAAACTTGATCCTTCCAAAACGGGAGGGAGGGCTCCACCGTCTGCGTACTTAGGAACAGGAAGCGGATGATTTCTTTGCCCGTTGTTGCCGGGGCAGAAATAGCCTGAGCAAACATGCGCAATGCAATTCAAACAGGTAGGCTTCAGGTCATTATCTGTTTTCTTCTTACTTTCATCCAATAAGCAATGACTTGGCGGACGATATTGCCTCTTTAGCGATGCCTTTACTCCCTTTAGGGTGATAAATCTACAATGAATGAGGAGTATCGTACACTGTTAATGTTTCGTCACTCCTCGCCACCTCATTCATCTCGTACAGCTCGCCGACCTTACCCCGGGTGGACTCTCATATAAAAGTGACGGGGATGCTCGTCGTCTCATTTTGAGGTGTAAATTGCAGATTTTGGTCTCACTTAGGGTATCGCTTAGTACTCTGCATAAAGAAATTTACAAAAAAAAAAATGCCCTGTGTCTGACCACACCGAAAGCTCTCTTAGGGGTCAGTTTAAGCTTGAGACACATCCACATTGGTCTCCCTTGCGGGGTTTAATATGAATTTTCCGACGAGCATCCCCGTCACTTTTATATGGGAGTGCCCCCGGATCACACACTTGAAATTAATCAGCTGAGAGCACAAGCGTCCCAAGCCCACGTTACGAGTGTGTTATGTAAATTTACTTTCTCACAAGAGAGTCCGTGTCGCGTTACAAGCAACCGTTGAGGCTTTGTATGAGGAATAAAATACTGAGGTCGTCCAACACTAAACATCATTATTTTTACGCTTTTTTCAATACGATAAATACAGGAGACCTACCTTTGATGTATTCCTGCTTTTTTTTGTGTGTGTGAGTTCATCGATTTAGTCGGTTTTTTTGGATGTTATTGTGTGACCCCTGTCACTCTCTTCATAACATTATGTGAAAAGTTGTGAGAAGGATGAATCCCCTCAGTCAGGCATCGTAACATCAAATCCTTGGATGAAATACCGTATTTCCTGCAATAAAAACCAGGAGGATTATGAAAAGATTTCGAGCCAAAAGTGGGGGTGTTTCTTCAAAGGAGGCGCTTATATAATTGAGGGGCAACTCTCGCTAAATCATTCCTTTCGACGGGACAAACTGAAATAACATTTCGGCTTAATCTAAAAATTGACAACACATGGAGATTGAAATGACTAGAACTATTATAAAGGAGAGGAAAGTGCTATCCTAATTATATATAAAAAAGCTGATCACGACACCCTTTCTAATAAAAAAAAAATAGTGAGGGGAAAGAGATGAGGCAGACGTTTAGTTAATAATTTGGACCCTTTTTCGGGGAAGCATACACGAACTTAGAACGTTTTAATATTATTTCTATATTTATTGGAATATACCCAGCCAGAGCCTCTGTGGGGAAAATATGGTATTGTCCCGTGAACTTTCACAGTAGTCGGCCAAAGCCCAGTCCGCCCGGCCTTGAGACTTTATCTTTCCCAATGAACCAAATCCGGGAAGTGGATTAACAAACTATTTTGCCGCCGGTGATTTCAGTGGATGTATATGTGCCAAAATAAATTGACCCGCATTGTTATATTCTTACAACGAACAGTATATAATATACATGCTGGCGAAATTGACTCATTACCACGCGTTCAAGACAGCATTGCAAACGAGCAGTTATCCCCCGAAGAAGAACTTAAAAACCAGTCGAGTCGACCCTTTATTTTAGCACAATGAAGCTAATTTTGATTATCGTTTTCGTCTGTTCACTTGATGTTCTGACGCTGTTGGCTGAAAAGACTGCAGCAGTTAATAAGACCGAAGCAGCTACTTCAGAAAGAAACGGGCGGAGTTCAGATTCCTTTGGTATTCAATATAACTTTTCTTCAAGACAGAAGAGAGGACTGCCAGTCAAAAGCTGCAGTACAGGTTTGTTTCTCGTCATAGGTTTTCTAGTAACGCCCTAGGAAAACATAAGAAAGACATAAAAAAAACGATTTAATTGAAACTCTGTAAACAGCTGAACAACTTCATGACGAAGGTGACGAGATCGCCAGTTATTAGGCATGGCGAATACGGTAACTTGCAAGTCCCGACGGAGCTTTTTTGAAAGTTAATGACCTCCAAAAGCTTGAAGAATTTATTCGTCAAAAATTTAAGATCTCCTCTTTCTATCCCGATTGCTTTGAAATTATTAGCTTGGTTTGGATTTACTGTTGACCATGCATATACGTGTAGGATAAGTTCCTTTTCGATATTTGCCATATGCTGGTTTATACTACCCTTACACGGTTCTACCAACTGAGTACGTTCATAAGATTAGTAATTCAGGCCTCATGTAGTACGATGACTTTTTTCAGCCCCAAATTCGCCCTTGAAAAACGAGTTAAAAACTGCAAACTTTGGAAAGTAGATGACCCACAGTTGCAAACGGTCAAACGGTTCAAACGGCCAAGTAGATAACAATCCCGAACACAAACTGCTCGTACTCTCCTAGAGCCGAACAAACATAGTCTTAATCTGAGAAAGAACCGAAGTTTTCATGTCTTCATCGGTAAAACAGACAATCTAAAGAATGTTTTTTAAAGTAATTGTATATAGGCGATTTTATTATTAGGGGATTTTATGGTTTTAAATTCTAGCGTAGTTAAATTGTTTGTATTCTTTTGTAACGTCATATTCAATTCCGCTCTGGTAATTGCTGGAGCAAAATAGGCCTTCAGTAGAAGGTTTGACGAGTGCATTAAGCTGTCAATTTATCATTCAGTTCTGACTACTTAATTTCATAAAAAGTTATCATTAATCTAGTTTTTAACTCTTGCTAATTCTTGAAGTACTGCCAGTTAATAGTTGAAGAGGAAAAACAAGAAGACTCTCGCACTCATTCTTATCACCGATGTTAAAACTCTACGATGATCGAAGCAAAATACGTCACAATCAAAAGGCCAAGAATAGAGAGATTAAGATTCACGTTTACGCCAAACGGCAAACGTGAATCTGTACCACGTGACCAAGTTTTTCCCTTAATTGTCGTTAACTGTTTATTATTTCAACTAAAAAATAAGTAGTTTTTCGCCAGTTTTATACATAACAATTGTCCTGGACAGTTTTCATCTACTTATTTTCTATTCTTAGAAATTCTCAACTTGAATCTGACGTTTGCCGTTTGGCGTAAACGTGAATCTTAATCTCTCTATTGCCACATCAAACTCCGAGACGTGCGACCCGTGTTTTCCGGCAAAAATGTTGCATTTTGCAGGTTGCGGATCCAGAAAATTAAGAAAAAAGTGGGAGCTAGGATATTTTCTAGCTCTAGACATACTTGTTATTTCGGGATAAAATAACTCTCAAAAAACTATCTCTTTTACTAGGATCGGATCAGCAAAATTGACATGGCGTGGGATGGTGTGGGAAGAAAATTCGGTAACCTGCCCGCAATCCACTGTGCATTGAGAAAGAGGACCAACAGGAATAAGGCTGTGCTATATCTATATAAAGAAAGATGACAATGAGCTGTATTTATTGTTGGACAAAGGCTAGAAGCTCAGGGCCACCCAAAGACTTTATTTTTTAGTTAGTTATTTCGCGAAGGATCAAATTATATTGCCTACAAGTTTTTATGAATTTCGATAAAGGTGAACATGTCTTGTACAGCCGATCAGACGTTCAAGATATTCGGAGTTTTCCCTAAGAATTTCCGAGGTTGTGTTTTCACTTTTTACCTGCAGACCAAGATATTGCGATTATTGTTTTATCTCTTGATCATTTTGGTATTAATGCAAAACGACTCACAGTAATTTTTTGTAATAAAAAAGTCCTCGAACTTTCGTTAGGAACAATCAGGGTAGCTAACAGACGAGACGAAAAAGCCAACTAAAACTTTCGCCACGACCAAAGTTCCCCAAGGACATGAAAATAGATAAATAGTGAGTCAGTTAACTGAACAGGCTTACAGAGGGAGGTGAGGTGCTTAAAAGAAAAAGGAGGCTTTTTTTTGGGGGGGGGGGGCTTATTTACTTTAGCGAAGATTATATAGTATCAATTCTCCATAAAATCTAGAATGTAACGTGGAAAAGCATAGGCCCATGAACCTAGAGGTACCACCCACGTAACTGCTGACGGTAAGAGATCCAGTGAGGATGAGAGAAAACTGACAAGACAAGCTCTGAGGACCATGAATTGTACCCGATTATATGGTGCCATTTGCCTTCACCTCCGTGCGTGCTTGATAATAACTGGTTTGGCGGGTTAAGAATGCGGTTGGTTGACGTTGTTATGACTACGTTAACCTTATGTTGCACCTGAGAATAACCACAGCCCCATGCCAGTAAGTCCAATTGTCAACACCCACTGGTGTCTTGAAGGACTCGTAGCCATATAGATGGACCAGCTTCACAGCGGCTAATCTTCCAGAGGATGGCATGTAAAACCTTCCAAACTGGTGATTACTGGCACCAAAACACACGGGAGAGGAGTTAACCTTGCGCCAACGACCTGAAAGTTCAAACACAGTGTACTGTAACTCCTCTATTAATCCCCCCTCTCAAATAAACCCCCTCTAACAAGCCCGCTTTTCCAGAGGAAGGAAGTTATTAAGCCCCCCTCCCCTCCACCTTTATTCCTAAATGATAAACCGTATCACTTCATATGCACTGATCCCTATCCAGCATGATTTATTCATGTGTTGGAACTTCGGATTTGTTTTTGATCTTCGGTTATACGATGGCGAAGACTTGATGGATTGGGGCGAAGGCGACAATGGTGGAAGAGTGTGCTGTGATGTTTTTGCTCTCTACGTTTAAGTTTCTTGCCTAAGGGCAGATTTTAGCGTTTTAGATTTTTTTGCTTAGGGGTGGGTCGAGCGGCCCGCGGCCACCCCTTTTTCTTTGAAATTTTGTATTATTTTGAATAGAATTCTCAGAAAATTAAAAAGTATCTAGATAGCTGGCAAGTGTCCCGGCCACTCCTTTCTAAATTTTCTGGATCTGCCCCTGTTGCACAAGAGATTTGCTTTTATAGGGCTAAGGAAAGCATAACAAGACTTAAAAAAAATAGACTTATTAGTTTTCAGCACGATTAGTAAATTTGAGTTGCTTGTCAGTGTTTTTCTGTAAAATGTCACAATGGCTCAGGACGAACGCTTGGTTCTTTATGGTCAACCTTGGCCCTAGGCCGTCTAGAGATCCATATCGCTCTTTCAAATCCCAATATCGATGTCAGAGAATCCTCGCTCAGTGTTATTATGTTGCCATCGTTAGTCTATCTCTACTTTGAACTTGACACTGAGCAAGATGAAATACGCAAGACCTTGTTAATTCACAAGCAAAAAACTGAATGAATTGAATGATTTTGCTCCTTTTTGGTTGATTATTCCTGGTATTTTAGACAAGGGGGCGTCTAATACAACCGGATTTTAACAGCGTAGACGGGTTGTTGATTCAGTGGATAAGAGGCGTGTATTTGGCAGGGGCACCCAACGAGAATATATTTCAAAACCACTTAAACATAGCATTGTTGAACGTATTTTAGTATTTAAACGGTAGATATAGGCATATTTTTATCCCCTAAAACTTTTTCATCTGTTCGGATTTCCTAGCTGAAAGTCTAGTGATCCAAAAATTGTAGGGATCAAAACTTACCTTTTCGAAAATTTCAGCCGGGAAAAGGGCTCCCGAAAATTCTAGGTGACCTTTTTAGGGTAAAAATCCGTTAAAAATGGGCAATTATACCACTTTTAAGATGTTCGAAAATCCTAGGAGAGGCAGGCAAGCAAGAAATTTTACAACAAATGTTCCGAAAATCCTAGATCTCAAATCGTCTTCCGAACAGATATTTTCCGAAAATTGACGTTGGGTGCCCCTGATTTGGGAGTGGGCGTTTATTAGCCTGCTTCGCAATCAATTTAATCTCGGCTCGGCCAGTGTTTCGACACTGTTTCGCAGACAGACTTAACCACGGTTCAGTTTCGACTATGGCGCATGTTAGCGTTTATTGGGTCTTTTACGGTATAGTTCATTTCAGTGAAAGCTGAAGTCATTGTGACTAGTGCACACCTAAAGTTATCAACGCTTTTTGTGATCAGAAACACCGTTTTTGAGTGCTAAGGAATCCCCTGAATGGAGGTTACACCCAGGTTTCGGAAACTAGAAAAAGAGTCCCTTTTCCCTGAATAGAGGTGTCCCTCAAATAGAGGTAACACTGATACGATAAAAGATTTTATTGCTGGTTTTCAGTGTCACGCCATTCAATATAGATCAAAATAAAAATCAAAACCGTTCCGAACAGATAAAGTCCAGAATCTGCGAAATGAAAGGAGGTATATATGCAAAGACCCTCACCAAATTTCAGGTCAGAGGAATAATTCGTATACGAGATATTCGAAGAAACGTTTTACCCAAATATATAGAGATTTGTATGGAAACACCATGGTGGTGGTGCCCATCCGGATGAGCAGCAACATGGCGGACGGAAACCAACAGAAACATCTGTTATCGAGTTTTGCTACAAAAGCGTGAATTTATTCTTCGAAGAACTAGCTCATAAACATTGCCGTCATGTAAAAGCCGTGTCACGCAAAATCTTAGAAGTTCAAACGTCCTCTATCACAAAACCAAGAACCCTTTTAAAGAGAAAATTTGTATGAAAATTAGTTTTCAGCTGCTCTAATACATCGTGAAAGTAAAATCTCTGTAGGATCGATAGTTTTGTAGTTTGAAGTTTAGTGAGGTCGTGTGAAAATCAGCAATAAAAATTTTTCTGGGACCAAATCATGTGTTCCCTGAATGAAGGAATCCCTGAATAGAGGAAGTGTCCCAAAGGAGAGGTTTCACTCTAAAGTATTATCGAATGATCCTGAAAATAAAACCCCCGAAGATAATGACTGCGGACGAATAACAGCGCCCCTCGCTCGGAAAGCTTCGTTTTCCGAATGCGTCGTCCTTCGCCCGACGTTCTTTCTCACTGCGCCGAGCATTGGATAATATGTTACCAGATTTGTATTACACGATCGTCAAGTTCATAATATCAGATATGTTCTACAGTAAAGAATCGCCTGTGCCAGACTCTCAGATAGTATAGTGGGAACGTATTAAAACGAGCAAAGCGAAAATAAGACGCGCACGACTTGGGAAACGGGGCGGTGTCTCTCCCCAGCCCCCGCGCGTTTTTCGTATTTCTTATTACTGAACATTAACGACTTTCCACCACCATCTCGGAGGCCTGGAACAGGCTAGTAAAGAAAGGCTATTCGCTCTAGCAACTGTTAAAATTTAAGTACAATCAAGGTCAAAAATAACTTCTCTGCGCCGTGATATTCCATGAAAACACCGAGTGAAGGTTGGTATATCAATAGTTACTTCATATATGATTCCTATTACCGATAAATAGATTTGGTAATCCGCTGGTCAAGAAAAACGCAGCTTCTGAATGGGAACCTTCCCGGGGCAGTCCCGGGGCAATCACATGATTATCTTCAGTTTCAGGTGACTCTCCAAGATGGAAGGTGTAAAGTCTGCTGTGTTAGTCACATTTTTTCTCACCTTCTTCGGACTTTGCTCCGCCAAACCATCAACCCAAGAGTACGTGCTACTGGAAAAGAACCACGATGTCGAAGCTTGGCGAGTGGAAGGCTGGGAAAGGCTCGAGCGACTTCGATCGTCGGAAGAAATATTTCTGACCTTCGCTCTCAAGCAAAGTAACTTGGAATCTTTGGAACGTATCTTCTGGGAAGTCTCTGATCCGAAATCTGAGGAGTATGGAAAGCATCTCTCCTTGTCTAACCTAACACAGCTGATAGCACCATCAGAAGCGACGATTTCGGCCGTTCAGAGATGGCTCCGAAGTTATGGCGTTCATTCAAGCGACTGCAGCTCCATTCTCACGAAAGATTTCATGACTTGCCGGATGTCTTGCCAATCGGCTGAAGCGATGCTTGTTGGCGCAAAATTTTATCGTTTTAAGCACGCCAAACTTTCCAAGCCCGTTGTTCGTTCGGATCAACTCTACTCTGTTCCAGAGAGTATTACGCCTCATGTTGACTTTGTGGGTGGGGTACTTCGCTTTCCAGCTGTTAACGGCCCATCGTCGCCCAAGGTTTTTGATCATGAATTTTTAGACAACATGTTAATAAGGGATCGAATCCATATCGGTGTCTTCCCGAGTGTTTTACGAGAGCGCTATAATGTGTCTGATGTTGTTGGAACCCATCCTGACAACCGCCAGTCAGTGGCACAGTTCCTGGAACAGTACTATAGTCCTACCGATTTAGAGGAATTTTTCTACCTCTTTGGTAGCTCCTTCAAGCACCTGGAGAAAATGACCAAAGTTATTGGCCCGGACAGTGGACGCTCTGGTATAGAAGCCAGTTTGGACACCCAGTACATCATGAGTCTTGGTGCCATGGTACCAACGTGGTTCTGGAGCACTGGTGGTCGCCATGAATCACAAGAGCCCTTTTTAGAGTGGCTTCTGGATGTAAGCAATCGTTCTGAGGTGCCATGGGTGCATAGTGTTAGCTATAGTGACAATGAGGATACACTTGATGTAGCTTACATGAAGAGGATCAATGTGGAGTTCCAAAAAGCTGGTGTAAGGGGACTGACATTCTTATTTGCAAGTGGTGACAATGGTGCAGGATGCAAAAAGAAGAAATTCCGCCCTATGTATCCTTCATCTTCTCCATATGTTACCACTGTTGGAGGAACAGCTTTTGACGATCCCTTCACTGTGTCTGACGAGTATGCCTATGACATCAGCGGTGGAGGATTCAGTAATGTATTCTCTCGTCCTTCTTACCAAACTGAAGTTGTTGAAAAATACCTGAAATCGGGGCCTCATATCCCACCCCCATCTTATTTCAACCAAACCGGCCGTGGATTTCCTGACATCTCTGCTGTGTGTAACCACTTCTGGATCGTCAACAACATGGTCCCTGTTCCAGGTGTGATGGGAACATCTGCTTCTACTCCCACAGTGGCTGGCATCATTTCATTGCTAAATGATGCACGGTTACAAAAAAACAAGTCTACACTAGGATTCTTGAACCCCTTTTTGTATCAGAATGCTGCAACTATGTACGATGTCACCTCTGGATACAATGATGGATGTCTGTCTGGGGATACTGGGTTTTATGCTACCACTGGCTGGGATCCAGTGACTGGTTCTGGTACTCCTAACTTCCCAGCGATGGTAAAGGCAGCTCTTAATTACCAGTAAAATTGTATTGGGCATTTGATCAAGAACAGATTCAGGATGAGAGCACGTTGGTGGAAGGTAGACTGTACATCATAGAAAGTTTATTACAAAAATCTTTGCTACTACAAGCGTTATTTTCAGATAATATGATATGAATTTTCCAAACACAATTGTATTGAACTGAAATCATTAATCATAATAAAAAGCACTCATTATTGCTGTTTATTTTCCAATTAATGGAATGGTAGAGTTTCCCTTATGATGTGTGAAATTATGAAATTCAGCAAGGTTGTGGCCAAAGCAGTGGGTGTTTTGGGGGAAAGATCAAGGCCCCCCCCTTATTACATAATTGGATCATAGAGGAGGAGTCCAGGGGACCCTCAGTCCTTTCTTTATTTTTAGGCCAAACTTAATCCTGCAGGGCTGAGAAAAAATATTTTTGATGCCACCCCACTCTTTTTTAGCCATTAGATAAGTGGGTACCATGGGGACATCATCCCTTGAATGGCCCAAAGGGGGAGCTTGTGCCCAAAAGGAGTACTTTTTGCAGGCCCCAGGTATATGAATGGGTAGGGATTTCACGAGTTGAAGCATATCTAAGGGGATCAGGGGTTTCAATAATGATTGAAGTAGCCAGCAGGTTTGAATAGAATACCTGACTGTATCAGCAAGGGGCCATTAATCCCGTATCTCTAGGGGGGTCTGGGGCCGTGCTCCCTCACAAAAGTTTGAAATTTCAAAGCCCTAAAAGGTGATTTCCAGCATTCTGGGGACTAAATTAAGTACAAAAGAGTCTGTTTTTGATTCAAGGAAGAGTAGTTTTCATTCAGGTTCCAATTATGAGTCACACAGTTTACAAGCACTAACCAAACCTACATTTCACTGAGAACAAATTCTATCTAAACGTACAAAGAAACATGTGAAGAATTGACTGAAATACGGCGTTTGCATAACTAAAGCAATAATAATTGAAGTAGCCAGCAGGTTTGAATAGAATAACTGACTGTATCAGCAAGGGGCCATTAATCCTGTACCTCTAGGGGGGTCTGGGGGCTTGCTCCCTCAGAAAAGTTTGAAATTTTAAAGCCCTAAAAGGTGATTTCCAGCATTCCGGGGACTAAATTAAGTTCAAAAGAGTCTGTTTTTGAATCAAGAAAAAGTAGTTTTCGGTCAAGTTCCAATTATGAGCCACACAATTTACAAGCACGAACCTAACGTACATTTCAGTGAGAACAAATTCTATCTAAACGTCCAAAGAAACATGAAGAATTGACTGAAATACAGCATTTGCATAACTAAAGCATCATGCAAAACCAGTGGGCATTTACCTTTTGTTTCAGATTTTATGATATGTTATTTGTTTACCACATTGGAGGCACTAGTTGCTTCTTCTTTCAGGGAGAAAAGTACCCTACTTCTCTGAGCAAAATAGGCGATGCGCTTCGTTGGTCATCTGTGCTTATTGAAATCCCTGGGGTCTGGAATCTGTCATTTTGGGAGGTAAAGAGGCCCAAAAGGGCTAGCAGATGCATTATCTGACTGTGAAAAAGTAGATAAGACATTCTAGTTTTGTGATTTTTTCATATTTTTAAGCCATAATGCAGTTACAACAGTTTAAACGGGATGCAAAGATGTAACTTAAAGTGAAAGGGGTACCATTATTGGTCAATAGAAGGTATATGAGGGGTACCTTTTCTGTCCAAAAATAAGGGGTTGGACCTTGGGGATGGAGCTCCCCCCCCCCCTCCTCCCCCCAGCTTACTTGAAGATCTGAAGTCACCTCTATATAGTACGGACCATGCAAATGGAGGCACAACAGAAGATAGTTTACTACTGCTAGAGAGCTCCCCCTTAGCCTTTCTTCAAGGACTAGTCTCTGCAATGGTTGACCAGACATTTGCATGGGGTTCAGATCTGTGCTCTAGCAGTACTTAGTGGTCTCTGGTACTTAACTTTGCTTGCTGTTGGGCAAAAAGGAAATTCAGTTTTTCATAAAAATCACATACTAGGTACCTTGGATTCTTGCATTAGCTTTTCACAATAATATTTTAAGTATAGCCTTAGGGATTCCTTTATGCTTGCTTTCAATGGTGGGGTTAATGTGGCAAAGGCCATTGTATTATTCAGTGTATATCAGTGTATGTTTCTCTTTACAGTGATTTGGATCCTATGAAATAAAAATACCGGGCACACAGCTCCAGGCCAGTGTGGTGTCCAAAAAATTAGGGGCCTTGCCGTCTTGGTTGGCACAGCTGGATAGCCCAGGGACTGCCGTAAAAGTGGGTGGGTGGATCAGACCTGGGGAGCAAAACTAGTGGGGTAGGGAGGGGGCTATTTTGACATAACCCCTTCAGTAAGCAGCAGTGTTCACCAGAGGCTTTGACTGGCAAGTACCTTGCTCTTACTTTGCCCTAACCAGCTGAATCAGGCCTCTGCTGAGAGTGATTATCATGATAATTGCAGAGCTCAGTGGGAGGTGCAGACATCCACCCAGAGTTGTGGGTGGGGAGGGTCAAAGTCTTGGTACCTAGGACATACTTAGTGGAGGACCTGTACATACTCACTGAAGCCATGTTTACCTAAATTCAGTCAGATATATGTTGTAGTTTATTTAATATTTGTAATATTTCTTTTCCTTTTGTTTCAACTTTATTAGCATACATTACCCCCCCCAAAAAAAAAAAAAAAATTTGCTAATGAGATAAAAAAAAAAAATTAACTACAACATATATTAGCCTCCCACGCAGACGTTCTTAGGGCTTTGTCACGCAATCATTCCTCCCCACGTGGGGTAGGAACGCGTGACGAACCCCTAAGAACATTTGCGTGGGAGGCTACAACATATATATGAATGTAATAACTATAAGAAATTACAAAATTATTCAAATATTGGCACCATGTATGAAAATGGTCTGTAAGAGTTCTTTGATACATTTACCCTCAGGTACAGTTGGGTGATGTGAGGAAAAGTTCACTTTTTAAAGAATCCGAGTACGACTTAAGGATGTTTTATCAACTTGTGTTTGTATAGAGTTTGTCAAACCCAAGACTGTTGTGGCTCAATGATTTTAAGCTTTATTTAACTGCTGTTTTACTTTGTTTTTATTTATCGTTATGTTGATAACAAAGTTTCATAACTCTAAAATCAATGCCTGTTGTCATTCATCTTGAAGAGTGGATGCTTGAATTCAGAATTGACTTGTTTCTTCTTTTTTGACAAGAATGGGTGACTTAGTGAATACTGTATGTGGACTGTCAGGTAAAAAATGTTATTGAAAAAACAAGATTTTTAAAATGATATGAGAATACTATACTAATAATGATAACAACAAAATATTCATGTTGAGTCACATCTCTGTTATAAGTTACACAAAGTGGTATGCATATAGAAGCCTCTGTACAAACAATCACTACAGTACCATTATTTCACAAGTCTTTCTTTCCGTGGTTATTTGTTGTGACAAGAACTCCTTCATTAATACCTGAGTGAGTTCAACGACAAATGGTTAAAATGCAAAGATTACAATAGGCAAAATTTTCATTTGTCATTTACTTATTTGCCCTTTCGCAGACTTATTACTAAATAATCATAGAATAATTATACCTGGGCAGGAGCTCTCAGCAGTTAGTAAAATCCAACTACTGGTCTATTATCAATGCCACATTCTGATTGGTTGAGCTACTACTTGGCTATATGTTATAGTCCACTGGTAGCGAAAAGTGCCGGCTTTTTGGCGGCAAAAAAGGATTAAGGTCCAGCTTTAACTAGCTAAAGTTGTTTTGTCTCGATATTTTTGACAATGCAACTAGTTGGATTTTACTACAACAATAATTATTCCTCTCGCCCTCATTGCCTCTGAGTCAATAGCCTATGAGGCCTGCTATTGACTTATAGCCCGGTTGGGCTCGAGGAATAATTGTTCAGTAAACCCTTGTAGGCTTAATGGGGGAAGCCCCTGGACAAATATACAGAAATTCTGTAGCCTAAAATGTGTGAACATCATTTTTTTTCGTAAATGTAAGATTTCAATGTCAGTTTGGAGTATTGGGGGGAGAGTACTCCCAATAATGGTCTACCCCAAGGGGTACCTTCTTCTGGTATATGAAAGAGTAGGGACTTCCCTAGTTAATGTACAAGAAAGGGTGAGGGAAAAATATGATTGCAGTCCGCGAAATGACCTAAGAGGGGTAACAAAGGGCCATGTAAAAGACAAGAGAACTTCCCAGTTTCATGGTGTTATTTTAGTTATATATAAAAGATGGAGTGTTTACACACTATGGTCTGATATTGCAGAAAAACACCACATCCTTGCTTATCAGCATCTCATTAGATAATGAAAGGTTAAGAAAGAAGCACTTGATTTGTGCTTCAGAGATGTAGCCTTAATTTTTAAACTACGTATGTGAAGGGTTTTTATAACCCTAAAAAACAAAGGTATGCAAAAGTGGTACCTTTTTTTGTCTAAAATGGTCTATTGAAGGGTAGGGGGTTGGACCTTCTGTTGAGCCTCCCCGTCCAAAAACATTGAGTCTCCTCTGCCACTGGGGGATGGAGTTGTTTTCAGTGATTCTTTATCCTCAAGTGAGGTCAAATAGTTAGGACATCTTAATATATCAAACTGGCTCTCATTCTGGTGACATGATTTCTTTCCTGGGTTAAATATTAATCATCTTCATCACCGTGTGTAAAGAACACTACACTCTCAAGATTATTTAGGTGTATCCCTAAGGACCTAAGGGCATCAAGGGCAGACAGCATAGGTGAATACCCGAGTGTGCGGCACGCTTTCTGAAGTCCTTACCATATTTCAGACCAAAATCTGCTATTTTCCCTACCCTATTTTAGACCTGATCAAAAATTTGATACCCAATTTCAGAGCTAAAGCCCTGGAACTCGGCGTAGACCGTAGCGCGTGACAAGCTGTTATGGCACGTACACGGTTGGCGTAAACAAAAAAAGGAAAGTGGTCTTATCGCCAAATGATGAAGAAGTAGCTTCTTCTAAAAGACATACCCAATTCATGAAGACTGGAGTGCACAAACCATACCCTATTTCAGACCAAAATGGTCAAAATTGATACCCTATTTCAGACCAAAACAGCTAAAACACCAGGCCCTTTGGCGCCGCACATACCCTATAATTATAAGGGCGTACCATCTCCCCCCCCCCCCACCTCCCCGCGGCGGGGGTAAAAAATTACTAGAACCCAAACTACAGAACCCTTAATTAGCGCCAGAAAACTTTTGCTTTTTTGTCCAATCAGAGGGTAGCAGACCTGGGTGTCACGTTTCGTGTGTTGTTACACGCAAAAGTGCATGCCATGTGCGTGTTTCAGTTTGTCCTAGCGTTTGCAGAGGCTTCGCTCTTTGTAAAAAGTGTCAATCTTGGCCAAAAATGCAAGAGAAATCGCTGGACCTTTCGCGAGCAAACGACTTTCTTTCTTTCCGCGCTAAAACTTGAAATTTCCCCCAGCCATTATGAAATTTAAATGGTTGATAAAGAGTGAAATATCCGCGGACGCAATGAATACAAACCAAAACACAAAGGAATACATCAGAGGTAAGTCTTCTTTGTTCACATATATCTTTATTGAGCGTTCGCAAACCTGTTTATTTTACATTTTAGACAATATCCCGTGTCGTCCGTATTGTTTATTAACGCGACACCGGCTAACTCAAAGGTCGTATGGGTCACTTGTGCTTGAATAGAGACCTCGAGTCTAATATATGTATTACGACAGGAACAGAAACACGAACAAAAGCGTCTCTAAAAATTATATCGACTATTACATTAAACATAGGCGTACGGGCCGGGGGGGCGAGGGGGGCTGCAGCCCCCCCAAAGTTTGGGCAACTCAGATTTTTTGGGCAGCAAGAGAAAACTTGGGCAAAGCCAGTTTTTAAAGACGTTTCCATGTTTATTATTATTATTATATTTTGGAGACACAAATATTTTCTATTTTAACCAGAAGTCGGCGTAATAATTCAGTTACGTTCACACGAGAGAGTGGTTGCCTAGCACGTGATGAGTTTCTGGTTATAAGGAAAGGGTATCATATGCTGATTTTGTTGTTGTTGTTGTTGGGCACTGTACTTCACTGTACTAGCTGGAGTGGGCTATTTCCAGTCATGAATTGATTAGAATAAACTTCCGCATAACTTTCTAGAATCACCTCTGCTCCTAGATCAGTGTGTGGCAGAACACGCATCAGCAATGGGTCTGAAAGTGAAGTGGCTGACTAATTCTCAGTTTGAATTACGAGAAGAATCATAATTTTCTTGAAAAAATCTATCGAGGGTTTAAAAATTATTCACTAATTTGTTTAAGTAGACCGAAATGTTTACGAAACTCCTAACAAGATCGAGCGCTAATCAAATCCTTCCTTATTAGCAATTTCCCTCTTTATCTAATACAACTGTGGTGGCAATTTTTTCCAAATGCTTGTTTGTGGCGACGTAGTTTATGCTCAAACTTGGCAGGTATTGACTCTGAAAAACTGTATCGAGCCACTTTCATATGCCAGTACGGCCTATTTTGTTGCATGGCCCTAGTTTCCTTTCGACTGTTTTGTAAAAATTTGGGCAACTTGCAAGAATTTTTTGGGCAAATGGATTACCGCCCCCCCTGGCAAAAAATTGCCCGTACGCCTATGACATTAAAAGTAAAATAGTAGTCTCCGTTGGAAAGTAAATTTCTGCGGATGTGACGGTCAATTACCAAGTATCCGTGACACGCCCGGGTCACGCAATGCTCCCCGCCCTACGCAACAGAAGTTGGTTTACGAAATCGCACCTTAATAGACTGTTCACAGTCCCTTGTTGTTACGAAAGGTTGATGAGAATTATAGCTTGAAGACGACGGGCAAAGCTTCCCAACCCCCACCCTCTCGGTCATGGGCTCCTATAATAGGAGACCGTGAACAGGCAAATCATATATCAAGTAAAACCTTGAATGGCTTGAACGTTTGAACCATAAGTAGGTGGATTATGATCATTCGGGTTTGTGTAGTCCTGGAATTTACTGTTGTTGACAGTCACTGATATTTTGATAACTTATATGTGCTGTGACTCCTAGAATGACCACTGCACAGGTTGCCAAAACGACATTCACTGTCGACAGCAGTCCTATTCAGGATTAGACTCTCCCAGAGGACAATATTCTACATACTTATCACATCTCAATTAAGTATTATGCACATCTCCTATACTGGGAGGCAATGATCACAGGCCACCCAGCTATTGGTAGGACTCGAGGCCAATCAGGGGGATTGTTAGTCTGCTACACAGCCGTTTTTAGTGTCGTCACGCAACGCTCCTCCCCACTCCTTGTGGGGAGGAGTATTGCGTGACGACACTAAAAACGGCTGTGTAGCGGACTAGGGGATTGTGAAATGAGATGAAAAATACCTCCAAGGTTGGGGGGGAATTTTACAAGACCCCAAGGTCAAGTGCTTTTCAATAAAAAAAGTACCCCGGTTGTCCACCCATTATATCTGCATCGGATTCCGTTTGTTATCATTTACGATGGTTGCACCCTACCCTGGGTGCCAGAGACTTTTCTAGCGCGGTTTCCGGTTTCTGTCAAGTCTTTATACTGACCCGCCTTCGGCCAACACCGAAAATTCCCGCCACACGCGAGAAAAACCTCTGGTACCCAGGGTAGTTGCACCCTGAGTAGCTGACGAAGCAACTGTTAACAAATTGATTCACCCATCACGTACAACCGTTAACGAAGACTACAAAAGCACGCGTGGAATGTATGTGATTGTGAAGCCTAGAGGATAATGGGAAAAACCCATTTTCGCTTCGCTGGTAGAAAGTACTCTCCCACTCAAAATCCCGCCAGCTATTTAACGCCGCTATATAAAATGTTTAATCAAAACATCAGTACAGTAAAAGAACACCTGGAGAAAGATTCACGGAAGTCAGGGAGCTTCACGAAGTCTGCTGGATTGGCAGTTTCGCTAGTTGGCAGGGTAACCCAACGACGGTTTCCTCCTAAATGCATTGAAAACACATTTTAGGCTAGCCAGAGTACTTTTAGATCTATAGACACATTCTAAGCGACGCTATAAAATTTAAATCAGTTCGGTCATCCTAGGGCAACTCGAGTCTTTTCGAAATTACAAGGGCCCGGCTGCAGTATTATTTTCCCGCAAATTTTAGATGCAATTTAAAGTTTTACGAAAGTAATAGTTTTTACGATTCCTCTCTCCATCGCATTTTTGAATCAGAACATTTTAGGTTTCCTTTTTCTACGAAAATAGCTTAACCTAGGAAGTGAAAATCGAAAAAATAAAACTTTAGAAAATCGTAGGGAATTTTACCTCTTTTCTGTATATCTCTAAAACAGAACCAGTCTTTTTAAACCTTATCCGACCATAAATCCGCATTACAACATTAATGCCCACCATTGCCCACCATACATATCTCCATGGCTAGTACATTTCAATGTAAACATTGTCAATGTTTTATATTCAAAATATGTAATAAAAGTCGTACTAATTAATGTACTAGCCATGGAGGTGTGTATGGCGAGCATTAATTTGGATTAATTAGCACAACGTCAAAACAGTGAAAGTAGTAATGAGGATTGTTGGTCGCGGTTCTTGGTAGGCAAGGTTGGTCTTGAAATTCCAAGATGTTGCAGTGAATCAATCAAATTTTCAGACATTAAAGTACTCATCATGAACATTATGTGATAAGGTTTAAAAAGACTGATTCTGTCGAGCCGTTTTAGAGATAATACAGAAAAGCGCTAAAAGTCAAAATTTAGAATAAATTTGCACTTAGACAGCTGGTGGGAAAACAGGTTAGTTTCCATGATTGCAAAAAGGAAAATACACCAAAAGTTCCATGCATCGAAATATGATATTAAGCAGCCTTCTGACGCTACTGAAGATTAATTCGAGTTATTTAGAACTTATTTATTAAACAATTTTACACGTCTATTGAAAATATAGGGTTTGAAATATATTTACGTTTTATTTGAATTCAAACGTACAGAATTTTTTACTTTTCAAGGATGCCATTTGCTAAACACTACACTTTAAGTTCCTGATACCGGATTTTCAGTAGCAGGTCTAGATCGTGCGAAATTCGGATTTAATCGAGTTCAAAGTTTTTTGTTTATTGTTGTCATAGTTGTATCGATTTTACTTTAAACTTAATTTTGACAAACTTAGATTCACAGTCAATAACTGGTGAAAATTTTGTGGCGATCGGACAAGGATAAAATCACTTTTAGGCGATTGAAAAACATCGGTATGGTCTCCAAGAAACTGTATCGAGACACCTTAACTGACGTAAATTAGCACTGGCCTAATCACCGTCTTGCTCCCGGCAACGTAGTATGGAGTGCCGAAACAGCGATCGTTTCATTGATTGCAGGGAAATTGTTCGATCAGCGATTCTGCTAACTCTCTACACAACCTTCTTACGCTTTTAGGATATTATTTTTAAAATTGTGATGAAAAGAAAAGTCCGGGATGCTGTAATATTAATATAGGAATGACCACGTGCACAGAAGTTTACAAATGTGTTGAGCCAATGTCATTTCGCAGACACATTTGACAAGTGCCTGCATTGATCATTCTTGGTGAGAGGATATGTTCCTGGGACATTCACATAATTCCTTCATTTTTCGGGAGCTCTCCAAGATGAAAAGGATGAGGTCCGACTTAATCACGTTGTATCTTAGCCTGCTCGGTCTTTGCTCCGCTACGCAGCAAACCGACGAGTACGTCGTCCTCGAGAAGACCCATGATATCAATGCTTGGCAAGAAGAAGGCTGGGAAAAGCTTGAGCGACTTCCACCGTCGGAAGGAGTATTTCTGACCTTCGCGCTGAAGCAAAGTAACTTGGAAACTTTGGAACGTGTCTTCTGGGAAGTCTCTGATCCAAGATCTAAGGAGTATGGAAAGCACCTCTCCTTGTCCAAACTAACGCAGATGATAGCGCCATCAGAAACCACAATTTCAAACGTTCAGGCGTGGCTCAGAAGTCATAACGTCCAATCGAGTGACTGCCATACTATTTACACCAAAGATTTCATGACTTGCCGAATGTCCTGCAAATCTGCTGAAGCGATGCTTGTTGGTGCTAAATTCTACCGTTTTAAGCACGCAAAACTTACGAAGTCTGTGGTTCGTTCGCTTCAACACTACTCTGTTCCGAGAAGTATTGTGCCGCATGTAGACTTTGTGGGTGGGGTGCTTCAGTTTCCTGCCGTAAAAGGCCCTTCTTTGCCCAAGGTTCGTCGTCGTGAATTTTCGGAGAACATGTTAAAAAAAAATCTCATCTACACCGGGGTCTATCCTGATATTTTACGAGAGCGCTATAAGGTGTATGATGTTGTTGGAACCCATCCTCACAACCGCCAGTCAATTGCATCATTTCTGGAACAGTATTACAGTCCTGCAGACCTAAAGGCATTCTTCGACATATTTGGTAGTTCCTTTAGGCACCTGAAAGACGTGACAAAGGTGATTGGCCCAAACAATGGCCCCCCTGGTTCAGAAGCAAGCCTGGACATCCAGTATATCATGAGTCTTGGTGCTATGGTACCAACCTGGATCTGGAGCACTCCTGAGAACTCCCAAGACCCATTTTTAGGGTGGCTTCTGGATATAAGCAATCATTCTGAAGTCCCTTGGGTGCATAGTGTTAGCTACAGTGGCTATGAGGACGAATATGATGTATCATACATGAACAGAGTCAATGTAGAGTTCCAAAAAGCTGGTGTGAGGGGGCTCACAATTTTATTTGCAAGTGGTGACGATGGCGCAGATTGCAAAAATTCAAAATTTCGCCCCGAGTATCCGTCTTCATCTCCTTACGTCACTACGGTTGGAGGAACGGAACTTAAGGAACCCTTTACCTTGCTTCCTGAATATGGCCATGAAATTAGTGGTGGAGGTTTCAGTAATGTTTTCCCGCGTCCTTCGTACCAAAATTACGCTGTTGAAAAATACTTAAAGTCGGGGCCCCACATCCCACCCACATCGTACTTCAACCCAAATGGCCGTGGATATCCTGACATCTCAGCTGCTTGTGATTACTTCTGGATCGTCGACAACCTGTGCCTTGTAGCTGTGTATGGTACATCGGCTTCTACTCCGACCGTGGCTGGCATCATCTCGTTGCTAAATGATGCACGGTTACAAAATAGCAAGTCTACACTGGGATTCTTGAACCCCTTTCTGTACCAGAATTCTGCGGCAATGTATGATGTTACCACTGGGCACAATGAAGGATGTTTACCTGGGGATATTGGGTTTTATGCTAGCACTGGCTGGGATCCAGTGACTGGCTGTGGTACTCCTAACTTTCTAGCAATGGTGAATGCAGCCCTTAAGTACCATTAAAATTGCATCAGACATACGATCAAGAACAGTTTGACTACAATGAGAACGTTGTAAGGTAGATTAATATATTATAAATTGTTTATTTGCTTGCAACTGCAATTTTTATTTTTAAATGATAAAAATAACGACTAGTGGCTCCTTATAAAAGGTGTGATGCTCTAGTAACAAGGGTCATGTTCCTCACTGAAACTGCAATGTAACACGGGTGAGCGAGGATGTTTTTAGTAAATTCTAGGCGTACCTACTGCGGAGACACTTCGTGGAACATTCATCAGTTTGTGTATTTTGAACAAATTTTTAGGCAAATCGTCTCTATAAGAGTAAAGAAACTTAGCATACAAATTTGGTAGCGCCTGTAAGGCATATTAAAAGACAAAAAAGCCCACTTCCGATTGACGTGCGTCGCTCAAAAACGTCGTTGCGTGAACTCCCTAATATCTAACTTAAACGCTGACGTGTTCTTACATCTTGTAAACAGGGCGAGAATGTGAAAAACAAGGGTCAAAAACATATCCAGAGGCATTTTGTTGGTATAAGCTGGTAATTGCTTTAATCTTAATCAACATTTCATGCTTATTATGGATAAACCGGATAAACCAGTTACCAGAGAATAAAATGTCATTTTAGCGGTGAAATGACGTCACAAATATTTACATAAAAATGCCCAAATTCGCTGTAAGTTCACAGTATAAGAGGAATCTAAATAACCGCAAATACTTCACAGTTTTGAAGAATTTAACTCTGCATCGTACGAGTTTTTAACTATAATCAGAATTGATTTTAGGCGATATGCACACGTGCAGAAAATTGCCTAAAGAAACTGAATGATTATAGGAGAGATTTCTCTAAACGTTTTTGTTACCCTTCCGCTCAATGCTCAAGAAAAGGTGCTTTTGAAAATTCCATTTAAAAATGCCATTTTAGAACTTAACGGGGCTTCGTGGAGAAGGTTTTTACTCTGAAGAGAACTCTGGGAAAAAATTAATTTGAAGCGTAAAAAGAACAGAGATGTCAACCGAAAGGTGATTGATCGTTTTGAATATGCACTTAGAAGGAATGATATTTCTATACTATGGCACTCCAACTATTATGCCCAGTCTACGAGCAAAGAAGAACGTGAACGTTTACAGCGAAAATGCCTTGAACATGCCGAAGAATGAAAGGAAGATAACGAAGCTCCTACCTGTCATGCTACATGTAGTCAGGCTATGGATAACACGTCGCTTGTCGTCTCCGTTAAGTCTCTGCCCCTTCTGCTAGAACAAAATACCTCTCCCAGGCATATGTCAGTTCAATAACTTAACCTTTCTCCGCTGCATACTATAGCTCATCGCACAACCAGATAAGTGCAGATCAGTTTCACTTTTTGCTGGGGACTGTGTTTTCTGTGTAGACCTTTGGAAAGAATGCAAACTTGCCAGATGGTACTTTGCCCCCGCTGAAATCAGATCACACTCGCCAGCAACTTGGAGACGGACATTAGGCTGATTTAGCAACAGGACGGGAACTTCAGTTGACGACGGGAAAGCGCGCGGAAAGGAGTAAACTCGACTTCCGGTGCCCAATTTGTCGCTCTACCATTGGTCAAGCCAGTAGTTTGATTTGCGCGCGCCGTAGTCAAATGGCGTTGCCGTTCTGTTGCTAAATCAGCCCAATTGTGATGAGACGGGACTGCTTCGAAAATTTGCTGACTCCACAGCTGATAAGCGCTCCTTTGGGTTTTCCCTTTGGCAAAATATGAATTTGTTCCAAGCCAAGGGCATCATCTATGGCGTAGTGGTGGTTAAAAATTAGCCGCCAAGCGTATTGGACGAGGGAGCACCTTTCATCAAGTCATACACTCTGAGGAGCTCGTGAAGCTTTCTCGCAATGCTGGTCATATCTAGCTTGAGTTATAAGAAAATTTTACAGCTAGGCACTATCCTGGCTGAGATTGTCTTGGAAAAATAGAGCGCGATAACAAAGACCAAGAATCCCTGTGCACAATCTTCAAGCAGTTTAATCCGTTTTCAAAAACTAAGCACCCTTCTCGCAAAGAAGAAATTCAGAATTCTCTTCTAAATACCCTAGAATATGGAGAGAGACAACTGGGAATTTGTAAGGGATAGATTGAAAGTAAAGGAAAAAATTAAGCTAAACTGGATTTTTACATTACCATCCACATTAACAAGGTTCCATTGTTTTATCACTTGTATGAAGTAGCAAAATGTAGCAAAGCAGGCTGAACAAACAGGCTCTCGAGCAGGCTCGCTCAGCTTATCAGCAAATCTGTGTGGTTTTTGACAGATACAGAGAAGACTCAATCTGACACAAGGAAGCGGCATACAAAAGCATTTAGGCCTGTAAGAAAAGTCATTGAAGGAGGCAGTGTCCCTCTCGCGAAAAACTTGAAAAACTTCCTACCAATGCCAGACAACAAAGGAGACTTAGCAAGGTTTCATTCAGAATATATAACGGAGAAATGTACAGACAAGATACTGATTATTATAGCAGCTGGCGGTTTGAAGACGAAATGGAAGTTCGCTCATCAGATAATAAAGTAGACCTCTTTGTTGTAAGAGCTAGCCACGAAAAGCAGATACTGACCTCATATTGCACTGCCACCACATAAGATGCCGCACAGCTGCTGTGTTAGCAACATAGACCGTTAATATCGAATATTGCAAATCAAAACGAAAGATCGGAAAATTGTACAAAGTTTCCAGGTTACTCCACAATTCGTTGTCAATGTTATCATAAAATCGATAATAAGCTACACCTAGATCTTGCAAGAATTTGTTACCTTTCAGTTGGAAGCTCCTTGAACTGGCTGCTCATGGAACCTTAACCTCAATATATTTATCATGCAGCTTTTAAAATTATAATTGTTCCTTCATCAACCCAGATTTTTCTGCTGTAGCTTTTTCTTCTCTCGGCTACTCTTGCTAGCAATAACAAGGATGTGCTCGAATAAAAACATTCTAGAGAGCCCACTACTCTGAAATCATGAAATCTAGGGTGCCCGACATATACTTTTTCCTGCAAAAAAAACTGAGATTTCCTAGTCGCCCAAGAGTAAAAATATAAGGCGTCAGGAGGCCTCTGGACGCTGCTAGAGGACAGCTCTGAATAATGTCTTTAATCTTTTTTTATTTTTCGCAATGAAATGATTATTCAATTCTTTTGTTTCCCACCAAAAAAATATTATTTCGCATATACAAATTATCAGTAAATAAACATTCGTCTCAGATGTAATAACCCATCAACATGTCAGGTTTTGACAGTTTGGCCTAATTGACATAACTGATTCATGTAACCAAGGGAAAAATGTATGTGTATTAGCCTAGCGAAAACGCGTAAACGAGTTCGTCGTTCTCTGTAAGGTAGTAGAAAAGCATTATAAACGAGTTAAAAAATTACAAAACTTTACTGACCTTCGTTTTTCTTATATTAAGAATATTAAAACTGATGTCCCTCGAGTGGTAGATATGCCCTGACAGCCATTTTCAATCATTCTAATTGGTCAATAACGTATTGTGACAGTTTTGACAAGAGCCTGCATCGATCATCATTCTTGATGGAATTATATTTTCCCGGGACAGTCACACAATTCCTCCAGTTTTCGGAAGCTCTTCAAGATGAAAGGGATCAACTCCATGTTAATCTTAATTTATCTTACCTTGCTCAATCTTTACTTCTCTAATTCACGAACCGAAGAGTACGTCGTCCTGGAAAAGAGCCATGATGTCAAAGCCTGGCAAGTGCAAGGCTGGGAAAAGCTTGAGCGACTGTCACCGTCGCAAGAAATATTTCTGACCTTTGCTCTCAAGCAAAGTAACTTGGAGACTTTGGAACGTGTCTTCTGGGAAGTCTCTGATCCACGATCTAAGGAGTATGGAAAGCACCTCTCCTTGTCCAAACTAACGCAGTTGATAGCGCCATCAGAAACCACAATTTCAAACGTTCAGGCGTGGCTCAGAAGTCATAACGTCCAATCGAGTGACTGCCAAGCTATTTTCACCAAAGATTTCATGACTTGCCGGATGTCCTGCAAATCTGCCGAAGCGATGCTTGTTGGTGCTAAATTCCACCGTTTTAAGCACGCAAAACTTTCCAAGCCCGTGGTTCGTTCACTTCAGCACTACTCTGTTCCGAGAAGTATTGTGCCGCATGTAGACTTTGTGGGTGGTGTTCTTCACTTTCCAGCCCTAAAAGGCCGTTCGTCGCCCAAGATTCTTCATCGTGAATTTTCGGAGAACATGTTAAAAAGAGATCTTATCTACAGCAGGGTCAATCCTGATATTTTACGAGAGCGCTATAAGGTGTATGATGTTGTTGGAACCCATCCCAACAACCGCCAGTCAATAGCATCGTTTCTGGAAGAGTATTACAGTCCTGCAGACCTAAAGGCATTTTTCGACATATTTGGTAGTTCCTTTAGGCACCTGAAAGACGTGACAAAGGTGATTGGCCCAAACAATGGCCCCCCTGGTTCAGAAGCAAGCCTGGACATCCAGTATATCATGAGTCTTGGTGCTATGGTACCAACCTGGATCTGGAGCACTCCTGAGTCCTCACAAGACCCATTTTTAGGGTGGCTTCTGGATATAAGCAATCGTTCTGAAGTCCCATGGGTGCACAGTGTTAGCTACAGTGGCTATGAGGGCGAATATGATGTATCATACATGAATAGGGTCAATGTAGAGTTCCAAAAAGCTGGTGTAAGGGGGCTCACATTTTTATTTGCAAGTGGTGACGATGGCGCTGATTGCAAAAATTCAAAATTCCGTCCAGAGTATCCGTCTTCATCTCCTTATGTCACCACCGTTGGAGGAACAGCACTTAATGACCCCCTCACCTTGCCTGCTGAATATGGCCATGAAATTAGCGGTGGGGGATTCAGTAATGTATTTGCACGTCCTTCGTACCAAACTGATGATGTTGAAAAGTATCTGAACTCAGGGCCACACATGCCACCCACATCGTACTTCAACCCAAATGGCCGTGGATATCCTGACATCTCAGCTGTATGTTATAAGTTCTGGATCGTCGACAACATGTACCTTGAACTTGTTTATGGTACATCGGCTTCTACTCCAACAGTGGCTGGCATCATCTCTTTGCTAAATGATGCACGGTTACAAAATAACAAGTCTACACTGGGATTCTTGAACCCCTTTTTGTATCAAAATGCTGCGACAATGTATGATGTCACTACTGGGTACAATGAAGGATGTCTACCTGGGGATATTGGGTTTTATGCTAGCACTGGCTGGGATCCAGTCACTGGCTGTGGTACTCCTAACTATCTAGCAATGGTGAATGCATCCCTTAATTACCATTAAAATTGCATCAGACATTTGATCAAGAACAGTTTGAGTACAATGAGATCGTTGTAAGGTAGATTAATATATCATAATTATTACACAATTTGTTTGCGACTGCAATTTTTATTTTTAAATCATAAAAATAACGACTAGTGGCTCCTTATAAAAGTTTTGATGCTTTAGTAACAAGGGTCATGTTCCTCACTAGTGAAACTGCAATGTAAGACGGGTGAGCGAGGATGTTTTTAGTTTTTTAATTCTAGCCGTACCCACTCCGGAGACACTTCGTGGAACATTCATCAGTTTGTGTGTTTTGAACAAATTTTTAGGCAAATCGTCTCTATAAGAGTAAAGACACTTAGCCTACAAATTTGGTATCGCCAAGGCTTATTAAAAGAGAAGAAGGCTCACTTCCGGTTGACAAGCGTCGCTCAGAAACGTCGTTGCGTAAACTGGGGACTTTAAGATCCAACGACGCGGACGACAACGAGAACGTCAACAAAACAATTTTTTTAATTAGCAAAACAACAACTTCGCACGTGCATCACACTTTTTTGTACATTTCTTTCCCTTTTTTGCACGACTAAGGCGTGAAAATGCCTAATTTCGCGTTTTATGGAGGACGTAAACAAGCAACGACGAAATTTTATTTCTGTTTCTGAGCTTGAATTTGGTCCCTTGAAATTCAGCTTCAGGAGGGTTCTCCTACAATTGACAAAGTACGTGGGTAGGAATAATCGCTATAAAGACTGAAAGAACGCAAATTTACTTTCTAAGCGACGTTCTTGTTGCCGTCGCGTCGTTGGATCTTAAAGCCCCTGATATCTAACTTAAACGCCGACGTGTTCTTACATCTTGTAAACGGGGCGAGAATCTGAAAAACAAGGGTCAAAAACATATCCAGAGGCATTTTGTTGGTAAAAGCTGGTAATTGCTTTAATCTTAATCAACATTTCATGCTTATTATGGATAAACCGGATAAACCTGTTACCAGAGAATAAAATGTCATTTTTGCGGTGAAATGACGTCACAAATATTTACATAAAAATGCCCAAATTCGCTGTAAGTTCGTGAAGCTTTTTTGCAATGCTGGTCATATCATCTAGCTTGAGTTATAAAAAAATTTTACAGCTGGAGGCCTAGACCAAGAATCTCTGTGCACAATCTTCGAGCAGTTTAATCTGTTTTCAAAAACTAAGCACCCTTCTCGTAAAGAAGAAATTCAGAATTCTCTTCTAAATGCCCTAGAATATGGAGAGAGGCAACTAGGAATTTGTAAATTAGTAAGGGACAAAAGTAAGTTAAACTGGATTTTCACATTATCATCATCATTAACAAGGCTCCAACGTTTTTACCACTTGTATGAAGTAGCAAAATGTAGCAAAACAGGCTGAACAAATAGGCTCTCGAGCAGGCTTGCTCAGCTTATCAGCAAATCTGTGTGGTTTTTGACAGATACAGAGCAAGACTCAATCAATATGACACAAGGAAGCGGCATACAAAAACATTTAGGCCTATAGGAAAAGACATTGAAGGAGGCGGTGTCCCTCTCCCGAAAAACTGGAAAAACTTCCTAGCAATGCCAGACGACAAAGGAGACTTAGCAAGGTTTCTTTCAGAATATATAACGAAGAAAGCTACAGACAAAATACTGATAGCAGCTGGCGGTTTGAAGACGAAATGGAAGTGCGCTCATCAGATAATGAAACAAACGTCTTTTGTTGTAAGAGCTAGCCACGAAAAGCAGATGCTGACCTCATATTGCACTGCCACCACATAAGATGCCGCACAGCTGCTGTGTTAGCAACATATGCAGATATGCTGTTACTTCTGCACATTCACCTAGTATCCCTAGCCCCATGCTGTTGATGATATGAGGGACCCCGAAAAAGAGAAAGTATTTTAATATCAAGGCAATCCACGGCTCTTCTCCTTTTCCATACCCTTACAGGCTGTGGAACAACGTCATTCTTTCTTCCACAACCATTCGAAGATGTCGGCATTGAGGGTCTTTTGTCAGAGATATGAGCTATTGTTTTCAGAAGAGAGGGTGAGCTAAATGAAGCAAAAGTTAAGTCGGCCGAAAAATTCATTTCAATGCGACATGACGGATTTAAATCGGTTGATCATGTGTGCTCAATTCTCTACTCCAAGATCGGGAAATCTGAGGCTTAGCACTCACCTGGAAACAGGCGATTAGCTGTAATCCTCAACTTCCGCGCCCTGAGCAGATAGGGTAACCACTCGCAAACATTGCACTTGCAGCAACTGAAAACCCGATGTATTTGCTTCTTGAATACCTTATACCAACCAGATGTATATGTAAATGGCAGACTAGAGAAGAACTAAACAGGTAGAGTGTTTTGAGCATAAAACTTAACAGGCAGCTCAATAGATTATCTATACCCAATCTGTGTAATGCGTAGTTTACGTTAATTGTGGACGCTGCTAAGGTCGCTTTGTTACTTTCAAATTAGCCCCAAAATAATGTGTTTTACTTTCCAAACATATTCAATTGAGAGTTGGTAGTGTTTGTCTATGAAAAGAGCAATTTGTATCCTTTTTTGGCCATTTTGTAATATTCCTCATGATGGTCACTCATGATAATTATACTGCGATGTCATTTATGGTGCATAAATTATATAGGTGTTTTTTTTAGCTTAAAGATCAGAATTAAATTTGGTAACCGGTCAAATCTTATCCAGCAGGCCACAGCGACTTTACCAACTTTTACCAAGAAATGCTCCTGGAATTTCATATTTCGGAAAGTTTGTCTTGACCCGACTTGACCCGATTTCAGACCAAAAAAGTAATTTTCCGCACCCGTTTTCAGACCAGACCTCTAAAATCCATACCCGTTTTCAGACTTGGCCTTTAGGCGGAAATTATGTTATCATTACTTAGATTAGAGCGCAAACAAACATAATCATCAAATCCATTTCGAAATTTCTCTCTCCTTCTTACTCATTTGGAATTGAAACGATAGATACGTCCATACACTCCCGTAGTTCTCAGGAAAACCATACCCGATTCCAGACCGAAGTGGGCAAAGTGTATACCCGTTTTCAGACCAAAACGGCGCAAAAACCCTACCCGATGGGGAGGCACCTATATAGCTTATATAAGGGAGTACCCCCCCTTGCTAGATACCTTCTCATGCTGTTACTGCACCCGCTCTGTCGTTCAAATATAGAGGAGTGTGCAAGGACGCCATGAAGCACCAACGGATCGGCTAAAATGTTCTGGGAAAGAATTACGTCAGCCCAAATGTCTTCAGGACCGTGATGTGCGAGGATCTGCAAGACGAAAAGAAGTGCGACTGGGTACTTGGAAGGCACTGAACTGAATACTGAAACTTTCGGCCCATGGAGGCGACCCTAAATTTGATGCAAACTCAAAAATATTCGAGCCAGTTAAAATATCTAAAACAAACTAAAGAGGAAACAGTAAGCTTCCAAAAAGTTAAGAAAAGGCGTTTGTTTGCGTAAGTACATAAAGGCAAACAATTGATAGGCCTCCAGCTGAATGCAACTTGTGATATCTAGCGCTGGATTAAAGAGTTCCGGTTTTCGAGTTTAGCTATCATTATATCCAGATCCAAGCTGGCGTATCCCTTAATAATAACAATAACAATAATAATAATAATAATAATAATAATAATAATTCAAAATTGCAGATGAATTGTGGGTTAAATCATTTGATAAGTTCGTGTACAATTACACATGATGAAAGGCCTTCCTCTCTGTAGCCGAGCTGGCACTTCAAATTGATGAGCGTAGACCGTTAATATCGAATTGCAAATCACAGGGTCGTAACATGGTATATCCGGGGCCCAAAGATCCCTATTTTCTTACCGTTGTTTTGATCCCTGAGCCCCATTTTCCCAAAAATTTTGATCCCTGAGCCCTGATAAAAGAATTGATCCCATCCATGTTTTTACACAAAATTTTAACTTGGGCAACTTTGTTTATCTCCAAATATAGAATATAGAACATGCTCAAATAGGCTGACGAGGAAAACATTAACTTTAATTTTTAGAGCAAGTTGTAGGTTCTATCAGAGCTTTCTATTCTGCTATCCCTGTTGATGTTGTAGTCTTATGTGAATTTCCTCTTTCACGTTGTGTGTGTTACAGTGAGGATCACGATCAATTACCAATAGCAAAATACCTTCTTTACATGAAGTAGAAAAATTAAATGATGCAAACCACTGGTTCTACAGTTTAAGAGCATTTCTGTGTCAAGCCCATTAATTGCTTTTCCTGGCTTAATAACCATTGTGGATTGTCAGAGGACATATCTGGTTGTACGTCTTCCAGACCTACTCCTTCCAGCTTCAAATCTAATTGGCTCTGAAAAGTTGTCCGCCTGAGCTTGCTCCCCTTCCTCTTCGTCACCACCTGACGCAGGTGAATCATCTGATTCAACTGACCCCTGGAGCAATGCAACTAGGCGTTGCTCTCCAAGGCAGCTCAAACAGAAGTTGTTTCCGTCTTTCATTATTTGAACCTCCCCGATCATACACTTAGGAGAATTTCTATCGTCACGGTGCCCAGTCTGGTATACCAGGGGATCTTCTTCTGACTGTTCCAGCAATCTCAAACCCATGTGATCTTCCAGGAATGCGTCACCGTTATGGTGGAGATCTTTTAAAAGAACTGCAAGGAAGAAAGGATGATATACCTCTTGTAACTGTGCTTGAGAGCAACTACGTCGCCTTTTGAATAGATAATCTCATATTCTTCGGCTGCGTCTTGAACTGTAGTTTGTCCTTCACTCCCTTGGACCTATTTCAGCACATCGACTTCTACATATGCCGACGCATTCCTTCTGAACATACTCAGAGCAAGTGGAAGTGTACCAGCTCTTTCTTTGGTCTTCCCTCTTGTTCGTTGCTGTCCTACACCCCGTCCGAATTCTTTCGCAAAGCTCTGCAATGCCTTCCTTTGTCGCTCCTTTCCCTCCGCGCTCGTTTCCTCGTCCATATCCTCCTTAAGGTTCACTCTTGCCGGGCGACTTTCGAAGCCATTCCGGTGCCTTTGGACCCAGCTTTCTCTGTGTGTAATGGCTTGAGGACCGGTATAAAAGATAAACGAGGATTGGTAGAGCCTCTCTATTGATTCTAAACGGCAACTGGGCCGCCGCGATGCGTATTCGTTCAGAGCAAGTGTTCTCACTCCACTAAACAATTCAGGCTCCAAATCTAAGGTGATGATACCTTTCGGGGCCAACCATTACATAAGCCGAGGCCGAATAGCCCAAAGGGCCGAAAAAATTATTGTAGATCAATATTGTCACTAAAGTCTGTAAATTTTGTGCGAAACAAAATAGCCACTACTACACGAATGAGGTCTGAAAAAATCTTGCATGAAAAAAATAACCCATCCCCGACTCAAAAATCAAATAGTGGGCCCCCTTACTGGTGGCCCTGCATGCTGAGTGCTATAATATATTTATTTAAATTCCTGCTGACTCTGCTACTTGTACCTCGTAGGCAACATTCCTTTCACCAATTCAACCGGTTATTTTATAAAAAAAAACTAAAGAAAATAAACTATTAAGGCCTTGTTACTCTTCTTTCATCGAGGTAAGTCTTGGTGTTCCACTTATTTTCACTAATTCTACACTGTAATTTCAGACTATTTATCATACAAGCATCTATTAGTTATACAGTAATGGAATATGTCCTTTACTTTCCCGGCCCAATACTAGCACTGGTAGGTGAACCGATCTCGGTTTCTCATCAGAGTTCGAGATAACCCTAAAACTCCATGCAATTAGACCAGATTTATTAAATTGCGAGAAAGCATTTATTTTGCAATAAAGCGCGCGAATTCATTGTACTTTTGTATTCTACTTTTGATGTCCATTTCAATTATTCAAGTACTTTTAAGAGTTAAGTTAGTGGTCATAAAAATACGAACCTCGATTTATAGTCGACTTGTGACTTGCTTGAGGCGATTAGGCAATCGGGACCTATACAGTAAATTCCGCTTTCAATGAATCGGTTTGTCTATTGTCCTGGCGGTATTGATTTGTTATGTTTGATCGGCTCAAAAACTCTATGCTTGGACCCTTGCCAGGAGTAAATCAGTCAAGGAAGTACTTACGTACCTTTCCTGTCACAGGATTTCTTTTGGCCCTTTTTCTTCTTCCCCATTTCTCGCAAAAAAAGATATGTAAATCGCTTTCTCTGCCTTCTGGCGTTGACAGCGCGTTGAGGAGTTGCGTTACAAAGCGAGAAAAGTGACTTGAGATTCATATTACGGTGCCCTCAGCAGTTAATAAATTAAGAATATGATACCATGTTTTCGTCAAACAACCAGGACTTCGTATGACAGGAACTGCCGCCAGCCGGAAGCAAGAATAGGTAATGTACCTTGGCCAGGAAATTCTATGGACACAAACCTTATTAAGGGGAAAAATATTGTGCTAAGAAATTTTTAGACCGTGTAATAAATCTGATCCCTGATTTGGGCTCAAAAGCCTTGTGATCCCTGATCCCATTCTTCTGAGCCCTGAGCCCTCTCCTCTGAGCCCTGATCCCAGTCATATTTTGGGCTTTGAGCCCTGAGCCCATATACCATGTTACGACCCTGAAATCAAAACGAAAGATCGGAAAATTGTACAAAGTTTCCAGGTTACTCCACAGTTCGTTGTCAATGTTATCATAAAATCGATAACAACCTACACCTAGATCTTGCAAGTATTTGTTACATTTTCAGTTGGAAGCTCCTTGAACTGGCTGCTCACGGAACCTTAACCTTATTATATTTATCAAGCAGCTTTTAAAATTATAATTGTTCCTTCATCAACCCAGCTTCTTCTGCTGTAGCTTTTTCTTCAGTTTCTTCTCTCGGCTACTTCTGCTAGCAATAACAAGGATGTGCTCGAATAAAAACATCCTAGAGAGCCCAATACTCTGAAATTGTGGAATCTAGGGTGCCCGACATATATTTTTTCCTGCAAAAAAAAACTAAGATTTCCTAGTCGCCCAAGAGTAAAAATATAAGGCGCCAGGAGGCCTCTGGGCGCTGCTACAGGACAGCTCTGAATAATGTCTTTAATCTTTTTTATTTTTCGCAATAAAATGATTATTCAATTCTTTTGTTTCCAACATGTCAGGTTTTGAAAGTTTGGCCTAATTGACATAATTGATTCATGTGACCAAGAGAAAAACGTATCCGTATTAGCCTAGCGAAAACCCGTAAACGTGTTCGTCGTTCACTATAAGGTAGTAGAAAAGCATTATAAACGAGTTAAAAAATTAAAAAACTTTACTGACCTTCGTTTTTCTTATACAGTGAAACCTGTATTAAGCGGACACCCTCGGGGAATGCTGTAGTGTCCGCTTAATACAGGTTTCGATATATAACGTCATATGAGGTGTCAAACGCCATTCAAATGAACAGTGGAAGCGTTTAGAATATTCCCAGAGACAATGACGATAGACGGTTGCATTAATTTCTTTATCAAAGTGAACCAGTTGATCATAGTACCATAAACATGGATTGCAACTCAAATTTGAAGAAATCAGATGAGTGAAACACGCTCCATACAAGCAAAACGAAATAGAAAACAATACTGTACTGTAAAACTAATCAAATAAGTTCGTGAAGTCACGTTTTTTAATGTAAAAATCGAAAAATTTGTGGGTGACAATTCGAGGCAATCGTTCGCATTTCCGGTGTCTGGCATGTTGGGTGGTGGAATTTAATTACAAGTGTCCGTTTAATACAGGTTGACAACAATGGAAATGGCCATTTCAATTCAGGTACCTTTTAGGTGTTCGCGTCCGCTTAATAAAGGTTTCATTTAAAGTAAATAAGCGAAATAAATTTTTGGACTTCGGCTACTGTCCGCTTAATAGAGGGTGTCCGCTTAATACGGTGTCCGCTTAATACAGGTTTCACTGTATTAAGAATTTTTAAACTGGTGTCCCTCGAGTGGTAGATATGCCCTGACAGCCATTTTCAATCATTCTAATTAGTCAATAACGTATTGTGACAGTTATGACAAAAGCCTGCATCGATCATCATTCTTGATGAAATTATATGTTCCCGGGACAGTCACACAATTCCTCTAGTTTTCGGAAGCTGTCCAAGATGAAAGGGATCAACTCCATGTTAATCTTAATTTATCTTACCTTTCTCAGTCTTGGCTTCTCTAAGTCACGAACCGAAGAGTACGTCCTCATGGAAAAGAGCCATGATGTCAAAGCATGGCAAGTTCAAGGCTGGGAAAAGCTTGAGCGACTGCCACCGTCGGAAGAAATATTTCTGACCTTCGCTCTCAAGCAAAGTAACGTGGAGACTTTAGAACGTGTCTTCTGGGAAGTCTCTGATCCAAGATCTAAGGAGTACGGAAAGCACCTCTCCTTGTCCAAACTAACGCAGTTGATAGCGCCATCAGAAACCACGATTTCTAACGTTCAGGCGTGGATCAGAAGTCATAACGTCCAATCGAGTGACTGCCAAACTATTTTCACCAAAGATTTCATGATTTGCCGAATGTCCAGCGAATCTGCCGAAGCGATGCTTGTTGGTGCCAAATTCCACCGTTTTAAGCACGCCAAACTTTCCAAGCCCGTGGTTCGTTCACTTCAGCACTACTCTATTCCGAGAAGTATTGTGCCGCATGTAGACTTTGTGGGTGGCGTTCTTCACTTTCCAGCCGTAAAAGGCCCCTCGTCGCCCAAGATTCTTCATCGTGAATTTTCGGAGAACATGTTAAAAAGAGATCTTATCTACAGCAGGGTCAATCCTGATATTTTACGAGAACGCTATAAGGTGTATGATGTTGTTGGAACCCATCCTAACAACCGCCAGTCAATAGCATCGTTTCTGAAAGAGTATTATAGTCCTGCAGACCTTAAGGCATTTTTCGACATATTTGGTAGTTCCTTTAAACACCTAAAAGAAGTGACAAAAGTCATTGGCCCCAACAGTGGCCCCCCTGGTTCAGAAGCAAGCCTGGACATCCAGTATATCATGAGTCTTGGTGCCATGGTACCAACCTGGTTCTGGAGTACTGCTGGTCTCCGTGAATCACAAGAACCTTTTTTAGAGTGGCTTATGGATATAAGCAATCGTTCTGAGGTCCCATGGGTTCACAGTGCTAGCTACAGTGACTATGAGGATTCACTTGATGTAGCATACATGAATAGGATGAATGTAGAGTTCCAAAAAGCTGGTGTAAGGGGGCTGACATTCTTTTTTGCGAGTGGTGACGATGGTGCAGATTGTAAAAATTCAAAATTCCGTCCAGAGTATCCGTCTTCATCTCCTTATGTCACCACCGTTGGAGGAACAGCACTTAATGACCCCTTCACCTTGCCTGCTGAATATGGCCATGAAATTAGTGGTGGAGGATTCAGTAATGTATTTGCACGTCCTTCGTACCAAACTGATGATGTTGAAAAGTATCTGAACTCAGGGCCACACATGCCACCCACATCGTACTTCAACCCAAATGGCCGTGGATATCCTGACATCTCAGCTGTGTGTTATAAGTTCTGGATCGTCTACAATATGTACCTTGAACTTGTGTATGGTACATCGGCTTCTACTCCAACAGTGGCTGGCATCATCTCATTGCTAAATGATGCACGGTTACAAAATAACAAGTCTACACTGGGATTCTTGAACCCCTTTTTGTATCAAAATGCTGCGACAATGTATGATGTCACTACTGGGCACAATGAAGGATGTCTACCTGGGGATATTGGGTTTTATGCTAGCACTGGCTGGGATCCAGTGACTGGCTGTGGTACTCCCAACTATCCAGCAATGGTAAATGCAGCCCTCAATTGCCAGTAAAAATTGTGCCGGGCATTCTATTAACAAGAACAGTTTGAGGAAAATGAGAACGTTCTAAGGTATACTTTATGTCATAAAAAGTTTATTACAAAATTTCTTTACGACTGCAAATTTTATTTTCAAGTGATGATAATAAGAACTAGTGGTTCTATAAGGAAAGGCAAATTTTTTTGCGCAGTTGCCTTTAATTAGAAAAAAGCCTTATTTTCCTTCGTGGTTTCCTTTTTGTTTTTTATATAAAGTGACGAGGATATGGTTTCAGTGACGTACCATTGCAAACTGAAGGGTCCTTAGGAAACTAAGGTAATCCGAACTCTGTATTGAGCTATATCATAACTAATGATAATGAGCTTTATCCTCTATTAATCATGATCAATTGTATTTAACCTTTTTTCCGAGTAGTTAAATCGCTTCTTTTAAAGTCTTTGGCATAATAGTTCAGGGGATCTGAACTGAAACCGTCATATAGACGACCTCTGCATTTTTTCCTGATTCACCCCGTAGAAATACTGGCCAACACCCGTTTATGCGGAGAACGGACACCTTTTTGTGGCGATAATTATGCATGCTCGCGAACCGAGCGGAGCGGAGATTAATAAATTTGTGGAGGGTGTAGCGCGCATAACGTGCACAGAAATCTTCCAGCGACGTGTGATCTTGCTTTGGTCATGAACATCTCTCTCTCGGTTTGGGAGAACTCAATTGCCTAGCAACAAGGCAGCGTGCATAACTAGCGGGACCGTCTCAGAACCAAAAAAATTTTGTTTGTCCCCTATCTCAGCTGGATACTCAGAAGCTTGTAACATTCACTATTCCATTTATCTCCGATCATATTTCGCATCTAATACGATAGGCCAGAAAGGATATAGAACAACTGCCTAATTTTTTTTTACGGCTACGGGTCGAAATGCTAAACGTGTTATATATCCTAGAAGAGCTCAGGCATAATGATATCATGCCAGGACTTCTACCTGGATGAACCAGAAAGGATATAGAACAACTGCCTTTTTTTTCTACGCGTCAAAGTTCTAAACGTGTTATTCTTAGGAGCGCTGAGGCTTAATAATATGCCAGGTTTCCAGCGACTGATTTTAGCTGATTTTGCGGTGCGCAAGAATGGATAATTTACCCGACTTGTAAACAGATATTTCCTCCAGCCGATTGTGTCTCATGCAGGAGAATGTCATTTCTGCGTTGTTTTGTTTCTACTGAAGTTTAATCAAAGAAAGCGTAAGCGAAAATAGGGAGATCGCAATTTATACTCTTACGAACTATAAATTAGGGCTGACCTGGAAAACACGTTGAATTTTGCCGCCATTCAAAATATAATCTGGCTGCGTTTAGGGAGGCAATTTCCTCTTCCATCCAGATTTACTTGGTATGTGTGTTTGCGAGAATCTTCAGACAAAGAATTGGGTATACACTGATTCGAATGGCTTGGCGATACTAAGTGCTTAAGTCTACTTACCAATTACAACATGTTTTGGAAGTATTGAGAAGCGCGCCAAACGAGGTTGTCACAGTGTTCTGGAGCGAACACGGCGCGACTGGATTGATAAAATTACCATTACATGCAGCTATCATGCCAGTGATTTCTCCTTTCGTCGCATAGTGAATAGTTTGTGAGCACATCCTCGACTCTCAAAACATTTGTCTTGCGCCGCTATAGAAGTTGCTTCTCCCGCGAACCATAGGTAGATTTCCCGCTTAACATAATATTTGATAATTTATGCAAAAGTTGACTTCGTGAGAGTCAGCAGTGCATTAATCGACTCAAAAATAAACAGACTTCCTACAGGGTTTTGAACACGGTTTTATGAGCACTGCGGTAGTTGACTGCAAAAGTGTTACGGTGATGGATACTCAACTGGATGATTACGTCGCTTCATAGCAACCAGACGGTACGAATTTTTTAACTTCCGGGACGCGAGGCTCGTGATGAAACAAAACCGCCACAAACCTGGCCCGGTTGTTTTAGCGGCCGTTTAAGAGATCAAGAAATAATTTAGCGATAAATGTCGAACGTAGAAGTACATTTAACAGAAAATGGATGTGATTTGGATCATTAGCTTTAAAATAACAACGGAAATCGAGGTGAGAAAACATTCGTTTTGCGTCCTACTTCGCAGACGAGCTATGTTCTATCAATGCGATGGAATACAATTAAATTCGTTTTTTTACCGTCAATAACCAGGTTATTTTCCTGAAATGTATCTTTGGCTCAATCAGCTTTAAACGGCGTTTCCATACTTTCTTTCTTTCTTTCTTTGCAGTTTTGTTTTATTTGCTTATTTGTTGTTCAGTTGTTGTGTTTTTTGAATTCATATATTTTCTTTTGCCTGTTGGCCTCTTTCCCTTCATTCTTACCTCTGGCCCTTACCCTCTGCTTCGCAAACAGAGTGGCCTTCCCCTTGGGGTCGTTTATATTGAAGTTCCAACCGTTTAATAAGTGTGTTGTCTCTCTCAAAATTTGAGAGCAAATTTCTCTTTGTATGTTATTGCCAGTCTCTACCTGTGTGTGAAATTCATTCCTTACAGGAAGGGAATTATGCTAAGAGTCTGTTAACTGTAGATGGCCCCGTCAAACAGAAACTCACGTGGATAGTTAGAAGAGCTGTAAATGGAATACCAGACAAAAAAAGTTAAAACTTAATTTGCAATAACGTTCGAAATTTCTGGTTAGATCAGATTAGGCACGTTAGACTGTCATGTTATATTTTGGGGGGCATTGTAATCGGGGGAGTGCATTGTGGAAATGTCCTGGTGTAAAATAATGCTCTTTCGAAAGGGTAACGTGTCATATTTTTATTCTTAAAATTAAAGTGGAAGTTACCATAAAGCCCCGACTTTAAAATGGTACTTTGAATATCGCATGGCCAAACTGACCTGTGTGACGTAGTAATTTGCAACAATGAATGGAATGCACTGAATGTTACTTACAAGATGGCGGCAAATAGGTAGGATTGGCGTTGTATACAACTCCCTAATCATACTCAGAATCTTCGTTTATTTCGCGACACCTTCGTTACAGTCAGAAACGTCGCGTAATTCCACAAAACAGAAAGCAATGACCCCAATCGGAAGCGAAGGCTGAGCAAATCAGTTGGCGTCTTTGATCCATAACTACTCGCTCCCAGCCTCTGGGACATTTCTGAAGGGGAAAAAGCAGTTTTGGACGGCCAAAATTCAAGAATTTTTTCGGATACACATTTTTATTTAATATAATTTAGAATATTGTAACCGTAAATCGTCTATTAAACCCCCGGGGGGCTTATCTTTTTCAAGCACTTTTGAGGGGGGGGGCTTATTTAATTTAGCGAAACGCATCACCTGTAGCAAAAATACCGTGGTATGAGACAGAGTAGACTTACGCATTGTACAATTAAAGTCACCGTCAAAAGTATTTAATTCACTTGTGGGAGCCTAAAAGTAACAAAAACAAAATTCTTATTCTTCAAAAATGTGCTTTCGACCTCATGTTCTTCGGTAATTTTTATGAATAAACCATAACTGATCAGTCCACGTTAATCTTTAATTTTTTTGTGAAGAATAAGGATTGGAGGAGGGGGAGAGGGGGCTTAATAGCGAGGGGGGCTTATTAACTTTCCTCCTCTGAAAAGGGGGGCTTATTTGAGAGGGGGGGCTTAATAGAGGATTTACGGTAATTTAACTTTAATGTATGGACCAAAATCAATTTCAAAAAAGTCCGTGTCCAATACGCTAAAAAAAACCCTAATTACTGCCAATCATAAGCGCCGCTCTATTCTCCCTGTTCTTTTCCTACTTATTTTCCCCCTTTTTCTTAGTATTGGGAGTACTCGAATTTTTTCTTCTGAGCCGCCTGTTTCACTGACTGAATAAAATCTTTCTCATGTATTCAGCAGGCTTAAAATTCACCATCACATTTCTGCCATTGCGCATGCATAAGTACAGGATGTTTGTCACATGAACCTAGTCTAGTGGCCCTAGCTCCCACAAGTCTCCTGCAGCTTAGTGGCAGAGCATCTGGACTAGTAACCAGGGCCGGGTCGTTCAAAGCAGAGGTTTAGTTAACCCTCACCTGAGGATCGATTAGTGCGAAATTCGATTTCAGATTTGAAGCTTGAGAAGCCAAGTCAGTTTTATTCTTTTTGTCTACAATTTGATGATTGTATTATCTAAATAGAAGAGAGAAAATTATCCGGGAAAATGCTTTTGAACAAAAGAAAAAGAAACCCGGATTAAAATTGAACCCTAGGTTAGGGCAAACAACTGGGGCCAGAAGGTGATTGTTTTGACTCCTTTCGGGAGCACTAGCATTTTTTCCTTCGAGCCCTCTGTGTCACTGACTCAACAACATCTTCCTCATTTCTCATGGTGTTTCCAAAACGGTTATTAAAAGCTAACAAACTATATATAGTGCAAAAATCCGCTAAAAACAGTAGTAGCTCTACTTTCAGTTCTCCTTGTTAAACTGGCTAGACCGTTATTCCTATTTTCTTTTTACTTATAGAAAGGTTTGCTTCTTGAAAAGTGAATACTACGTTGTCTAATCCTTATGATGTCAGACCACCTTTTGAGCTACAGAATCTAGACTGCACCCACTGAGAAACCTCCACGGGGTGCACATTTTTGTGCCCATTTTGTATCCTGTTCTTTCTTATCCTGCTGCTTTAGTGGTTTAATCTCTCCCGCACCTCGATGCCAGGTGCGATAACCTGCTTTCTAAGACGCTTACCAGTTTTTTTCTTATGTAAATGAGAGATTTACGAAGACCTTTTCCCTGGCCATCAGGTCCTTTGAAAATAGGTGAGCTTTTAGCTTTTAATTAACTTTAGTTAGTTTAGTCGAGTGCTAACTCGGACAACATGGATTCTTCCTCGCCAGTCACTTTGGTCTAGCATTGTCGTTCTGAGTTCTCCGATTGGCGATGGCTGGTGTCCTCAAGCAAAACAACAATTACATTTTGTCATATAATATTACTATTAATTTCTGTAATCTTTACAGCCTAGTCCCGACAGGTTGTTAAATTGATTCTAATTAATTTAGCATTATAATAGCCTGCGAAAACATCCGTTTCTCCTCGCTCTTCGCCGCTGGGGACGTTTCGCGAGGAGGAACGTCTGCGACTCAGCGACAGAAATTCCATACTGATGACGTAAAATCTGTCCAGAATCCGGTCAGAAGCGCTGATTGGTCGACGGAGTAGTTACATTGTTTTAGCTATTGTTTACGAATGACAGACAAAAGACAAAAGGCAACAGAGGTCAAATGTAAATGCGAAAATCTCTAGCAAAACAGTCAATATTTGTCGAATATACTCTTCTCTAGAAGAAGTATTTGAGTTTTGCTGGAGCTCGTTGGCAGATGAACACAAAAATTTACCAAAATCGACCAGAAGACACGTAAAATTGTACAAATTTGTATTTGGAACCCCATGACTACCCGATTTATTATGTAAACATTGATTTACGTCATCAGTATGGAATTTTTGCCACTGAGTCGCAGACATTCCTCCGCGCGAAACGTCCCAAGCGACAAAGAGCGAGGAGAAACGGATGTTTTCGCAGGCTAGCATTATAATTAAACATGCCATGCAAGATTTTCATGAAATTAAATAGAGTAATTAATACAGTAATTCAATACGTGCGATTATACATCATTATTGCTATCCATTATTAGTAACTGTTATAAATATAATCATTGTTATCATTATTATTAATATTCGCACCAGTTTCATCCTTATCTTGGGTATTTGAAAATAAAGCCTGCCCACTTTCATTTACAGTCTACCTTACAACGGTCTGATTCGAAACTGCTCTTGATCAAAAACCTGATACAATTTTACTGGTAATTCAGGGCTTCATTAACCATTGGTGGGAGGTTGGGAGTACCACAGCCAGTCACTGGATCCCAGCCAGTGCTAGCATAAAACCCAATATCCCCAGGTAGACATCCTTCATTGTGTCCAGCGGTAACATATCTAATGTCGCAGGATTTTGATACAAAAAGGGGTTCAGGAATCCTAGTGTAGACTTATTATTTTGTAACCGTGCATCATTTACCAATGAAATGATGCCAGCCACTGTTGGAGTAGAAGCCGATGTACCATACACAGTTTTAAGGTACAAGTTTTCAACGGTCCAGAACAAGAGTCTCTTGTCCAGAAGTAATAACACACTGCTGAGATGTCAAGAAAGCCGCGGCCATTTGGGTTGAAGTACGATATAGGTGGGATGTGGGGCCCTGACTTTAAGTATCTTTCAACAACGTCATTTTGGTACGAAGGACGCGGGAATACATTCCTGAATCCTCCACCACTAATTTCATGGCCATATTCAGCAGGCAAGGTAAAGGGATCATTAAGTCCTGTTCCTCAAAAGGGTGGTGACATATGGAGTTGAAGACGGATACTCGGGACGGAATTTTGAATTTTTACAATCTGCACCATCGTCACCACTTGCAAATAAGAATGTCAGCCCCCTTACCCCAGCTTTTTGGAACTCTACATTGATCCTGTTCATGTATGATACATCATATAAGTCCTCATAGCCAGAATAGCCGCCTCGATGTTCGTGAATCTGTAAGAGCGTTATCGAGATATTTTAGGATGAAGTTTTTATGGTTAGAAAAACAGTAAAATGGGCAATCTTGAATTTTGGCCGTTAACTGTAAAACGAAGCGCTTTTAACATGCCATTTCACGTAATATAGTAGCTTTAATCCTGTTAAAAACGTGTGTGAAAGATCAGGGAGATAGCTCTAGCCGATTGCTAGAACGAACGATTTGATTAGCATGTATCGAGGCGCTCTTGTTGGTGGATGGCTTTTGTAAACATTTCTTTCTACTTTAACAAATAAGCGAATAATTTTTAAACCGCTCAATAGATTTTTTTTTTAAATGGTATTCTCGAGATCAAGCGTCGTTTTAGGAGACCTTTGAGTCTCAAGATTATTGATATATTGTAAGGTAGTAAAGTACGGGCTACAATTCCCTAATTTTTCACTGTGTGGCCACACCACCCCCTAAATGTTGCATCAGTGCGTGGGTAGTTATGTTATTAGTCGAACTTGCTTAAAGCCGAGCGAACCTCTAAAAATGCAGACGTTTCTTTTTTCTTTTTACTTTTCTTTGACGGCGGGCACCAATTAGAAGACCATGCTCCCAGGCGTTCCTAGCAGAGACCGTGGGCAATGGGAATAAGAATGGTGACGACTTTCGTTGTATGCAAATGAGTCTCGTGATGAGCGTGCGGCTTATTTTCGGCGATGACTGAATTGACGCATGTAAGTTGATGACGTCTCTCGCTGTTTGGCAATGATGTAATTTTCCCCGATTCGAGGCCCTTGATTTTCGTGTAATTATGCACCGGCATTAAAAAGTAAATACCTCGATGAGGAATTATGAGAGTTCGGCGTTTACAAGAAGCGTTTTCAAGAAGTATACTGCCGTTTTTAAATCAGGAGAACGCTTCAAGCAGCCAAAGATGAAAGACACTTGCTAAGGATTTTTAACGACTGTTTATCATTGTCTGTTCCTGAGACCCCATCATAGCTGGATTCATGGACAAATTTTTGAGATTTAAAACCCGAAAATGAAGGAGGCAATTTGTTTTCTTTCGACGCTACCATCGATGGGTGAGTAGAGCCACAGTTGTTGTGATGTCGGAAACTGTCAGTATTAATATAATATTTGCTTTTTCTCAGCGCTGGAGTTTTCATTATTTTATTTGGGCTAATGCAAGATTCATCGTAGCTCTTCTTCGTCGGCTTCATCGTAGTCGTTAAGGAAATTTATACCTCTGTGGCCTGTGACACTGAGGATATGTTCTGAACTTACAATCTTTGCTTTCTTCACCTGACTGCATGTTGTTTTTCTTGCACAATGATTTGTAAACTTTTTTCTCACTTTCTTTAAGGCTAGTACCAGCTACGGATACTTTTCATTGTGTGAGTTGTGGTATTTTCACCCATTGGTTTAGTTTGGACCAGAAGTTTAAATTTTCAGTTTCGTTTGCTACTGAGGTAGAAAAAAAAAACAGACCATCACATGGATGTTTTAATAGAGGTCTTCGCTCCACAAAAGACTCAAAGAGAGCAAGAAATAACGTACATGACTTGAAATCCCTGTTGTTATCATTGAATAATCCTTGTTCATTTAAATGCCTGAAGAGTGTAGCTGTCATGGTTTGCGTGTGGTTGCAACCGTTTTTGTTCTTTATTTTTTTTTTTACTTTAGCGTAGTCTGTTATGAGTAGCTTTTTTTTTAGTTTCTTTGGCTCATTTTCCTCGATTTTGTCGACAGTATTTTTCTCTTAGCAACGCATTTTCAATACATTTAGCGAGAAAGACGTACTTTTTACCGTGTTCGGGTTTTTTTGGAATATTTTTTTTAACTTTTCTATTATTGTTTTGCTTACAAAATAATCCCGTCGTCGTCTGCTGAAAACCATGGCCATTTTCTTGAATCTGTGTTGTTAAAACAGCTCTAATCTGATTGGTTCTTGTTGGTTTCTTTTGTCTTTTCGGCCAATCAGAAAGCATTTGTAATTTGCACTCGTGTTACAAGTTTGCACTCGTGTTACGCATTTTGCACTCGTGTTACAGAAGAGCTGCACTCCTTTCTCAGCCAATCAGAATTGAGTAATTTTTTCGTGTATATTATTAGGCCTGAAAATGCAAAATGCCAAGCAAATCCTTGAATTAGCTACTAGCATGCCTTAAGGTATTCAGTTATGACGTCATGTTTGCTGACGTCATTCTTACGTAAATTTTAAATTTTTAAATCTCCCCAATTTTTGTTTTTTTCTGAAAGATCTCATGAAAGGGAGTTGAAAGCTGAAAAATGTTTTGCAAAATCGCATATACGGCCTGAGATATCTAAGTTTGAATTTGAATAAATAAAAACTGGAACCTCCTTCGGGAAACAACTCTAAATTTAAGTGTTTTCTTTTTAAATTGCCCTTACTATTTAAGTTGCATATAAGACTGAGTCTTGACTGTCGAAAACTAAAAGAAAAAAAACATTTAACATAATAAATTTCCAACTGCGCAGAATCCTGGAAAACAAATTGCGGTGTCAGAAAATGTCACGTCATCATTTCTTCCCGCTTAAATTAGCGTTATTGAGTCAAACAATTAAAATCTGAAATCATACGATTTTAGTCCACAATGAAAGGTTTGTGATACTAAAAAAAATCAGCTTATTTTGTATGAAACTAAAAAAATACCAGAGCAGTCGTTTTTTAAGAAAAACTATGGATCCGGGGGGGGGGGGCACACTAAAATGTTCCTGAAGTCCTATAACTCGGCTCATACGTGCCGTATCGAAAAGCGATTTTCAGTGTTATGCTCCTCTTCTGATGCTCTTTCGAATGATACAAGTTTGACCCAAAAAATAAAAAAACGAAACAATTTTCCTTCTTTTGGTGACGTCAGCCAGTGTGACGTAACGTCATGTCAGTTCCAAGACACCTACACATGCTGTTACTGCAGCCGCTCCTGTCTTCCAAATAAAGAGACGTGTGCAAGGACACCAGGGGGCTCCAACAGATCGGCTAAGGTCGCTGGGATGATGTCAGATCAAATGGCTTCAAGACCGTGATTTGCGCTGGACAGAATCTTCAAGACGAGAAGCTGTGCGATTAGGAAAATGAAAATGAAAATGTTTCAACAACATCCGAGACATTTCAACACATCTGTCCAGTTTCATTCATATTTAGCACATGCAGCATTCTCCACTAAACATTACGGCACTGAACACTGAAAATTTCGGCGCATAGAGGGGACCCTAAATTTGTTGCAAACTCTATAACAGGCTAAAGAGAAAACCGCAAGCTTACAAAAAACTTAAGACAAAGGCAGTTGTTTGCGTTAAGTGCAGACAGGCTTACACTTAATGGGCCTCCAGCAGAATTCAACTTGTGATATCTAGCGCTGTATTAAAGAGTTCCGGTTTCCTATCATTATATCCAGATCCAAGCTGGCGTATCCCTTAATAATAATCATAATTCACAATTGCATATAAACTGTGGGTAAAATAATTTCACAAGTTCGCCTACAATTACACATCATGAAGGGCCTTCCTCAGTCTCTGTAACCAAGCTGGCACTTCAAATTATTGAACGCAGACCATTATATCGAATTGTAAATCTAAACGAAAGATCAGAAAAATTCTACAATGAAAGTTTCCAGTTTACTCCACAATTCGTTATTAATGTTATCATAAAATCGATAACAAGGTACACCTAGACAGCCAAAATTTCTTTTAAGTATTTGTCACATTTTCAGTTGGAAGCTCCCTGAATTGGCTGCTCTCATGGAATCAAAACAAGCATAATGTAATAAGCTAAAGATACGAAATTGTTTCGAGATGTAAGAGTAGGAGTTTTCCTCTTAAATTGTATCAAGCACTTTCAAAATCATTATTTTTCCCTCATCAACCCAGTTTTTTCTTCTTAGCTTTTAAACTATCGCGATCGGCTACTCTTGTTAGCAATAACAAGGATATGCTGTAATGAAAACATTCTAGATAGCCCAATACTCTGAGACGGTGAAATCCAGGGTGTCCAGGCAACATATACTTTTTCTGCAAAAACTGAGATTTCCTAGTCGCCCAAGAGTAAATTGTATAAAGCGCTAGGGGGCCTCTGGGCGCTGCTAGAGGACAGCCCTAAATAATGTCTTAAATCTTTTTTTTTCTTGCAGTGTTTCCAACCAAAAAAAAAATTGTTCGGATAATGTAATAACGCATTAACATGTCAGGTTTTGACAGTTCGAATTCGGCCTAATTGATATAATTGATTCATTCGACGAAGAGAAAAACGTATGTATATTACCCAAGCGAAAACGCGCGTAAACGAGTTCGTCGTTCACTATAAGGTAGAGGAAAAGCATCACAAACGAGTCTAAAAATTGCAAAACGTTAACATCCGTTTTTCCTCTATTAAGAATATAAAAACTGGTATCCCTCGCCTGGTAGATATGCCCTGACAGCCGTTGCAATCATTCTAATTGGTCAATAACGTATTTTGGCACTTTTAAAAAAAGCCTGCATCGATCGTCATTCTTGATGAAAATTCATTTTCCCGGGACAGCATAATTCGTCCAGTTTCCGAAGGCTTTCCAAGACGAAAGGGATCAACTCCATGTTAATGTTAATTTGTCTTACCTTTCTCAGTCTTGGCTTCTGTAATACAAGAACCGAAGAGTACGTCATCCTGGAAAAGAGCCATAATGTCAAAGCATGGAAAGTGCAAGGCTGGGAAAAGCTTGAGCGACTGCCACCGTCGGAAGAAATATTTTTGACCTTTGCCCTAAAGCAAAGTAACTTAAAAACTTTGGAACGTGTCTTCTGGGAAGTCTCTGATCCAAGATCTAAGGAGTATGGAAAGCACCTTTCCTTGTCCAAACTAACGCAGTTGATAGCCCCATCAGAAACGACGATTTCAAACGTCCAGGCGTGGCTTAGAAGTCATGGCATCCAATCGAGTGACTGCAACACTATCTTCACGAAAGATTTCATGACTTGCCGAATGTCCTGCGAATCTGCTGAAGCGATGCTTGTTGGTGCTAAATTCCACCGTTTTAAGCACGCCCAAATTTCGAAGCCCGTTATTCGATCTCTCCAACACTATTGTATTCCTAAGAGTATTACACAGCATGTTGACTTTGTGGGCAGCGTGCTGCACTTTCCAGTTGTAAAAGGCCAAACGTCGTCTAAAGGTTTTCATCGCGAATTTTTAGACAACATAAATAAGGATCTCATCTGTACGGGGGTCTATCCTAATGTTTTACGGGAGCGCTATAATATGTCTGATGTTGTTGGAACCCATCCTGACAACCGCCAGTCAATAGCATCGTTTCTGGGAGAATATTACAGTCCTGCAGATTTAAGAAAATTCTTTGACATATTTGGTGTTTCCTTCAAACACCTAGAAAAAGTTACGAAAGTCATTGGTCCAAACAATGGACCCCCTGGTTCAGAAGCAAGCCTGGACATCCAGTATATCATGAGTCTTGGTACCATGGTACCAACCTGGTTCTGGAGCACTGCTGGTCGCCATGAGTCAAAAGAACCCTTTTTAGAGTGGCTTATGGATATAAGCAATCGTTCTGAGGTCCCATGGGTGCATAGTGTTAGCTACGCTGACTTTGAGGACTCACTTGATGTAGCATACATGAACAGGATTAATGTAGAGTTCCAGAAAGCTGGTATAAGGGGGCTTACATTCTTATTTGCCAGTGGTGACTATGGGGCCGCTTGCAAAAATTCAAAATTTCGGCCCATGTTTCCGTCTTTATCCCCATACGTCACCGCCGTTGGAGGTACAGGATTCAATCATCCCCTGTCTGGTGAATATGGCCATGAAATTAGTGGTGGAGGATTCAGTAATTTATTTGCGCGTCCTTCGTACCAAAATGAAGTTGTTGAAAAGTACCTGAAGTCAGTGCCTCATATCCCACCCACATCGTACTTCAACCCAAATGGCCGTGGATATCCTGACATATCCGCTGTGTGTCATGACTTCTGGATCGTGAGAAGTATGTTCGTTGAAACTGAGTCTGGTACTTCGGCTTCTACTCCAACAGTGGCTGGCATCATTTCATTGCTAAATGATGCACGGTTACAAAATAACAAGTCTACACTGGGATTCTTGAACCCCTTTCTGTACCAGAATTCTGCGACCATGTATGATGTTACCGCTGGACACAATGAAGGATGTCTACCGAGGGATATTGGGTTTTATGCTAGCACTGGCTGGGATCCAGTGACTGGCTGTGGTACTCCAAACTTTCCAGCAATGGTGAAAGCAGCTGTTAATAAGTGGTAAACTTTTATCGGACATTTGACCATAATTGTTATGTCATAAGGACGAGTGTGTTTTAAGGTAGACTGTATCGACTTGTACATTATAGAAAGCTTATAGCAAAAATCTTTACAACTGAGAGTTTTATTTTCAAATGGTGATGATAATGATGATAATGATAGCAATGATGATGATGATAATAATAGTAATAATAATAATCATAATAATAGTTTATTTGAAAAATGGCACTGATTACTCGATATGAACTTTCTAAACTAATGCAATTACATCAAACTAAAACAATAATGGCCAAATATTTAAACGTAGTTTAGCCAGTGTTTAACAAAACCGTGTTCTAAGTCATTTTCAATTTGCCCAACGATTTTATCTAAACATCATTTATTGTGAACAGTTTTTATGAAAGCACAGACCTCCAACCACGGCAACAGCAACGAGAACGGTTAAAAGGCAACATAAACAAGAAAAAAGCTCTGCAACTGCATCACACGTTTTTTGCAAATTTCTTTGCCGTCGTTTAGTGACTAAAACGTGAAACTTGCTAACTTAGGCTGGATCTCCACTGTCGGGTACACGCACGTAAACTTAATCAGGTATTCAATAAAATAGAGGCAAGATATAAAGTGTTGATCTTAAACTTGAAGTTGACTAGTTGAGCGAGCTTCAATGTTTTACGTTTACGTCCGACCTTTCATGCATTGAAATCCACCCTACACTGTCGCGTAAATTTTACGTGGATACGCCCTTGTCTAGTCCCTAGGCCTCATTATTCTGCGCGGCCAGAGCGTTTCGGATCACGTGGTCCAAGCGAAGTTGTGCGTTCACTTGCGTTCGCCTTGGATACGTCACCGAAGTGAATTGATCGATAGGGACTGGGAAAACAGGGACAAGGCAAGATACGCCCGTAAACTTTACGTACGTAAATAAATAGAGGCAATGTATGAAAAGCCGCGCATAATCGTAAAAAAAAAATTACCTCTATTTTATTTACTCGCGTAAAATTTTGAATGTATGTATGCACTTCACTGAATAGAAGCACTGAAGACTCATTTTTACAGGATCAGCTAGGGTAAAAACAACCGAAAAAATTCCAGTCAGTTGAGGACCTGTGTACAACTGTGTCTTTTGTTTTAAACTTAAATTTAGGCACCTTCTTGCCGGTATTTAGGAATATTTTACTTTCGGTCAAGGCTAACCCTGTACAAATGAGTCTTTGGCGCTTTTATTCAGCGGCCACGACGAATTCGAAAGAAAGGGCGAACATTTTTTTCCTCGTATTAAAATGGAGAAAATGTGATTGCGTGGTGATGATCCATTGCAGCCTGCAGATGGGTTTTCGCAGTTTACCAGAAAGTTAATTATAGACAGAGAACCTATAGCTTCGAATAATGGACAACGAATTGTTTAACGTTGACAAATACAGTTTATCGCATATGCAGTTTTTCGCATACAAGACTCGACCTGCGATTTCGGGTTCAGGTTGATCGAGTTCATATTTATCGGGTGCTTAGTGAGAGTTCAGCCTGACAATGTTCTGTAAATGTTCTTAAAGGTTTTTTTTTCGAAATGCTTTACATAATACATTTCCTGAGGTTTTTAAGCCCCAAGCAATCAGAGTAATGCATGTTTATTAAAATAAACATACAGGGTCGATTATTTAAACGAAGTCTAATTTAAGCCGCGGTTTAACAAATCTTTGGAGATGTGTTCCTTAGTACGTTACTTTAAGAAGATAAATACTTTTCTCGTCTACTCTATATGCTTTCATAAAACTGTTCACAATAAATGGTGTTTAGATAAAACCCTGGGGAAAATTTCAAAGAGACTTAGGCCTAGACCAAACGTCGAACTTTTTACTACACGGACCAAAGTCTGTTGGGTCAGACGTCGAACTTGGGACGCGTCGAACCAATCAACTGAATCCGACCAAAAAACAATTTTAGCCGAACAAGGCTAAATATGCATTCTCATACAAATTTTTAATTTCTAGTTTAGTTCGAATTCGTCGCATGTGAAGATCGACGTTTCAGCCGGGAGACGTTCTATCCGTCTGAGGCAGACGGATAGAACGTGGCCGAGTAGTCAGCGCGTCAGACTCGCATTCCGGCGGTCCGGGGTTCTGTGAATTAACAGTTTCTAAGTATTTGAGTGGAGTGCCCGTAAACTAGCTGGATAAGTTAAGCGCATTTTTCACTATAAACAAGCCTTTATTTTTTAGTTATTTATTTTTTAAATGGACGATCTAAAACCTTTTAGACGAACTTAGCTGAGTCAGACGTCGAACTTTTCATGAACTTGACTCTAGAAGTTTGGTCCGTCTCATGAAAAGTTCGACGTTTGACCTAGGCTTAAGAACGCGGTTTTGTTTAACACTGGTTAAACTCCGTTTAAATAACTGGCTCACATTATTTTATTCTGAATCACACTATATAAATCCCACAGATCTACTCTTTCCGTCAGGTAGTGTATGGCTCTTACAGTTTGTATGCTCCAGCACACCATAGTACTTTAAAATGAGTTACGATATTGCTTTCTTAATGTGGCATCCTCTTTCTTTTATATATTAAAGAACATTTTTTGTATCTATCAGGCTGAATTAGTTCTTCTATATATGGCGCTTTCTTGGCCAACTTATGTAGTGTATTTTTAGGAGAACTGCCTGGTATGGGGTCTCGGACTCTTTAACAGGGTGGCAAACAGGTTTTCCGAGACGACGCGTGATGGGACCCAAATTTTCAGCGTTATACGTGATCGGGCCCATATTAGCCGCGTGAAGCGTGATTGGGCATAGCAGCGTGATGCGTGATTTAATCTTTTCACAACGCGTGACGCGTGATTTTCCTTCGAAGTTTCCGTGATGGTTAATATCATTTGAAACTTGTAATAAAATAAAACTTTTAGCCTGAGGTTCTACGCCACTATAGCGCAGCTCCACCTTTAATATTCGCATCGTTTACTTCGCATTAAACGCAATACCCCGGCCCTTTAACCGCGCATGCACCTTTAACTCTCATCAGGGTGTTGCCATAAAGGTACCAGCAATGAGATAACTGCAATTTTTTTCACCCTTTTAACTAAAAACCCTGTCACCGTTATTACTAACTCGTCCAACTCTTATTAAAACAAAACTTTTATCCCAGCCAAATAACTTTCCATCTGTGCTCAAACGGTCCACCTTCATTTGTTAGCTAACTTTTCCACACTATTCCAACTCTATTATGAACTGGACCAAAAGAACCTCTCATTTTTTGATTGAAGCACAGTTAGAGCGACACCATCCTAGTTTACATCAAGGTCTGCTGATCTCACTTTGCATTGATTAGGCAGACAGCCGTTTTCCTACATGCTTGCTGCAAAGTTATTTAAGTGAAATGGTTATGAAACCCGTTAGTCTCCTTTGTTACATGTTTTTGTTAGCTTTTTTGGACTTGACCGTGCACAACGTTCAATAGCATTCCTATCATTTTAACATTGCTGACTAATAGAAACACTGCATTAATTTATTCAGGCCAAATTTATGAACAAAAAACAGGGGCACCCAACGACGGTTTCCTCCTACATACATTGAAAACACTTTTTAGGCTATCCATAGTACTTTTAGATCTCTAGAAATGCATTCTAAGCGATGCTATAAAATTTGTATCTGTTCGGTCATCCTAGGGCAACTCGAGTCTGTTCGAAATTATCAGGGCTCCAGCATTTCTTTCCCGAAAATTTTAGATGCAATCCAAAAATTTTAAGTTTCCTTTTTACTACGAAAAAAAGCCTAACCTGGGGAGTAAAATGTGAAAAATCAAACTTCAGAAAATCGTAGCGGACTTATTGGAAAAACTTCGAAAATTGTACATGAATGGAACGGTAGAGAAATTTTTAGCTGTCTTCAAGTAAACGAAAATTCTAGGCAATATTTGCTTCTCCGAACAGACATTTTATAGAAAACAGTCGTTGGGTGCCCCTGAAAAAACAAAGAATTGTGCACGATCAGGGAGCTTCCAACATAATCTACATACAGCTGATACATGAGCATGGTTGTTTTCAACTTTGATGTTTGTCGGCTTTCATAACCAGTCTCCTCTACTATGCTTGCGCTGAATAATTTGCTTATTAATGAATGAGGCTGAGTATGATATGTGAAGAATTATAAGAATAAGGATACTGGTCAGTAATATATTAACGTTTTTTGTAAATACATGGGTTCAGCTTCAGCCCTCCCAGCTTGTGCAGTGGAGTGGCCTTCACCACTTCTTTATCTTTGATGAAGTCAAACAGTACAAACATCTTGTTAGAAGTGTCCTAGCAGAAAAAATGGGGATGGAAACGTTTCAAATTTAGTTCAGAGTTAGTTGTATGCTGCTGGCATGATAAATAGTTATCATCAAGTCCATTAAAACACCACACTGCTTTCAACACTACTGCAGACCCTAGCAATAATAATTTATGTTGGATATGCAACAGATTTCAACCTTATAAGTGTCACCGCTACACATAGCACATAATATGATATTAAGATCAGTTTGCATTATTTTGTGCAACTTGTTAAGGCAATTCAATTCTGTTGGAGAGAGAAATATTTGCACAAAAATCCTGCTGCATGAGTGGTCCAGTTTGGTCCGATCCTATTAAAGCATGACCACAGCTAGTCCAAATTGGACGACATGAAGTTCTGTTACCATTTAATCACAACTGTAACAAAATGTGTGATATTTTAAGCTTCTGTTAAATTAAAACGCTGGATAGATGGGAGAAGAAGCAGCAAACTATTAAGAAGCTTATAAGCTGGGCCCTGTTTCAAGTTATAACTACAGAACATATATTTTTACCCCGCCCTCCCCCATCTCATCTGAAGGAAGCTGAACATATATATCTATAATAGTATTAAAGTTGAGTTGGTGCCCCTTCAGGGGATGTTCTTCCACCCTAGCTAATAAATCATGATAGTCAAGGTTGGAACACTCTACATGACAAGTTGCAGCAACATGTCATGGCGACTAGATGGTTAGTGTGTACAGGAGGATTTTGAGCATTAATCTTTGTAACTATTATTAACTTAGTCAATGCTAGGGACTATACACTGTAACTGTACCCTCATGTTCAACTTTTAACATTAAATTAAAGGCACGACTTTTAAACAAAAAGCTTAAAATGCACATGTATGTTAAATTTTTAATCTGCAGTGCATAATAAACACTGTACTCAATGTTATTTCTCAGACACTGGCACATACCTCACTTTCAAGTTTAAATCCCAATCTTGAGAGAGATTTAGTGAACTCTGCTTTGTCTTTTATCCGACTGGTCACTTCAGCAATTTTCAGAACACCCCTAAAAATTATTAACAAAAATTACCTTCATCTATATATATTCAATGTAAAACACTGCATCTTATAGAGCATTCAGATCACGACTAGGGGAAAAATTGCAGGAATCTGCAGTTTGTCATGGCTGTGCTATAGAAAACTCAAAGGGATCCAAGTGCCCTTGAAGATTGAATCGTATGTTTATTTGGGAAAATTAAAGACAGAATATAGATTCTTGATCTCAGATTTTTTTTGATTTGTTACAACAAAAGAAACGACAAAACTGAAGAATAACTGATTATTATTACCTCTAACATCTAGCAAATTCTTAAAAGGTGAGAACATCATGGCAGGATGCATATATATTCACAAGAGTATCACTTCTTGTGAATTTAGTGTAGTTTTTACAGATTCATACCGTAATCTTGACAAACCCACTGATTATGAAACCTTAGAATTCAGATTTTAGCCATGATCTAATGAATTCATTCAGAATGTGGATACTTTAGATTGAGATGCCACTATTGGTTAAGAACCATAAAATCTACTTTTGGATTCAAGAACATGGATTTTTAAAAAACCCTAAAACCCAAGCCAGTGCTATTTAGAAAATCATTTAAAAATGTTAAATTAATCTGACATAAGACAAAAATGACTCAGTACCCAGGTTTGAGGACTCTGTGGGCCTCTCTCAAGAAGTCAAGAAGGTTTGTTCCCATGAGAGAAAGACAAAACACAGCAACATCTACACTTGAAGGATTCAAAGGGACCTAGATAAGATACATGTAAGAAACTTGTGTTAGATTGTTATCATGATGTAAACTAATATTAAATATTTACACTGGGTGATAAGAGGACAACTCACAGAGTCTATCAGTACCTTACTGCTCTTATTTACAAGTTAAATGTAGATTAGAGCTATAGATTAACCCAGGCTAAATGCAAAGCTCCTGTTAATAAATTTATACAGTAATTTACTTCAAACAATAAACTTGTAATAGAATTCCACGTGGACTGAGTTGAGCCCACAATCAGTTGAAAACTAGTAACTAATCAGAGAATAACTCAATAGAATGACAACTGATCCCATGACATGGTCATGTGAGACTGGTCAATCGATACACTGTTTTGGCAGCTGTTCATTGATCACAAGATGAATGAGCAATATCAGGTTGCAGGCTTCCACACTAGCTAGAAAGGGTGAGATTTCACATCAGTTGCCCTGTGGTGCGGACGGATGGGTGGACCGACAAATGGATGTACAATCACATGACTACATGTACCAAAATTCCTCCAATAACCACATTTTCTTAGCTACAGTATGTAATGGGGCTCCGCTTGTGCTCGCAAAGCGTCTGCATGGAGCTTCCCCAAAATTAATGTAAACTTTGCAATGGTGGACTTCAACGGAAATATTGACTACAATAGCCATGACAAATATACAACAATCATGCTAAATAATTAATCATTGGCAAAGTGACTGTTACAAAGTTTTCACTGGCTTGAATTGATACCCTTTTCCAAGGATAAAATAAAACTGGAAACTCACCTTAGCCATGTTGCAAGCTGTAACAAATGTATTCTTGGCTATAAGATCAAATGAATAAACTTTGTTTGTGATGCTTTGGGCGATCAGTGCTTCTCCACAACCAAAATCTGCAACCACTTGAGAGGATGGTCTGCAAAGCAAGTTAAGCAAGAACAACAAAATAATACATTCAACTCTTTCTTTGTGGACACCACATTATGATGGATACTCCCCTGAAAATGGTCACCTACAGTACATAGCTATAACAGACTGATGTAGCCTGCATAACAGCTGGTGCTTTATCAGCCACGCCAGGCAAATGTGGCATTTTGTGTGAAGTGCGGGACAAGGGGAGAAGAAAAAAAAAAGTGCCTGTTACCAGGTCCATTGTTCTGGCTCTTCCACTCATCTACGCTTACAAATATTGACGGATGGAAGTGATGTCAAAAGGACCAATCAAAACATGATCCATTAATCGAAAATTGTCACCTTTCTGGCTACCAGAAACAGCGACAGCAGCATAAACCACAGCAAATAACAACTACATGTACAAAGGCATGAATCACCTTCAATAATGTAAGAGTCAGTACAGCAAAAATAAGATTTGCTCAGTCAAATTTTAGTTTATGTCCAAACACAGCGGCGAGAAAGAGCAGTGAGGAAACTGTTGTTCAAACAAATTCCAGCACTATCATGAGCTTATGAGTTGTGTTTTGCTTGTCAACACTTCATTTCAAAAACTTAGTACCAGTGAATCAGGCTTTTTCCTAACCCAGTTGGAAGCAATCCAAGAACATCTTTCCTCTTAAGTAATAAATTTAATTATTTCATTTGTTTTTCTTTTATATTTGGAACATTACTTTGGAAATATACGAAGAGCTTTCCCCATCAGCGTCATCAAAAAAACATGACTGTGTGATGGCCATTGGCCAGAATCTTGCCAGAACAATGTCATCAATTAACCAATTGGTGCGTGAAGTTCATGTAGTGAATGTGGGAAGAGGCAGAACAATGGACCTCATCTCGTGCTTTGTGCAAAATGCCGCCTTCACCTTGCCTTTTACGCAGGCCACTACAGATGTTTTCTACCTTTCTTCTGTGTTTTCTTCGACTCTATAGAGGACAGATATATTTCTAAGACAGACACTTAGTGCTGGTCCTAAAGATGTCCATCTTTGAGAATGCTGTGTGTACTGCATTATGATAAATTCCTCATTTTTGAGTGATGGGTATGAAATGTTAGGCAGCATAAAATTGTGGTTGGCTGGGAAACTGTAACGGTGTGACTGTAATTAGACATCCCCTGAAAGAAACATTCCCCACCTAGCCTTCCCCTTTGTATTTTTCCCTTCATATGCACTGTACAATGCACCTTTTCCTTAACCACTGTATAATCTTATCAACAGGATTCACTGGCCACAATTTGACTTGATTGGTGAAACCTCGGTGATAAACATCAAATAGGCCAGGGTCCTTTGAAAACATAGCTACCGCTTCATCTCCAGTTGTGGTGTATAACTGTTCATTAATCCACCTAAACCTTGAAGATTCCAACTGCTTTGACATCTTCTCATGAAGACTTGATTTATTGTTGGGAAAAGATGGATTTGCCGCATCTTGATCTATGCTAATTCGATTTTTTGTGATCCAAATGCTCTCCAATTTTGTTTTTGAATAATCCTTTTGCTCATCATTTGTTTGAGGCCTTCCCATGTGCATATGATTTGCTTCTATTTGTTCCATGTTTGAAACATCGCAATCGTCATTTTTAGAGGCATGATCACTTTTTCTTTTGTCTATCTTCTTTTTTTTCTTGTCCTTTTTTCTTTTGTGCTCAACAGGTTCACAACTACTAGATTTTAAAATCTTAGCTTTAGCATCTGCACTTGAAAGCAATGCAGAATCAATGCTTGCAACCTGTTTTGTTTCATCTTTATTGTTAAAGCCAGTATTCTCTTCGACTTCTTTGCCAGAATTGAAGGTCTTCCTTTCATCAATGGATTCATCAGTGACGGACCCATATTGTTGGCTTGTGCATTTTAAAAGTTGAGAGTTAAACTGCTGATCTCTTTTAAATTTATTCTTTACTCTTTTCCCCTTCGGTTTCCTTTCTGATTTCTTCACACTCTTGTCAGTAAGCTTACTTTCTTCGTCTTGAAATCCATTTTGTTTGAGTTGAGAAGTCAGTTTTAGACCTCTTTTGAATTTATTCCTTTCTCTTTTCTCTTTCTTTTTCTTCTTTGCTTTTTCTATATCTTCGTCGTTAACCAATGCTTTTCTTTTTCCTTTCTTTGATACATTTATGTGTAAAAACTCGCTCCCTTCATGATCACCGTTGGGCTGAAAACGGTTGCTGGTACAGGTATCGCCAAACAGTTGATCGATAAGTACATCCTGCTCCTTAGATGCACTATTCCACTCCAATACTTCGAATGGACTTTGCATTCTGCTACATGAAACTAACAGTATTAAAAAAATCACGTATTCACAGAAGAATTCTTCTTTAAAGACTCCGCTGCGTCCGCCATGTTAGAAAAACAGTGTCATGTGGTCAGCGCCCATCCAAGTAGATTTGCGCCAGAGCGAGGCTTGAAATGTCCTCTTCTGCTCGATCCACGATCCATCATGGCGGTGGGAAAAAACAAGAGACTGACCAAAGGAAAAAAGGGTCTTAAAAAGAAAATGTGAGTGATCATATTTATCACTGCCATCCAAGAAGTATTTCAGCATCTTTTGAGAACTATTATATGTAACGAAAATGGGCGGATGGCAGGAATTTGTATAGGATTCAGCTGGATGTATCATAAGCAACAAGTCATGTTTCCCGTTGGTTACAGCGAGTAATAATCGGCAATCATAGAGTTTATTCCAAAAATATTAAAAACTGATGGGATAAAAATCATGAGAACTTAAATAAGGGAGCAGCAACATTTTTCGCAAGTGTGTATTTGAATTTCCGTTAATTTGATATTTGTTATTTTTGTCAATAGCGTTGATCCCTTCACCAAGAAAGATTGGTACGATGTCAAAGCTCCATCAATGTTCACCATCCGACAGATCGGCAAAACTATGGTGACCAGAACAGCTGGAACCAGTGAGTATTTTCTTTATTTTCATTTTTTTTTGCATGCACTTGCTCTCCATCTATTAGATCTACACCATGATTCTAAGCAAGAGGGGGTAAAGCCAAACAAACAAAACAAAACAACAAATTTTATTGGAAATTGGAAAATAACTAATTACATTACTTTCCCACCCGCAAATAGCTTATGGACTAATCTAGGCGGGGGGAGCTGAAGACATATTACAAAACAAGATTTATATATAGATGGACTAAATAACAGTGAAGACACTTCAATACAGTAAATAGAATTTAAACTAACATAAAACAAGGCATGTACATAACTATTACGAAGAGGGGCTAACCTAAAGTATTAAATAACTTAATAAGACGGGAGACTTCGACATAATCATCTCCTGACCGCAAAAAATTTAGTAATAATTCCTTTATTTTTTTTCGAAAGCACGAACGTTTAAGTATTTTAATCGAATAAGGAATAGAGTTCCAAATCTGGGCACCGATTCTTCTGATGTACCGAACCTAATGCATAAATTCTTATAACATATCTTGTGAGCAGTTTGACCGAAATGATCGTTTTCTTTCCTTCTGAATTTAGTTCGGCTGGAATTACCGGTATGATCGGCGTCTGAATCAATTCAGCCGGTCTAAATAATTTGGGTTGGCCTTAATTTGAATTAGGTTCGGCTCATGAAAAGTTCAGCATCTGAACCAGGCCTAACTGTTGGTTATCCTGCTGTTGTTAAGCAGCCGGATCTCGAAAATTTACAGTGCAAATTTTTACGGAGGAAAAATGTCTTACAACCCTCTCCATGCAACCGAATTTAAGAAAGAGAAGCGATAAGTGTTGGTCAGTGTGGATTGATGGGATTAAGGTTTCTGGATAACCCCTTAGATTTATTATGGATACATGTTTCGACTCTATTCATTTAACTGTTGGCGAGAAAAAGTGTTAAATGCTGCATGCATGTTTATTTAAATGCATAGGGTTTTTACAGAAATCCTACTAAGATGAGGTATTATAAAAGTAGGTTGAGTTTGATCGTACGGTGAACGTAGTCCTGAATAGGACTGTTGTTGTTGACAGTGACTTACGTTTCGACCACCTGTGCAGTAGTCATCATCAGAGTAGTGAGTTGTGTCACATCAGTTGATGGTATTATGCTCTGGTTATTGGTCTGATTGGTCAATTACGTTGCGATGTTATTGGTCGTCTGTCAGTTAAGCCGTGATGTTCTTGGCTATGAAGACTCGTAATCAGTAATTGGTGCATTTTGATCTGTCTATTGTGACAGTCAAACAGTCGTCTATTGATAGTCAAATTGTCAATTCTCCAGTCGTTCTGTTGTAGTTAGTGTTGCTTGATCTCGTCAATTAGTTGTTTGTACGGCGCTGGTAACTGTTGGCTACGATTCAGTGGCGTTTGTTCTAAGTTAGTAAACCAGCTTTCTAAAGTAAGACATTGATAGTAGTCTGTAGAATACGTTATACCTGTCGCAGAGTCCCAGTCAATTTGATGTTTCGTGTGTAAATGGTGCTCAGCAATGTGATTATTGACGTCACCATTCCTCGTCGCTCGTTTATCAATTATGTTTGGTCACTGTAAGAAGCCTGGCACTCACAGCATTTGATCTTATATTCTGCCACCTGTCCGTCCTCCGGTTTGTCTTTGTCCTTGACACTAGTAAGCAGTCACTGTAAAGTGGTTATCGGTTTGTGTGTAAAGTAGCAAAACTTCCTCGACTATCAAGGAGCAGCAATCAGTTTTATCCTATTACTTTGACCGTGGTTAATTTAATATTACTAGTAATTATTAAAGTTCAGGGATTGCATGAGAAAGTGATGGAAAGTCAAAGCACTCTTTCTCCAGTGCTGTGCATTGCATACAGTACCACCCAAAAGTAACTTACCAGTCGCGTCTCGTTTCCTGTGCGATAAGTATCGCGTAGCACGAGAATCATTGAAGCAGCAATTTTTGGCATAAATTATTGATGGCACATCCAGCGAGAAACAAACTAAAAATTTCGCTTAGCATTACCTTGAAGACCGAGGAAAACGGGTGTTAGATTTTGCATTAAGTTTCTTTCAAGAAACTTTCTTTTAACTTGTCATTAGCACACTGTTTAGTTTTCGGATTTGTTAGCAATTGACATTTGGCACTGAATTTGATCATGACATTTCGTTCGCCAAAATGGGAAAACCACTTCTAGTTTCCTTGATTTTTTGATTGAAAAAAAACCAACATGAGAAGAACCAGATATACTGCAAATCGCCAGTGATGAGTTTCTCCTCTAAAAAAATTTCTCAGCCCTTTTGGTGTATGTAGTTATCATTCGTGCGTAACGGCTGCTTTTGCAAACGAGATATCAACAACATTGGTAAATATTTAACTCGGTGTACAATCACGAAATAATGTTAGCTTAATTTGTTCTTTATAGCTTTTTTTATACAGTCACTACTTGATATATGAAAGAAAGTTGTCTTGAATTTAACAAATTACAGCGGCCAATAAGGAAACAGTGCATTTGCTGGACTGCATTTTTTGCGTGACAGCACATTGCAAATGTGCATAGTGTCAGAAAAATGGTAATTTGAAACCTACTTCTCAGGTACTGTATTTGTGACCCTCCATAGGAAAAGGGGGCTTAAGTATTTTGAATAAACGCCTTAAACGCAGTGTTTAAAACAAAAATAAACGGGTTTTAAACGGTTTGAAACCCGTTTCAAACATTTTGAAACGCCTTTGACTTGACAGGGTTTCAAACGAGGCAAATGCGTTTCTGGCGTTTGAAATGCTGGATTAACATGCGTATACTTACTGAATTCGAGGTCCACATGGGTTCTTGCTTTATGAATTCATTCAATGTGTTTGCAGAATGCAGGTGATGCAATGCAATAAATTAGACTTTATTTCAATTCGAATTAAATATAGCAAATACGTGCTAATATCTCTGTGATATCAAACAGGTACCAGAAACTGCTTTGATGAGTCTGAGTGCATTTGCTTTACTTAGTATTGTTCTATTTTACATAGTAAACATTGCTAAAAGTCTCGGTAGTACTAAGGTACCGCATAAAACCTTATGTATTCGCAAAATCATTACCTTCTTAACATGGCGGCGCTCTTTTGTCGGAAGGGTGCTGTCAACAAAGACATGTGCGAGAAACTATGAAAGGCTGCCACGGCCGCCAAAACCGAACAGCAAAACCAAAAGCCACGAATATCACTACCTTCACATTTTGCATGATCGAAGAGTACAGTGTTCCATTATTATTACCCCCATTACACGAGCAATTCTCTTTGCAGATGAATAGATATGTTTCCTAAAGCCTCATAACCAAACAGGGATCATCCCTGGCTTCCTCGCGAGCTTGTTCTTGCCTTTGCTATCGGTTGATATTTTTACACAGTCATTTAAAAAGATAATGCCTTTGAAAATGAATCTGCACCAAGTATTTGTCATGAATTTTTGCACTACTGTCGCGACTTTGTTTCTTTAGTCATGCGCACCCTGGTTAAGTTAGTGATGTAATTTGTGGTTTTACATTTTACGTCCATATATGGGCATTAAGTTTTTCCGACTAAGAGTGATGATACAGAAAAGCGGGCAACAAAATGCAACTACAGTTGACTCCCGATAACTCGAACCCTGGCTAAATCGAACCTCGCGCTAACTCGAACCAAAATCGATTTCCCCTGGATTTCCGTCATACATTCACTGTAATTTTATCCTCGGTAACTCGAACCCTCGATAACTCGAACTCCTGCTAACTCAAACCAATTTTCGTTTCCCCTCAGGTCATTTTCTACATAATTGTACCCTCAATAACTCGAACCATGTTTTGAGCCCTTAAAAAGTCGGGAAAAAAGCTGTCTACGGGCGTCCAAAACATTCAATTTTGGATTTCCTATTGACGAGTTGTAGGAGTATAGTTTACTAGTGGGGGCTGATGTTGATTATCACAGGCTAACGTGAAGCAGCTTTTCTTCTCAAAACAGTAAAGCTCATGCTCTATGTTTTGTTACGTTACGTTCTGATTTATAATCTAGAAGTATCTTTTAATTTTCACTCGACATTTGTACAATTAAAAGTGATTAAAATATTCGCTGAGCAGTAAAAACTGTTTTTTACCTTAATCTCGGCTGTTTTCTTCGAACCTGCGATAACTCGAACTCCCGATAACTCGAACCTTTTTTCGATTTCCCTTGAAGGTTCGAGTTATCTGGAGTCGACTGCAGTGTTTTGCAACATTGGTGCAAAATGAGTGGATTGAAACCAGCGGTGATTGAATCTGACATCAACCTTTTGTCCCGCAAGTAGCAGCTCAGGACTCTCCGGTTTTAAACATCGTCATTTAAACGACTGTACGCTGCCTTTCCAACCATCTTCTGTGAACCAGCAAATTGTGACTTTATCGTTTACAGACATTGACGCGAATAATGAGCTCTTATAGTTCGCGCAATGACAGGAAACTAGAGGTCCAACTTTGTTTTTGAGAGAACTGATAACTCGGGTGAGGAAGACTGGGAAGGTAGACTGGGTCAGAGAGGTGTTGTGTTACAATGGTGACCATTTTTTGTAGCTCGATAAAAATCGTTTGATCGTGTGAGTGTACTGACACTCACACAATCAAACGTTGCAATCTGCTCTCTGCGATTTTGTTTACCGATTTGTTTTAAATAATAGAAAGCCCACACAAACGAAAACAAAACACAATGTAAGAATAAAGTTAACAGTTGCGACTCATATGGCAACATGGATCATTTACAGTTAATTGGATTCAACCTTCAGAGAAACATAATTTCTTGAGCTCTTTTGGAACAAAAAGGTGAGATAAGTATACGATAAAAGGTCGCACAAATGTATTTCATATGTGCATATGTTGTATAATTTTGCTTCAACACATAGAAGTAATCTCATGACTAATCTGGGAAACATGTTTTTTACGGTTATTACACTGTTTGCGTGGTGTACAGCTGATGTATACCGATTTCACATCAAACAACAGGAATATTTTTGCTTTATTGTAGAATTGTATCATTAAGTTGATTTCTTTTATTTTGATTTTGATTTTGGCCTCAACTTCATTGTTAAAGCTACTATTTTTGTTTTCAAAAACTGTAACCATTCGTGACTTTTGTTGAATAATTATGTTTGTACCTGAAATAAATTTTAGCTGTTGACAGCTATACAAAAGGTCTGGTGTTTGAAACACATGCAAACGCATTTTGTTGCATTTTAAACACCTAGTGTTTGAAACAATTTGAAACTGTTTGAAACCTTTTTGAAACTGTTTGAAACGGGTTTCAAACGCGTTTCAAACATAAACGCCCTTGAAACGCTTTGAGTTAAGCCCCCTTTTTCCTTGGATGGTCACATTTGCATACTACCCTAAAGTGAAAAGATACGCTTTTCTGCGCTTCGATAAACTCACTGGCTTAAACTTTAAAGCTGTTCTATGAACTGATAGGTTTTTAAATATCCAACGTAAATTTTTTCCATCCGTTTGTCCAAAAGAAGCCAAAAGCTATGACAGTGCTTTTGGAAGCGTTGCCGATCGGTCTATGATTCATTATTCAGCTTGAAACGTTTAACGAAACCTGCAGGCAGTTACAAGTAAAGCTATCATCTCAAAGTTTTTTAAAACAGGTAGTTTTCAAGGTAGTGCAGTGGTTATAAAGAGACTTTATTAAAAGCCTGTTTTACGCAAATATGGAAATGCCGATCCTTCAAACAGGGTACAGGTCGGAGAGGTAAAAATTTATTTGCACGTTGGTCACGTTAAAGCTTTGCTATTGGTTCGTTAAATCCCTTAAGAATTTTGGCGGTGATACTTGAAGTTTTTAGGCCATCTCGTGCCACAAGAATCGAATTCTGCACTACAGGAATCGCGTACATGCTACAAGAATAGCTTAACTTGCAACGCAAGAGGGTGGTAACTTACTTTTGAGCAGTTTGGTGTGATAAAGGCTCGAAATGCATGTGATCAGATTACAAGTGATAGAGGATCCAATGTGCATTGTGGAAGTCCCGATCAAAGCTGGCTACATACTTGCTGTGCATGCAAAATAGCAACCTGTAGATTAGGATTGCAGGCTCCTCTGGTCGCCTGCCATTATACACTGTCCACTTAGTCCTAATTTCATTCCAATCTCTTGACTTCTCACAGAAATTGCTTCTGATGGTCTCAAGGGACGTGTGTTTGAGGTATCACTAGCTGACCTTCAGAACGATGAGGTTGCATTCAGGAAGTTTAAACTCATTTGTGAGGATGTCCAGGGTAAGAACTGCCTCACCAACTTCCATGGTATGGATATGACCACAGACAAGCTCAGGTCACTTGTCAAAAAGTGGCAGGTTAGTGAATCACCAGCATGCTTTTAGTTTACAAAGCTTTATCATAAAACTATAAGAGTACATGTAAATGTGACCTCTCACTTAAAACTATTCCTTATGATATCTCTTCAAACCGCTAACATCATGTAAATGCTCTTCCATCAGACTCTTATCGAAGCAGCTGTAGATGTCAAAACCACTGATGGCTATCTGCTGAGGCTGTTCTGTATTGGTTTCACGAAAAAACGTCAAAACCAGATCAAGAAGACAGCTTATGCCAAGCACTCACAGGTGAAAGCCATCCGTAAAAAGATGGTGGACATTATCACACGCGACGTCAACACTGGTGACCTAAAAGATGCTGTCAACAAGCTGTAAGTATTGAGAAAATCTGTGATGGGATTTTAATGTTGGTCTTACATGAACATGTGACCCACCTGTTTCAAGGCAACAAAATGTTTTTTTTTTTTAATTGAGTGGATTAAATCAATTTACCACCATAGAAATAATGAAAAGCATAAGTTCTTTTGTCAGAGGAATACACTCCTGCAAGGAAGGGCTAATGCTCAAAACATGAGGTTTTCATTCTGTTTATGGTGGTAAAATTGACATAAAGGAGCTGCATCACGAAGTTTTTCAAGAGTCTAACTCTAGGAACTGCCACCAAACTGAGTGAAACAAAAATAATCACTCAAAAATTAAGTGAAAGTATTACTAGCAACTGGGAGTTCTTTTTAGACAAAAAGCTTTTAGCATTAAGTTCCATAGCGCCTAAGGAATCATAATTGGCAACAGTTACAAAATGAACTAGACAGCCATGACACAGCCCTCTTAAATTTTTAATGTAGTTGAAAAACCATTTTTTAAAATTTTCCTTGTACAGCCTAACCTCCCATAAGCAACCACCCAAAATGCCAAGAGTTAGTGGTTGCTTATGGGAGGTTGTCGCTTACAAGAATCAAACCACTGGGGACCCCTTCCGAGAAGAGGTCTGGGCACATCTACTGTGTGGAAGATAATTATTTATTGCATGCGATTTCTAAGATACGCCATGTGTAGTTCCATGTTGTTACTAAAGTTCTTCATAATTATATTCAAAGAAGCATAGTGCACATAGCACATAGAGATCAGAGAATGCGTCAAGTGGAGAGGTTACAAACAGTATAAAATCATTAAACTTTCAGGCCCAAAAAGTGGTCGCAGTTGCTTACAGGAGGTGGTCGTTTACTAGAGTTTCCAACTGTAAGGCTTTGACTGGGAAAGTTTTGGTGTTTTGGATGGGTGGTCGCTTATGGGAGGTGGTTGCTTACGAGAGGGGGTCGTGCATGGAGGATGGACTCTAAGATTTGACTGATATTGTGAGGCAACATAATGTTAAAGATCAAAATGCATGCTCCAGCTTTTTCTTTGCCACAATGTATATGGTATCATCAGTATTTTTTCACACCACATAGTAGCTTGTTATTGACTGTATTTTATTGATAGGATCCCAGATGCTTTTGGTCGTGACATTGAGAAGGCATGCCAGTCCATCTACCCTCTTCATGACGTTTTTATCAGGAAGGTGAAGGTTCTCAAGAAACCCAAATTTGATCGTAAGTTGAAGTCGCACTAATTGGTACAGAAAAATATGGTTTTATCAACTTACAGTTATTTATGCAGTTACAAATTAAAATATACAGTGTAGTGCTAGTAGTCTGCGGTCGGTCGGTATGCGCGTGCACGGTTGTTCGCTACATGAACATCCTTCGTGTGATTCAACGGTGGGTGTAGTCTCCATTGTGTAGCGTTGTAGCGTTGTTGCCTTTATTGCTGTGATTACCCACTGAACAACTCGCCCTCATTTTTGCCTGGTTTGTCCCTAGTACTAGGATTGTCACAAAGGCAGTTTACATTATGCTAGGTTCTTGTTAGTCCTAGGATTTGGCCGGGATCTCCCTACCTCTCCGCTCGGAAGATCCTAGCACTCGGAAGATCCTAGGTCTAGGGACAAGCGCAACCCTTTGCATGTAAACTGAATACAGAAAACATATGGTGCTAGGATGATCCGCCTTCTAGCATCTTACTTGTGCTAGGATCTTCCCCCTTTCATGTAAGCTGTCCCTTAGTATGGGGAAGATCTCGTTCTCCTAGGCGACCTCATCTTAGTTGACAAACGGACACTAAGTACTGGTCCCAAAGGTGTATGCTGTAGAGAGAGTTGATTGTAGACGGGGTTGCCACGGTCAGGGAAAAGTCAGAGAAAGACGAAAAGTTTTCAAGGCCAGGGAAAAGTCAGGGAAAAAAGAAAATTTTTTCGAGGTCAAGGAAAAGTCAGAGAATTTTTAAAAAGTCAGGGAAAATCTTTGATATTGTCAAAGTCAGTGAAAAGTGAGGGAATTCTGTTATCCGGTTTATAGTTCATAAGTTTTCGTCAAGATCTTGAAATACATTTTCTGTCAGAAAAGATGAAAACTGTGCTGCGAAGGAAGGAAAGTGTGGAAACTCTACATGGTGCACGCCTGACACATGTAGTAGTTGTGATCAGTGTTTTTCCTTCTGGACGCTTTCTTCCAAATTCCTTCTTCCTCCCTCTGCGAAAAGCAGAAAGAGGTTGAAAATAAAGAGAAAAAAATTGGTGACCTGCAAAAAGACCTAAGGCGAATGTAAACATGAATTGTTTCTAATTAGTAAAAGTTCAGTGAAAACTGGTTAAAGGTCAGTGAAAAGTCAGGGAATTTGTAACTTTCTGATGAGTGGCAACCCTGTAGACTACTTACATTGATTTTGTGCGAGATCTAATGCCGCGTGCTTTGCTCTATTTGTGCAGTCGGCAAGTTGATGGAGATGCACGGTGAAGGGGCAGCCCACAGTAGCACAGATGAAACTGGTGCCAAGATTGATAGAGACAGCTTCGAGCCCCCTGTTCAAGAATCTGTGTAAAAATAAAAATGAGTGGAAAATTTCAACATAAAAGATTAAAGCTCTGAAACCAGAAAAGTTTCTCTGCCCCTCCTTTCTTGTTTGAAAAGGTCTTTAAATTCTCGTAGTGATACTTGACTTAAAATTTCTGCGAAATATTTCCGTGTTTTCTCGTCTTACAACGTGGATGATTAATTTGCCTACAGTTCCAACAAGAAGAGGCAAGAGATTAAAACTTTAAAGAGGAGGAGAGGACATGTTGGACGCCCGGTTCAACATGTTTCGACTAAAATAATTTTCTTGTTCTCGCTCATTTGCATTAGATTCAGTTCAGCGAAATGCGGCGTGTCAACCGGACCTAAGAGTTTGGTGAAATGTGGCTTTCTTCCTATGCCCTTGTGTACTAAGGGCCTGTTCACATGAAGGTGGGGGACCCCAGGTAGGTGAGGTAACATGTGGCGGGTTACCCCACCTATCATGTAAACGTGATCAAATTAAAATGAGAGATTATATGGACAGGCGGGTTACCCCACCTAAGCGAGTTACCTCACCTATCTGGGGTACCCCACCTCCATGTAAACTGTCTGTGAGGCTCTAAGCCAAAGCATCCCTGTGATATAAGCTAAGTCTGCCTAGGGTCAACGATCACTTTGATCGATGAAGAGTTGTTTCCATTTGATCGTTTAACTCTCATATGGAAGCCCCAATCCTAACACTTTCAGTTTCACCCGCGGCTTAGTCCACCAAAAAAGCAAACCCAGCGCGAAACTAAATATGCCACAACCACTGTCACCACACACTCGAAATGCTCTCGAGTGGCTAATTTTAAAGCAGCTATGTCACGAGGATATTAGCCTGTGAACAGGCCTTTGGTCGAGCGGGGAACTAGGGAGAGGGAAAAGCGATTTTTTTTCCCCAAACAGAGAGCCTGTTCACAGGCTACGAGGATATTGCTGTTGTGGGTTAGTCCTGTGCTGAAATAATAGACCTTACTCACGATGCCCGCCATCTTTGCTCGCGTTCAAGGACTGATGTCACGTGGCTTCTCAGGGGGCCAACAAGTGATAAAATTTTCCAATACAAGAAATCCCGGTCGGGTTTGCTTATTCTTGACAACAGAAAATGAATAACTTTTTATATGAAATGCGATATTGGCAAATTGTGGGTGGAAGTGACCATTTTTACTTTTTTGGATGCAGTAGCGACCGTAGAAGTCATCACAACAAGCAATAATGAAGTTAAGTTTGTCGAAACTCAAACCGCACATTTTGCATGACTATTAAATCGACGTTTCTTTTTAGGAGAATAACCAAAGTCGACCGCGATTTCCCACAGGGGCAAATTTTATCTCTAGTTTACCCCCTGAAATAGCACGTGACATTGCTTTTATCCAATCAATCCTAAAGCACGTGCGAAGATGGCGGGTATCGTGAATAAGGTCTATTACTTAGTGCCCTTTACAGGGGCGGATCCAGGATTTTTTGTAGGAAGGGGTGCACTCGTCTCTTGCCCTACTTCAACACCAATAAACCAAATTTGTTTTTTGCAGAATACCAGTTGTCAGTTGTATTAGAAAACCGCAGGTCCGGCATCTCAGGGGGAGGGGGGGGGGTTGCGCACCCCTTGCACCCTCCCCCTAGATCCGCCCCTGCTTTATCCATGCACTGAATACTCGATCTGTAGAGTCATGAGGAAGATATCAAACAAATTTCACTAGGAAGCACTAACCATAATACGTTTTTGGTGACATTTGAACCTGAAAAAGTTGGCCCTACTTTTTCTATTTTCAATCCATGTTCATCTTTGTCATCCTTTGCAACAGACGATAGGAAACAGTTTCATTTGCTAAATATAGTCTTAAACTAGTGGTAATTGCAAATTAGGGGAGTGCGTTCGATGAGAAGGGGGGTGGTGGGTAGTAAGTGGTAGTGGGAAGGGGGTGCTAAACCTGATGGGCTTGTAATATTGAGAAATCAAAATCAAACACTTTTATCAATACGAATATCAGCAGCTTTCTTTTTCAGTGTTATAGTTTATCCTCCCACTTTACAATTCGTGACTATTTCATTTTTCCTCAAAAATGCAAAAGCAAACTGTATTTTTTACATTTACTCGGCTAAACCTCTAAGTAAAGTACATGTATGTAACAACAAGTCAAACACTGACTATGATCCTCGGGATATTCCTTTGCACTCTAGGATAGTCAATAAAATAGTCCATTTTCGAGTTCGCTATGACTGCTGAATTAAAGAAGTGAAGACGCATTTTTTACAGCCTTAGCCTCAATCTGAAGTAATATATTCACAAATTCCAACGAGGAAAAGACCTGGGCCCAGTTGCTCGAAGCATGGTTAGCGTTAACCAGCATTTCATACCTTGACAACGTATTGGTTTTGATACTGCTTAACCAATGGTTAAAGCTAACCATGCTTTGAGCAACACAGCCCTGGTTATTACTCTGTCTATTGTATATATTCAAATTTCAAACACTTGCTTGCCAGAATTTCTGAATATTTTAGCTTAAGTCGAGGCTAACCCTGTATGAATGTGTCGTTAATGTTTATATCAAGCGATAATTGTTAATTCGAAACTGGACTATTGGCTAACAAACAAAACTATACCTTTATTTTGGAATTCATTTGATGCGAAAACCGTTTTAGTTCTTTAAAAAGACAGCAAATAGCGTGACGTAGCCGCTTTAATCCATACATTTTTTGTTCATTTACATCAACATAAATCACCTGCGGTAAAGAACAAATTGCGTTGTCATTTGACGTCACTGATAGCTAGCAATTGTTTAGAACCAGGATACAGTGAATATTCTGATCTTGAAATAATCCACACTGGCGCCGGGCAAAGCATCTAAGAGGTTCATCGATGGATCCGCTATTATTTCAATTCACCCTTGACATTCCACCGCGAACGAAAATTTGTGTTCCGCACGAGCAAGAAGTAGTCGAGAAGCCTTTTGACGTGGCTTTGATTACCGGAGATGGGAAGAAACTCGGAGCTCACAGAAGTGTTCTGTCAGAGGCAAGCCCCTTCTTTGAAAAACTGCTGGGTAGTGACATGAAAGAGGCCAAAGAGGGAGTAGTTAGGATGGAAATGATCACAGAGCTTGGTTTAAGAGAGGTTTTGGAATTCATTTACACCGGTAGTGTTCAAATTTCGGCTGAAGACAATGCCCAAGACCTAATCGCGCTAGCTGACTACCTGATACTTCCTCATCTTAAGGACCTCGCCGCAAGAACTCTGCAAAGGAACTTAAATTCTTCGAACTCAATCTCAATGTACTACTTGGCAGAGAAGTTTAGATGTGAGGACTTGATGTCCAACACCAGGGATTTTATCCTAGCAAATTTTACTTCGGTGACGAAATCTGAAGAGTTTTTCAACCTGTCGTACGAGGAAGTCAAAATGTGGATCTCAAGAGACGACATACACGTTGACTGCGAGGATGACGTCTTCATCGTCATCGTAGCGTGGATTTATCACAACAAACAGGACCGAAGAAAAAACTTTTCCGAGTTGTTTCGTGAAGTTCGACTTCTTTACACGTCACGTGATTTCCTACAAAATGGCATCGCTTCAGGTGATCTTGTGATTGACGACGAATCCTGCATGTATCTCGTAACGGAAACTTTGAAATTCTTTGACTCCAGAGAATATCGCAATCGTCCGCTCGGCCACGTTAAGCCTAGAGTGTTGCTTGAAGTCCCTGTTTTACTATTCTTTTTCATAGACATCACCAATGAAAAGTATCTGGCACCACTTCACTATAAACCTCGCGAGAACACAACCCATAAGGGTCATATTGTTTGTTATTTCCCTCAAGACAAGGAATGGTCAATTTTTCCTGGAGTGCCGCTAATAAAAAATTCAGTTCGGATCGTCTCTTGTCTTGGTAAACTATATTTCGCGTCAGAGTTTCCGAACAACGAGCTAATATGCTACGATTCACTCACAAACTATTGGACATCATTGCCATTCGATGGGCGAAGAAAACTACATTCGATCTTCTCTAATAATCAAGATGAAAACTTCGCTCTAATGTCTGACAATGAAAGCTCTTGCCCAGACTGCGTTTTCCTGTTCTTTCGTGGAATTGACTCGCACTGTCGAAAAAGCCATCTTTCTTATATCAAAAAGTACAGTCCAGAATCTAACTCTTGGGACACTGTGGCAACATTTGACCTGGCCTCGAGGAAACTAGTTTGCACCGTAGCAAAAGACAATTTTATCTATTTAATTGGTGGCAGTATTCAAGAACACGAAAGAAGTAGAATCCTGGCTGATGTTGACAGGTTTGATCTCAGCACAAATACAATGGAAAAAGTGGCTGATCTTAAAGTACCGAGAAGCGATCCATATGGAGCTGCCGCCTACGGGGCAATTTTCGTAATAACTGGTGGCGTTAACGAATCTGGTTCGAACATAAAATCTAGTGAAATGTACCAGCCTACAATAAACGAATGGCTGTTAATAAACGACGCGGAGATGGCACCTTTTATGTTAACTAGTAAATGGTATACGTGTGTTGAAGGCAGGGTGTATTCTAGAGTGGACAGAATTATGAAAGGAAGGGTAAAGAGCAAGGCCCTGCGTTATTATGACCCTGATAAGAACGAGTGGGTGGATGAATCAGTGATGCCTGACAAGATGGAGCCTGCATACTTCTTTGTTGAAATTCCTTGAGCGATGAAAGTGTTTAAGGGAAGTAGGTTTCTTCAGCAAACCTTGAGACATTCTTGTTCCGCGCTCACTGAGTCAACCTTGTCGCCAGAGCTTTTGTCACGTGTCTCCACCCGAAAAACTTGAGTGTCCTTGAATAAAATGAATGAATGATAACTTTATTTACAGCTATCTTGAGAAAGGTTGTCGGAAAAAATGTGCACGCGACAATCCCGAAAGGTACTATGGGATATAATCAATACACTGTTCCCTGACACTGTAGCTTTCAAACCTAATTTCGTTGCTTTCCTTTAGCACTCGGAAACATACGTCCATGGCCTCTCATGCCATTCTTTCAAATTTCTTTGAAGAAGAGTGAACTCAAAACCACTCACAATACTTTTCGGGATTGTCGCGTTCACTTTTGCGACAACCTTTCTTGAAATAGCTGTATACACGGTTAAAATCATCAGTCTAACATAGAAAGTTAATTAAAAATTCTCAAAAACTGTTTTACATATTTGCCGTGTGGAAGTACTGATCAGAAAACCATCTATAGGAACTTCTCTTTAAGAGACGTAAGGAATTTTATGTGCGCATTTCCTCAGGAAGATTGTTCCATAGAAGAGCGCTACTGTAACTGTAAATATCTTATTTATAGAGAGGCAGGAATTACACCATGTCATAATTAAATCATATTCATGTATATATTTCACTACCCATATCATTAGCTCTTATACTCATTTATATTGATGTAGATCTTCTATTTAATTAATATTTCCTTAGTTTTATTTATTTTGTACTTTGACTTTGTATATTGGGAATCGACCTTATGTTTGTTGTAATTTTAATTTAGAGGGTCACAAGTTTACTAGTTTCTGTAACTATTCCTTGCTACCCTCCTTAAATAAAGTGTATTATGATAACTAAAGCTACGCTTCAGGTAATCAGTTCTTGGTTTTGGGAGCATTAATTTTTTCTTCGCGTTGCGAAAATAGTAATTCGGGGGCAAACAAATTACACAGATAAGCTGGGGCGAGATTATTAACGTACTTGTACATTCAATTAGCTTTTTGTTTAGCCATTCTAACCTATAAATTGTCCCAACCAAGCGAAGATATCTGGAACTCGTATCATAGCTTGATTTGGTGACAACTCTGGTAGCACTATTTTAAAGTTTTTGAAGTTTCTCACTACGCTGTTGGGTCAAGCCATCTCATACAGCGCTGCAATAATCGAAGTGTGGCTCAATAAGACCTTTGTACATTTTAATTGCAGTGTGCATTGAAACAAATGGCCTGACGCGCTTAAGAGCACCGATGCCAGAGGATACTTTTTAAGAGATTTCCATGAGAGATTTTCATCAATGATAAGCCCGAGAGGTTTGCTTTGATTGCTTTGGTTTATTGGGACACCGTCCACGTGAATGTTCCTTGTGTAGTCATTTAAGGACTGTAGTTTCTGCCTCGAGCTAATAACGATAAACTCTGTTTTGGCTAATATTGAGACTTAACTTATTACCTTTGAGCCAGCGATCAATATATTTAAAGTCACTATTGATTTGGGACTCAAGATCAGGTATAGCAGCTTCAGAAAAGGTAACATTAGTGTCGTCGGCATACATTCTAGGAGAGCCCACATTCAAGCAATTTGGTAGATCATTTATATAGATCAAGAAAAGAAGAGAACCGAGAGAGAGATCCTTGAGGTACGCCACAACTTAGAGGGCTCGCGCTAGATAGATGGTTGTTAACATTACACCTTTGCATACGGTTAGTTAGGTAAGATTTAAACCATTTCAGGGTGTCTTAATCAACCCCGTACTTCGTAAGTTTTTTTAGAATTATCTCGTGGTCAATAGTATCAAAGGCCTTCTTCAAACCAATAACGATTACGCCATTAAGAAGACTTCTATCAATATTGACACACCAGCTATCGTTTGTCTCCAACAAGGCAGTAAGAGTGCTGTGTAGAGAGCAGAAATACTGACCAGACTGGCCTCTGTTTAATAAACCATTTGCATTCAGATAGTGATACAGATGGTTATAGATAATTTTTTCGATAATTTTGGCTACGGTAAGAATAACAGATATAGGCGGATAGTCGTTTAGGTCAGACTTAGAACCATTCTTAAAAATTGGTGACACTTTTCCCAGTTTCCAGTCAGAGGGGAAAATACGAGTCACTAACGACTGATTAAAGATGCCCCTTAAAGAGGGCGCGACAACATCGGCAGCAATCTTCAGAAGCCTCTTTGGAATTTGGTCAAGCCTAGTTGCCTTACCTACATCGATAGCCTTTAAACATTAATCCGTTGAAAAAAAAAATACTCCGTCAACAGGATTAACATAGGCATTAGTAGGTCAATTTCCGAACTAGGAATTTCTTGCGCTAGAGATTGGCCTACGTTTGTAGAATGATTGTTAATATCACCAGCTGAAGTGAAAACTTGGTTTCCTGTTTTGAATTGAGACTGCATGAATTAGTGCCTGAGTCTCTCTTTCGAAGAGGCCTTGTTTCTGGTTTCTGGAGAAGAGAAAGAAGGCGCGTGCGGAACGATGGGAAGTAGACGGAGTGAATGAAAGAACTCTCACGTTTTGTTTCTTCCCATCGTTCCCTGTGTGGTGTCTAATCATTTGGGCGTCGCCCAAACAGAGTAATCGAGATCGCTTTTTTTAATTCAAAGTTGCAATGAGCACGCAATACGTGTGAACGTAAACAATCCAAGTAAACAAGCCAAGCGACGTGAATGTCTGCAACGCGAACGACCAGGACAAGGTAAAAACCATGCCCGAAAGAAAGCTCTAGTTGATCCCACTTTTACGATCTCAAAAACCTTGCAACGAAGAAACACAATTCCGAACAGCGATGAACGTGTTAAAGCAACGTAGGGATAATTTTCAAAAAAAGATAAACTTATAAATCTTAGCCTTTATATCTTACCTAAAGGCCGGGCGATTTTCAGAAATTTGAAAGAAAATCTGCCAAATAATTGGAAGAGAAGAGTCTCACAATGTTTTTGCCCTTAGTTGTCAAGAGCCAAAGAAGATGTTATGCAAAATTATTCAGTGATCGTGCATGAGATAAATAAGAAATTGCTTCAATTATGAGGGTAATCACATGCGATGAGCGGCAGCCAAGAGAGGATAAAGGGGACAGAGAAGGCATACACACCCTATTCCATAGGTAATTCGTCTCGAGTTCATATAAAGTTACCTCGCGCGCTGCGTGGATGTTTAGTGGGGGTTTCGCATGACTAAACACCATGCAAAACATGTCGGGCGAAAGGCAATGAAAGCGTGAAGAGATCGAGAGCATTTCTGAATATTGAAGCGAAATGAGTCGGCGCTCACCTTAGTCTGCTACACAGCCGTTTTTAGTGTCGTCACGCAACGCTTCTCCTCACTAGTGGGGAGAAGCGTTGCGTGACGACACTTAAAACGGCTGCATAGCAGACTACGCTCACCTGCGAAAAGGGAATCGCTGGACTCTTTGACAACCCGTGAAATCAGTTTAATTCGAAGTTGTCGTAACCTCAGTGCTTTAATAAAATGAGAAATTTCGCTGGTCTATTAAAACCGGTAGTTTGTACAATAAAGCAAGTAGGATGCCAAGTGTTATTTTTGTTGAATAATAAAGGCAAGAGCCATAATAGGACAGAGAGGTCCTATTATGGCTCTTGTAAAGGCTAATAAAAGAATAATTATCAAACCAGAAATTGTTCTCTTCAAACTGTAAATAATAAATTATCCTGAGAGAATATTCAGTGTGTTAAGGATTTCCCTGCTGTACTGTTAGCTCTATATAAGAGAGGAAGGGCGAAATCTCTCTTTAGTCGATTTCGTAGACAAAACGAATAGCAATATCGCTCTCCGCGTCTTCCACCATTTTTTTCAGCGTCAATTCGGGAAGGACGCCTGGCTCTGACCTTTCGTCATCCACGCGGAACACATTCGCGCTATGTGATTGGCTGTTGTCTAATCTCCCTTGTGATCTGTGGTGTTAAAAATAACTCGAGACGAATTACCTGTGGAATAGGGTGTGTACGGGGGATGCCTTCTCTGTCCCCTTTATCCTCTCTTGGTGGCAACCTATAATAAAAGTATTTCGGCAGTTTGATAATTTCATTGGAACTAATTGATGTCAGCCTATTAACCTTAACATTAGATAATGCATAATTTCATTGCAGACTGTTTCGTAAGGAAAGGAGGTGATTTCTTAAAATCTTATTGAGCAAAATGATCTCGTAAACAAGTTGCATTCTTTCACGTTTGACCCGTAGAAATGGCAAAGTCCGACATCTTCACTACGTGCAGACTGCATGCGTGACAGTTATTCTTAAAACCCTTGGGTTAGGGACGGACCATTAGAAAAGTTATGGTGGGGGGAGGGGAATTTTCGGGCCGCAGGAATTTTTTTTCGTTATCAAATTCCTTGAATGAATTTTTTTTAGGCCGTTGCATGAATATTTTTTAGGGTTAATTGGCGTGCATGAATTTTTTTTCATTTAATTTTCCCTTCCGCGAATATTTTTTTTGTACTTCGCCCACCCCACCCCATAAGTTTTCTAATGGTCCGTCCCTTAATTAGATTAAGTCGTATTCTCTCATACACGAAATAACCACGAAAGCGCCAAATTCCAAAGCTTTCACGTGCAAACTGCGTAACAATACAGCTCACAGTAAGGGCCAAATTACATGAGCCGGGCTGTCGGGCTGGCTGATCTGCCGAGGTGACTTTAATCCTGGTATTACATGGACCGGGCCAGCCCGGAGCCGCCATTTTTATTTAGAGATTGCAGGCAGCGCGTACGAGCAGTGTGTTGCCCGCTGTCCCGTTTCTCGCTTGGTTCATTTGCCGGGCTGCTCAGCGAGCGTGATTACTTAGAAAATTTCCATCCGGGATCCCGGCATCATAAAACTGGGATCCCAACTAACTGGGCTGGCTCGGTTGTCATGAAATAGTAACGTTGATTTGTGTTG